AAATATTTAAATATTTTAAAATAAAAAACTATAAATATTAATAAATTAAAACTAACTTAATAAATTAATAATAAATAAAATTAAGTTATTAGATAATATAATAAGGGAAATATAAGTTAAAAATAAATATAATTAAATAATACTTAAGATAAATAATAAAATATATTATATTAAAACTTTTTTATTTATTATTAATATCTTTTATTACTTCTCTCTTACCTTAACTTATTTAAAATACTATTTTATAAGTATTATAATATTATAATACTCTTTACTATAAATTTATCTTTTCAAGCAATAACTTTTAATATTTCATCATTCGGGAGCATTGGTTACAATTAAACTGTCTAATCAACCTCCACCCATCTCACGGTAGTAGTAGTTCTTGTGGTTGTTGTGCTTCTTTCCATAGGCCAAGTCCCTCTGCTTCGTGTGAACCTGTTCCAAGGTTCTTCCTCGTTCTTCAGCACGGCGAGCCCGTCTCTTTTGTTGTTCGGGCGCGCCAACCATGCCCGCCATTCCGCGCGGTACCATTTCACGGGATCCAGACCCAGTCTCTCTCTCAACGAGCTGACCATCGGAAGTCGGGCTCTCTTGCTCCGTCTCAGCGCTTTCAATAGCTAATCGCTCTGCTCGCTCCTCAGCCGAGGGGTGGTTGTGCAAATTCTGTCGGAAGTACTTGTTCAATGAACGATGACCAACTGACTTGCCGGTAGGGAGGTGAAGTTCGTAATCGTCATAAAAGACGGCACGCGTGGGTTTGTGGGCGTGAGAATGCCAGCCATCCGCTTGGTGTCTTTGTCTCGGATCTTGTCGGGAGTGATGTGGGTGCTTGTCGAGGCGCTCGAACTGGTGGATATGGCCTTCAGCCGGCACCGCAGTAAGATCAGCTGAGTCCAAAGACGACTCTGAACTATCCGTCTCCCAACCGTCTGCCCCTTCGCCATCCTCAACCTCAGCTCCATCCTCTCCTGTGAGCTTAGAAGGACGACGTGCCCCGAGCTTCGCTCCTCCACTTGTCTCGTTCGCAACCGAGCCATCGTCACTCATCTCCCCATCGTCAGAGTAGGTGCTCCTGAAATCATAGAAATCACCAATCTCAAGCTGGTCACGCTCAGTTTCGTAGGGGATCTTGCAGTGGCCTGTATCGCGCATGTGTGTCTGAATGCCAAACATGGACGATTTAATCTTATCACAGTACAGGCACTGATGGTGTTCTCGGATTTTATCTTGGAGTTGCTTGAGCAAGCCGTCGATATCAACAAGATACTTCTTCTCGGGGATGAACATGCCGTGAAAGCGTTCCATATGATGTGTGTTGAGAGGAATGGTTGGAGAAGTATAGTTGCAGAACAAGCATGATTCCAGGGTCAAGTTAGGATCCTGAGTAGCGGGAACGGGTGTAGCTGATTCGGAGGCCCTGTTGGCGTCGTTATCGTCTTGTGCAGCGTCTTTAACTGAGGGCTGGGGGTGTGAGGGACGCTTGACAGGAGATGGCCTCTGCTCAGCGATGCTCGCCTTCTGGAGGCCTTCAACAACATGGCTGAATTCTTCCTCAGCATCTGAATCAACCTCTCCTTGACTGGGTGCAATAGGTTCGCCGAGAGAGAACGTAGAGCTGACGATCGAGGTTGTTTCGTCGTCAGCTCGACCAGAAACAGTTTGTCCACTACTGGCTTCCTTTGCCTTGTGCTTCTGACTCGACAGGTGGTTCTGGAATGCATTTTCGCTGTAGTATGTCTTCTCGCAAACGTCACATACACGTTCGAAATAGGCTTTGTCTGCTTCAGCGCTTGACACCGCCCTGGCTTGCAGAACCTTCTCGGTGAAGACGTCAGAGGAAATGGGAGGCAGCGAGGCAACTCGGCGTTTGAGGTTGTATCGGCTTTCAGTAATTAGCCTCAGCTTCAACTAAAGATCTCACAAATGAACTTACTGCCAATCACTTTTCATGTGCCCCTTCTGCAGATCTATGTTGCGATACGCAACTTGGCAGGTATTGCAGGTGTATGGGTGCGAGGCTGCACCGGACGCCTGGACACTCGCCATGATAGGAAGCGAAAAGGCTGCGGCTTATCACTCCAGATCCGAGTTATGAGGCTTATTTTCTTGTCGCTTGGGTTGTACCCTGGTCCTCGAGTTCGCGACTTGCAGAATGACGGTTGTGTTTGGGAAGGAAATTCGGAGTTGAATTGGTGGGATATGGCGGGGCTCTGTAGATAACGTCACACAGAAAGGTTATCAGCGAGATGGATGACTGACTTTTTTTTTTGCCCCAAACCCCGCCACGCAAGGGTTCTGGGCCCCTTCAACGCCGTCCTCAGGGTGCAACTGACCTTGAGTCGAGGTGCAGAAAATGACCAGTCGAAGCATTGCTAACTATTCGCTCAACCTCGCGAGTTATTTTTGTCACTTGAAGCAGACGTCCCCATTTCTCTTGCCTCCCCTAGCCCCCCTATTGCGGCTGGGCCATTGGCCACCAGCAGATGGAGCTGGTCCACTCACTAGTCCCAGATCGGCAAGCAACGTTGTGTCAAACAGGACTTGGCAGTACGGAGTACATGTGGTGTCTGTTAGGGACAGTTAGCTAGGGGCGCATCATCGCCTCTTTCGTGAGGCTGACCAAACAGCTCCTTAGAGCGCAGACTCCCCTCAGATTACACGGCATCTTCCACGACCGGCATACCTACTCAGCTTCATAGAGCCAACTTGTATCACCAACTTTGTTTAAAATATCCGCGCACACGATTTCGATACATCTCCTCATGCGATACTTCTCTAAATTTTGACATTTCTTTATCAAATCCCCACCTCCTACGTCTCCTCCAGGTGCCCGTCGAGGCGCGACCACACCCTCCCATGTCATGACGCCCGATGCCGTTCGTCCCCGGGACCATTCCATCGAACTCACGGCAGACTTAGATCTTCTCGCCGGGCTATGGCAAGAGGCGCCATTTGCACGTTTGCCCGCCGACGCGCCCCCTGAGCTCAAGGCCTATGTTCAGAACGTTGAGAACCCAGCGCGAGTCTATGCGATCCATCAAGCGAGTCGCCGCCATGGATTCCAGCTTCTCGTGGAGAGGTTCGTCTGACAACTGTATCCATTCACTCAATATCCTCCGTGTTCTGATTATCGAAGCAGATACATCTTGCAACTTCGATCAGGTTGTGAAAATGTCAATTGCGCAACTCCCACTTGCTTCACATGCAGGCGCCGCTTGGCAGGCCGGGCTCCCATCCGAAGGTATAACACGACAAGTGCCAGGACGTTAGCGATATATTTAGCAAGCCAGGACGACCCGGAGAAAGGATTATGTCCGTTCCTCCGTAAATCTCGCGAACCGCCGGCGGCTTTTGGCAACTTAATATTCTCTACGCGATCATCCTCGCCTTCACATCCGGACCATAACAGAGCCAATGTCGCCACCTCGCCAGGTGCACGCAAGGAACGGCTCTCTAGACCACGAGCACCTTCATCATCATCCCAAGATGCCCTCGCTTCCCCAATGAACGACCCAAGCGACCCAGTCTCTCCGATCCAGAATGCAAGTAGACCAGCCGCAGCATGCACGCCACATTCGAAAGATCGCGAGTTGGTCTCTCAGATCCGTGTAATCGAGGCGCCGATGAGTAAAGATCACCGCTCATTCGCCGCGAATCTCTTTGGGACTGTCACTTTTAAGATGCTCGAGTGGTTGACACCGCGAAGTGTCGCTGCAATGGCGGCAAAAATCAGCAATCTCGATTCAGTGGTGGATTTTGATTTTCCCCAAGATCCAGCGAGCTCAGCCAGAACCACCGCATGCTCGGATATTCAAAGCACTGCTCCTGACGAGTCAGATACAACAGATTCGACGACCATAGCGGTTCAACCACATGCAACTGATATGAATGAGACTTCATTCATGCCAAAACCGGCAAAACCCAGTAACGGGTCACTATCAAAACCACGAAAGAATGCTGTGCCAAAGCACAAGCGACGTTCTACTGACTCGAACAATACCTCCAAATCCGGGGACAATGTAAAGTCAACTAAAGCGTCCCAGGTAAATGGCACCTCTGTACGACCTAGACACAATAAGAGTTTGTCTGGACGGGGCATCCCAGAAATGTCTTTGAAACCAGGGTTTTTCGAAAATGTTACAAAACCTTCGGCGCAGCCTCTTTCACCTACAAGTCCATCAACTTTGCCACAGGTCGAGCCTTTTGGTGAAATCAGGTCCAAAGACGATACAAACTGTGGTCATCCCAGAATTAATAACTCGCAAAGGACGAGAAATCTTGACACAGCACTACCTGACATCTCATCCCACAGTCTGGAAAACATCCTGCCTCAAGCTCTCTCACAGCTCGATGTCAATCTCGTTGACTTCATTTGTGACATTTACGAAGAAGACGGCACAGCACAGTCTGTTATAGTCTCCGCCTCCGATGCAAGTCATCCGTACCCACGACCCGTGAACCAGCGGAAGCCTTTGCGGCGTCGATCTATGTCACGCACAACTAGGTCTAGAAAACAGTGGCTACGTTTTAATGACCAGACCCTTTTCAACGTTCTCATGGATCCGCAAGTTGTTGTTCAGTCCTTCACTCACGACAGAAAACTCTACGATTCTCAGACACTGTGGTACTGTTTTCATCGATTAAGCCGCGTCGCATGCAATCTTGTATTTCACAGTCTCTGGCTGGCTGCCGGGCGTTTGTTTGTTCCTCCTCAAGATTCGATGTCACATAATTCCATCAAGAACAATGACTCGAGATTACAGAAGCACAAAGGATCTCTATCCGATATTGACGCCGGTTATTTAATGTCGATCTGCATGCATGCATTGGTAGCCGCAGCTCCAGCTGTTCAAGATTCGAGAACACTATATGAGATGTCCCGCGTCCGCTCAAATGGATTGACACTCGCCGGCCGGAGCGCCATGGCTCGGCAATCTTCGTCTCGATGTTTAGATTATGACGATGCATTCTCAAACGACTTGGCTATCAGACTTGCGCGTAGGCTATTTTGCGCCATTACAGCCAGACGGTACTTTTCTAACAAGATGGACAATGCTGGCCCCTTGAATGAGACCGAAAACAACAAGGTCGATATTTTGCAATCTTTAGTTGACCAGCTCGATTTTCTCAGTACAGGCTCAGCGACGATTCTGGAGTTCCCGCAATCAGAGCGTCTGTTGCATGAGACTCGTGTGCCAACCATTCTTCTGGATTGGGCACGCACCATATTGCTCAACGAATGGGACGGTCGAGCCGATTTTGATATGGATGGGCCATTCGGAGGAGCTTTATCGTTCATCGAGACCCTACGTATGTGCATGCTCCTCTTAGCCAATCAACAGAATTTGATCTCACTAACTTCTCCAAGATGCCAACCGAAATCTTCTCCTTCTAGGGGATATCCAATTTCGGGTCGATTATCTTTCAGAGCGCTTGGATTCGATCGAGATGCCTGTGGACTGGTTAACGTTCAGTTCGACACGCTGGCGACGACATATCCTAGACTACCCTTACATCTTCAGTCCCGACACGCTTGTTTCTTTCTTTCGTTCCATCAATTTTGCCCGGATGAGTCGTATGTTCGAAGAGTCGAGTTCATTAAAAACTCGCATGAGTGCTATTGTCGATCCCGGTAGTCTCATTACTAACCCCCACCACAAGATGGTTTTACAAGATCTTTTGAGAACAGCTTCATCCAAATACCTAGTTCTTGAAATCGGCAGGAGTAACGTCGCCCGAGATGCTTTCGACCAGCTTTGGAGACGAGAGAAACGAGAGCTTCTTCGCCCGCTGAAGGTGCACTTGGGTGAGAATAGTGGCGAAGAGGGTTTTGATTCTGGAGGTGTTCAACAAGAGTTTTTCCGATTGGCAATTGCTGAGTGCCTCGATCCCCAATATGGTGCTTTCACTGTTGACGAACGGACACGCATGGCCTGGTTCACCCCTGGGTCATTGACCGAAGATTGGAAGTACGAACTTGTGGGGCTTCTGATGTCGCTCGCCTTGTACAATGGCCTAACGCTGCCAATCACTTTTCCGAAGGCTCTTTACCGGAAACTACTGGGCAAACCGGTTGAAGAGCTTCATCACATCGCCGATGGCTGGCCAGATTTGGCAAGCGGGCTGACAACATTACTGGAGTGGGACGAAAAAGATGGCCTCGTTGAGGACATTTTTGCCCGCACGTACGAATTTTCAGTTGAATCGCTCGGTACCGTTGTGACACGAGATATGAGGATGGGCGAACAAGCGAGTTGGCCCAAGGCGGCCTCAAGCTCGTGTGATATTGCACCACCACACATGGATAACCCAGACGACGCTCCCCTTGTTACCAACGAAAATCGGGACGACTATATCATCGATTACATCCGTCACCTCACGGATGTTTCCATTCGGCGGCAGTATCTTGCTTTCGAGCAAGGGTTCAACTCTTGCCTCGATAAGAAGTCACTTTCACTCCTGAGTCCATCTACCTTGCAGTCACTCGTTGAGGGTGTTCAAGAAATCGACATCATCGAATTGAAGCGGTACGCGCGCTACGTGGGCTGGGATGCTTCGCATCGTACCATTAAAGACTTCTGGTCCATCGTCAAGAGGTACGACGAGAGAATGAAACAACGCCTTCTGGAATTTGTGACATCGTCCGACCGCGTTCCTGTCGGCGGCATGAAGAACCTCCAATTTGTGATACAAAAGAATGGTGAAGAAGACGGCACGGGTGGGCATTTACCGACAGCATATACCTGTTATGGCACACTTCTTCTACCAGAGTATAGAGATAAAGAGGTGTTAAGAGAGCGGCTTGGGATGGCACTTGAGAATGCTCAAGGATTTGGCTTTGCTTAATGAGGCGTTTTTCATGGGATAAGGTATGGAATCAGTTGTATTAAACTTTGCATGGGTAGCGACCAGATTCTGTACGCTTAGTAGGCAACTGGAGAGAAAGCGCGAGTGACTTGCAAAATAGCATATGAAAGCGTCTAATGATAATGCTCAGTTTCAAGCAATGTGCTAGAACTTGCCAGGATAAGCAGTATGCTTTAAACAAGATCATCAAATAGGTATTCGTCTGCTAATCTCGCATTTGCCTAACATTTAGGTTGATCCTCTTGTTTTTCATCCATCCTCGCCAGTCCGCAAACTTCTCATCGTCACGGGCTGGCCAATCTTCAAGATACCTTGGGCATGTATCCTTCAGCACTTTAGGCACTCCATGCCAGGCATATCTCGACTCCTGTGTCATATAGATGGCATCACCAGATCTGAGCCTCAACAGTAGATACTGTTTCTCGCCTGGTGTTTCATTCTGAGGCCCTTTTTCAAGGTCATTCGGTGCAATCATAAAGAGTCCATCACAGCCAAAACTCAAACTGATAAGTCCCTTGTCTGTCTCCTCGCTGACATCTCGGTGCATCATCATAGTATCGCCTGGCGTGTAGAAGTTGAGGATGGCTGCTTGGGCAACAGTTTCGGGGAACAGGTCCTCAAGTAAGTGTGAGATATCATCTGGAAACTGAGGGGGCAATTCCTCGGGGTAAACACGATTGGTCCAGTCGTACTGGCCCCCAAGCGTCACCCAGTGCAGTTTTCGCTGCATCACCTGCTTGATTGACAGTGGCTTATGAACGCTGGGGTCCTTCGGGAGAAATGATGCCGGTGATTCTGGACTGATAGAGAAGAATGACCGTTCATCGTCGTCCTTCCCTTCTGGGTATGGAAGGTTGTAGTGTAGATGTAGATTGGTCTGGTGGTTCTGGACACTGAGATCACGATGGATCAGGCGATCCAGTAAATCCTGTTGCACATTTTCGGGCACAAGTGAAGGAAGAATCAATAGGCCTATGGTTATGTTAGGTTTTTGACATACCAAGTACAAGGAGTTCTATGTACCTGGTATCAATGGGTGGTGTATAACTGGAACATCCTTCTCGACCTGTAAGGCAAAGTCAGGGTTGAGGTGAGCGAAACTTTTTGCAACCTGCTCTTTCAAAAGACTCGAGACTTGACGGAAACCAGACTCTTCTAAGGGAGCGCGAGGATCATCGATTCGAGGGTCGTTGAGCAGACTTTTGTGATCTTGACGCATGTAGCTCTTCCACTCAGCGCGCATCTCATCAGACGGTTGCTCGTGGGCGTCGATCTCACTAAGGTTTGCTGATACCATTCTGGCGATGATGATGGAAACGAAAAGCTTGGACGTTTAGTACATCAGCCCTTTGAATAGGTTCCCTTGGAAAAGACCCTCGAGGTTTGTGCCTCTTGTAGGTACCTAGGCTTTTCCTTGACTTGCTCCAACAAGTCGAGGTTATTCTACTCATTCATGATCTAGGAATCTGGTGGACCACTTGAAGTAGCACGTGACGTCCTCGAGCCCGTTGTAAATTTTCAAATTTCTCTTTGGTATGCAGTTATCGGCATTTTCTTCTTCGTTATGTTGTCTTTTTATTTCCTCTATCATTTTATGCTGCTGTTTTACGGAAATGCCCATGTTGTTTTGAGTGCGCAGAACTGGGACGAGAAACCCATTTGACGAAAATTCTCGTATCTAAGTTACCTAGCTCCTCCACTATACATTACCGTTCAATAGAGGTCACCATGACACTACAACGAGGCTTTCCGGTAACTCGGCTATCTTATTTATCATCATGCTCCAAGCTTGCCGGGCAGAAAGCTCACTTCAGTACGTCAGGTCAGATGAACCTGCGTCAACGACCACTACGCCGACAAACAAGCCGTATTTCCAACCAAGCACAGCAAGTCAGTCCTGCAACTTCACCAATTGCAGTCACGCCAACCTTAAGTTCGAACGTGAAGACTGAGGAACCCGGAAGCCAGCCATCTGCTCAGGAGATTATCGTGCCAGGCTTTTCTCTCCATGAGAGTACCTCGAAACCACGAAAGGTCAAGCCGCGAGGACCATTGCCTAAGGGAATCAAGCCCTATCAGCAGGTTTTAGTAGAGAGTGAGTCCATCTGCTTCAAGCATGGCTCAACTTCGCCAGTCGATGTGCCGAAAGAAGGCAGACCTGCTCTTGCAGCAGCCGAAAAGTTCTTTGAAGAACGATACCAAATACTCTACTCTGCCGAAAACCTTCATGACCACCCCCAAAACGACCACATCCCGGAAATTGTTGTACTGGGTGCCTCCAATGCTGGAAAATCATCTTTCCTCAATGCTCTTCTCGGTGATCGGGAAATAGCCAAGGTGAGCCACAAGCCAGGCAAGACTACAACGATGAATGCGTATGGTGTTGGGCCACGTCCCAAGATTGCCAAGGAGCTCATTCGCAAAGGTGATTCACCGCCAAAGCACAGTCTGGTGCTTATGGATACCCCAGGTTACGGATTTAAAAGTCAAGAGAACTGGGGAAAGACTATCCTAAAGTATCTCAACGTCAGGAACATGCTTCGTGGCGCAGTGATCTTGATACCGGCCGACAAGAAGCTCCAAGAAACGGATAGATGGATGCTCAGAACACTTGCTCAATCTAACACTCGAACATTGGTTGTCATCACCAAAGCGGATAAGCCTGGGAAGGAGTGGCAAGATGCATGTCACAGGCTTCATACTCAGATCGAAGCCATCATGCGCGGTCTAGAGGCCCGATCAGCTGCCACTTGGAGGGAAGGGCCCGGGCGTATGCTCGATATTTATGCCACAGCCTCCAAAATTGCCTTCGTATCCCGCCGGCTTGGTAATGGAGGTGGTATTGGGGGTGTAAGACTTGCAATACTGGAGATGGCTGGCTTTTCTCTGGGAGACAAGATCGAAAAGCAGCCCGAGACAAAGGCTTATACTGGGAAGGTTGTCTCTTTTGATGATATCGTCTGGAAATCATGAGCTTGAGTGTCGAAACCCAATCGACTCATATATATAGTATCTAGCTCATGAATATTGTACAATAGTTGGTTCAACATGATCAAAATACCTCATATGGAGAGAAGCAAGTTGGTGCGAGGGCCAGCCTCAGCTTTAATAATGTATTAATACAGCCTTGAAGGGGTAGATGCCCGTCTGTGCCTTGCTCCTATGCTAATATCACAACTATGGTATCATTAAGTGTATTACAAACAAACGCAGAGAGTTTACTCATCACTCCTTCTGGCCCCCATTTGATTTGGCCGATTTTGTCGAAGTCGCAGTTCCGGGTCTACTGATGGATTTGCTTATCGAGTGCCTCAGCTTCCTGCTCCCTTTCGTTTCAAACAAACTCTTGACTCTCTTCAATCTCGCCCATCTCTCCTTATCCCTTGCGTCTCTCTCTTTCTCGTCTTCTTCGGCATTGTCTACCCCAGCTCCAACGGAGCCAGGGGTCTGAATCGGTGTGTTGATGGAGGCGGCTGTTCCAGGCCTCTGAGGTGTGGATGGTGCTCCCATTGATCGTTCAGTTCGCGGTCTCGCAGGTGAACGTCCCTCATAAACACTCCGAAGATGTGCTTCGTTTGCGATGGTTCGCACTAACACCTTCCAGCCTGGCAAGTCTTGCCCAGAAGCCTTCTGGGAATGTGCCTGCTTCTGGGTCTCAGAGTTCGCCCACGGACAGAAAAAGCGATGCTCTCGAGCTGGATCCAAGAAGTCCATAGGGGCTGGCACCAGAACCTCATTATTCTCACCCACTTCCTTGCTCTTAAACATCCACAATCCTAGTCGCCTGAGACAGGTGTGGCATGATGCCGAGTTTGGCACTGCACCGATACGGGCGTTATTTAGGCCTTCCCATCCCATTAAGGCAAGCGATAGTGCGACTCGGTTTGGCTGAGCCTCAGCCACCTTTGCTGGTGGTGGTTTGGTGAAGAAGTCGTTCGGCAGATGCGAAAGCACATCGTCCAAGTTCAACTCCTCTGGCAGTCGAAGATTGAACTCATAGGGTAAGAATGATTTTCGTGCTAGCAGCTCATCATAGCGCTCACGTAAAGCCGCAAGACTCGTAGTTGCATTGGTTAAAGACAACCGGAGAAGAGAATCTGCAAACAAGGTCAGAAAACAAGGACGATGTGCGCTTCCGACGAGACAACCTACCATCACAGCCCCGCTTACGCCAGAGACAATCTTCCTGGTGTGAAGTTACAATGAGATCGGCATACTTGTCTACCAAAGCATCCTCTACTGAAGGTTAGCGCGACGATAAAAGGTCCAAGGGGGGAGAGTCTACCTATCTCGGATGCCACGAGAACAGGAACCTCCTTTCCATCCACGACCTTGCGATTGAGTTTGACAACCAATTCTCGATTGCAGAGAAGACAGCGAACTGTTTCCTTGCCATGGCAAACCCATCCACGCTTTGCCCATTCTATCTCATTCACTTTGTCCGGCTTTGGAGTCCAGTCTGTTATTTCTTGGAACGTGCCTAGCCTTTTCAAAAGGTCTCCTCGGTCGGTTGGTGCATATCGCGCGGGTGCCCCTGTAGATTTCTTGGACGAGTCCTGTGCTTGTGTGCGTCGGGAAACGATAGCAGAGAGGGTCGCGGATAGGTTTGTTCTTTTGTCAGCTTTGGGTGCCGTTGAATCCGGAAAGCCTAATCTTCGACGCTTTTGAAGCAATTCGGCATCTGCGCTGGATACACGAGTTTCTGAGCCAGGCGAAGTAGTAGAACGATTTGAAGGCGAGCCGGTCTCGTGCGCCGACGTGTCGTTGGCGGCTTTCGAGCTTGATGATCCTAAGCCCTGCAATAAGGTATTGAATTTCCGTTTCGTGGCGTTTGTTGACATATTGCGAACGTGACCGGGCTCTTTGTTTCGATCCGCGATTTCGAGCTGAAGAGCGCGGTCTGTTTATTTTGTTCAATAAAAACGAAACTTGGTTGAGGTTTGTATTGTTACAACACCAATTCAACAAGAGGTGATCATGTTTGAGCTTCAGCAGCTTTCCTCTGGTCGCTATGGTACCAGCGGCGCAAGTAGCCTACCCCTAGCTAGCGTGTATACAAGTAGGCGAGTTAGTGGTGAGAGTGGCTCAGGTAAGTTCGTCTGTAGTAATCCCTGTCATTCTTAACGGATTTACTTCTGTGTCAAGGATGGTTCCAGATGTAACTTGCTAGGTAAGAGTAGTCTTTGCCTATTAAGGAGCCTATCGATAAGAATTAGAACGTCAATAATGGGAAAGGCCCCACCATCAATCCACCCGTCCACAGAAATTTTTCTGTAGCCAGTCTTTGATCAGCGCGAAGTCCAAGAAATATTTGTATCAGTCCCCGATACTCAGACAATTTCTTGCTGTTTGCAATTGCCCAGGCTTTACTTTGTTGCATTGGCGTATGTCTGGCTCCAAACAAAGCCCTCCCTCGTGGCTATTCTCCAACAACCCCCTGAATCCAATCAAACCTTCAACCGATACCATGGGCAAGAAGAGCACAAAGGCCGCTGCGCCCAAGAACGATGCCGCATCTGCGCCTCCGCCGGGTCAGCTCATGGACTTGGTAGAGAATTTCCTCTCTGACCACTCGTTCAAGGGCGCTGCCGATGCTTTCAAGAAGCAGAGAGAGAAGAAGGGCTGGAAGGCGACTGCTGCCACCGACGAAGAGGGTAACCCTTCCCTTGTCAGTGTTTACCAGACTTGGGAGGCTACCAAGGGCGATGATAGCAGCAAGTCTAGCAAGTCCAGCAAGAAGAAGTCCTCTAAGAAAGACTCCAGCAGCTCTGCTAGCAGCGACTCCAGCTCTGATTCGAGCGACGCCAAGGAAGAGGATGTGGATATGAAGGACGCCGAGTCGTCCTCGGACAGTGACAGCAGCTCCGACAGCGACAGCGATGATGAGGCTGCCAAGCCCAAGGCCTCTAACACTCTGAAGCGAAAGGCTCCCGTCGACGAGAGCTCCTCTGATTCATCTTCGGACTCTGATTCTGACTCGAGCTCCTCCGATTCCGAAACTGATTCGGACAAGCCCAAGGCCAAGAAGCAGAAGCGCGCCGCTTCCTCGAGCTCCTCCAGCGACTCTTCTTCCTCATCCAGTGAATCCTCCGACTCAAGCGATTCTTCCGATTCTAGCGATAGTGATTCGAGCAGCGACTCGGACGACGAGAGCGCCAAATCGGACTCTGGCTCGTCTAGCTCCGATTCAAGCTCTGATTCGAGCTCCGATTCCGACTCCAGTGACTCAGACGACGACGCTGCTGCCAAAGTGCCACTTCCCGACTCCGACAGCTCATCTTCGGACTCCGACTCCGCCTCCAGCGACTCTGACTCTGACTCTGACTCCGATGCAAAGGAGACCAAGAAAGACAAGAAGATCAAGAAGGAGAAAGAGGCTAAGGATTCTTCCGACTCTTCTGTCACGTTAGACAAGACTTCGCCCGAGTTCCAGTCAAACTCTGCTTACCCACCTCTTCCCCCGGACCCCGTTGTGAACGGTAACGGACGCAAGAAGCAGAACGAGCCCTTCTCCCGCATTCCCAAGAACATCAAGGTGGACGCCAAGTTCGCTTCCAACGAATACGTCTCTATCGCCTATTCTCAAAAGGCTCACGAGGATCTGATTGTTACCAAGGGCAAGGGCTTTACAAAGGAGAAGAACAAGAAGAAGAGGGGCAGTTACCGTGGTGGTGCCATCGACATCCATGATAAGAAGGGCATCTATTTCGATGATTAAATACCTTTTCGGAAATTAATACTTGAGAAGGTCAAAATTGGAGCAGGATGAAGCATCATTTGTTTAGAAATAGCCGGCGTTTGGAACGTGACATGGTCACCGCCAAAGATACATAGATTCATTCTACTGCCGTTCTAGGGGCAATATTCACGTTTATTAGACTTTTTTTTATTCCAAGACATGCTCAATTTCAAAAGTTTCAGGGTATCTATATGTTCAACTTCAGTCTGCACTAAAAAGAAGTCGTTATACATCATGCCTCAAAGAAGGGCACGTCTCGTCAATATCCAGCGTACATAAATAATGATCCACAATGTTTTTTCTATCTATCACAAGATGGTTGTACTCCAGATTCGCCTATACCCATACACCATCAACCGCGTTTGACTCATTTTCCTGCTGGAAACTCGCTGCAATCTTCGTCTTAAAATGTCGTGCGGTCCTTTTCCGTAGGAGAATTCTGAACTTCGACCGCAGGCGCATGTTGCGCCGCTTCATCGGGAATCTCATCCGCACTGAGGCTCTCCTTCATAATAGCATCCTTTCTGGCCACTGAGTCCCATGATCTGTTGCCATTCTTGGCATTCTGCAGTGCTTCCTTGAGCCACTTATTCCACTGTTTCGTACCTGGAGCCGCTCCACTGCGGCCAACCCAGCCAGTAAGTTGAGTCTCGCAAATAGCGAACCACAAAGTACGCGTGAAACTTGGATAACCCTCTCGTTGATCATTCACATCTGTGATTTCGTCTGCATTCTTCGCATCTTCAGGGGTCACGTCCTGCCATTGATACCGCGAGAGATCCCAAAAGTATGACCGAGGGAGCATGCCTAAGCCCCAGTATAGTCCGTTGAGGACAATGTAGCTCCCACCAATAAATATTTGAGAGTTCCATGTGCAGTTTCCCAGGAGTACGACACTCAGCATCAGAAGAGTCGTTCCGAGGGCCATGAGAAGTCGATATGTGCGGCCTCCAACATGATAGTGACACTCTTCAGTCCCTGAGTACAATTCACGGGCAACCTCTTCTGTGCACTTGATGAGTAGAAATGCGCCTTCTCGTGTTCTAATCATGACGTCGCCTCTAGGGACCTCGTTGGTATGTTTACGGTTCATGAGAATGGGATGCCAGAACGAAGCATAGCCCACCACAGTCGACGCAAAGGATATCAGGGAAACAGCCAGAATGGCATTGCCATCTTGCCATACCACAGCACAGGTGATGATTGCTATGCTTAGAAGGCATGAAAAGACTGAGAGAATGTGGATAGGCGAGAAGAGCTTGGCTGGGACCGCAGGACGTCTCTTCGTGTTGGCAAATGTCGGGTTGGCAAGCATATCTTGGACTTTCTGCTTAGCCGTAGGACGACGCACGAGCGGTCTGGGGGCATCCGCATTGCTTGGAGAACTGTCACCCGGAGGACGAAATGTCGTTGTTCGCGCTGTGTTTGGTAGAGGAAGCCCACCCTCTTCTACGTGAGGGGCTCGGGGAATTCTGTTGCTTTGGGAGTCTTTTTCATTTGACAGTTTCTCTGTGTTATGAAAACTTGAGCGGCGAGATTTGACCCATTTCAGACTTCGAGTAGACCAGCTTTCTTGGGCAGAAGGAGGATTCATATCGATGTCGCCAAAAGAAGGGTCCGTATGAGTGATCTCAAGCACGCGGAAGCTGAAAGGTTGCAGGGCATCCAAAGGAGTAATGATAGTGGCAAAGAAGCCCACAGAGTCGAGCGTGGTTCCACTATACACACCCGTCATCTTTGCGAGTGTCTCAGGCATTCGACTTGGACGTGAAGGCTTGAGCAGAGCCTGGGGGGCTGGGATCAGTCGAGGTAGCAGACACAGCAACGATGCCGTGATAGTCTGAGTCTGTTCAGCCATAGAAGATTCTCCAATGACCGCAAGAAGCGTCACGACATCGAGTGACCAATTGGCCTTGACATTGGGAAACCATTTCCAGCCTGGGCTGCCAGGTTCAGCCATCCTGACGGTATTACAGTATGGGAGGAGAGGTATCGAGGTTTAGCCGGTAATAGGTGTGCGTCTAACAAATGATATCGAGGGACGATTAAGTAAAAACAACTCCAAAGGAGGACAAAACGTGAGGTACAAAAGTCAGAGCAACATGATGGCAGAATGAAGAGAGATCAGAATTGAAACTGGGGGCTTGTCAGTTAAATCACATTTGGTAGGGAGTTTCAGCCCTCTTGACATAAACGGTTAATGAGTGGATCGATCTCTGAACCGCTGCGCCATGGCGGCTGCACCCGCTCCCGAGCTTTCCCTCCCCACGTCTCAGCTGAGCCAGGGATACAATAAGTGTGCGCATTTAACCAGTATACATTTTGGATAAAAATATCAGTTTTGACTCTATGGATTAGACCTATATGATTGAATTCAGATAGGCTTCGTTTCTACGTTGGATTCAAAGCACAGAGGGAATTGCTGAGAGTGTGTCTAAGTCTCATAAAGTACCCTACAGCCGCCGCCAAGAACGTAACCCAACAACCAACAGCCAGCAGATCAGGACGAATAGCTCTGTGTAACAGGGCTGTGTGATTACGATTGATCCAATGGATGAACTGAATCAATATTTCGTAGGTGTCCTGTGTCGTACCACCCCTACACCCAAAAGGGTTGACGAATTATGCAAGAGAGTTAGATAATTAGTCGTTCGATACTAACATTTCTTCGTCCTCCTCTGGTTCTCAAAGCTGTCTCTATGGTCCTCCAGATCATTCATCTATCGTCGGTAGTGTCAAAAAAGCCATCCTAAACGCCGCTGCAAGTAAGTAAACCACAGTGGCCATCGCCCTCTTACCATTCACCAAACTCCGAACTTGTCAACAAATCAACCGCCACGTTAATCATGAGTAGCTCACTCGCTTCGTAAAAAACCATTGCCCCGCCGAGCCATATCATCAGACAACCTTCGGCTGCTCGTCATATTCTTCAATCATCCACTTGATAAACTCTTTCCACTTCTGCTCCCAGCCGCTGAATACGCGGTTGTATTCAGACTCTGATAGACAAGCGTGCTCCAAACTCCACAACGCCAATTGCTTCCATCCAAAAAGGCCCATGTCAGCCTTACCAACCAATACTTGGTAAAAATCATGAGATAGAGAGGATCTGTTAAGCTACGTTAGCAATATTTGTTACATGTTCTGTCGGAAGCACCTTACCTAAATAGTGTACCATTGTCCGAGCTGACCGTGCAATGCACATTGTTGGCAAGAAGCTGATACATTGTGTGACCGCTGACACGAGGCGTGAGTCCCAAGATCTCATTTGAGATGGGACAGAGCTCGAGGCAAACACCGCGCTCCTTCATATGTTGCATCACATAGGGGTGCTTCGCTAGCGCAAAACCGTGCCCGATTCTCTTCGATTTCAACAGGAGCGCATCAACAAGGTTGCCATCTGTATCGGTTCCCATATCTAGGGTCTCGCCACAGTGAAAGAGAAATGGAATTTCAACGCCGTCTCTGTCGCAATCCTCCTGGAACTTCAGAAGCTCGGGGATGAAGTCCTTGATGGGGCGCCCTTTGGACTCTTCACCAACAAGGTCGAAACCTACACTGTTGTTAGGAGATAACTTCTAAGGGAATGTGTTCTCTTACCTGCAATCCACTCAGGCCACATCTGTTTAAACTTCAGACACTCTGTGAGAGCAGCATCGATCTGCGCTGGCGCAAATGATCGAGGTGTACAGTAAATGACTTTCAGACCACCAAAGAACTTTCCTTGCTTTTTCATGTCGGTCTGGAAGTTTATGACCTCTTCGATTATCAGTTCCATGATGCCTTTGTTGTCGATGAGTTGAGTGCCGTCATCGCTCCAAAGTTGGTTGCTGGTCATGAAGTTGGGCCGAATTTCAGCATAGCTGATGTTGTCTTTCATGAAATCCTCCAGACATAACCGGGTGTACCTTCGGTATGCTGTCGCATAGTTGAAGAGACCCTTCATCATACGTGTCCGACCATTGAACTTTTCCCAAGCCCTTTGCTACGTTAGTGTCTGCATACAAAAGGTACAGATCGTGAACGTACCCAGATGCAGTCTGCAAATGATTATGCGCCTCCTCCTCGTGGAACATAAGTTTCTCGAATAGCCACTCATCAACATTGGTTGAATCTGTTGCGTAATATCCAGGGAACCTGTCAAGAAAATCTCTGAACCGCATCGTCTGCCGAGGTTGATATGTCTGTGAAAACAAGTCACCAGGTGTTTCCTTCTCTGGGCTCAATAGAGAAAATTGGATTTCGCATCGATCGAAATTAATAAAATCGTTGTCCGAAACAAGGGGTATATCGCTGGTGATAAACATCCGGTCCATCTCCTTTGCAAGATTGAGCAGGACTTGGGGAGCAAGACAGGCGTTGAAATGAATGTGCAAGTGGCCGCCCTTAGGCATATGCTGCGCTACGCGGAATAAGGACGTTTGATCGATGAGATGCTTGTTCGATAGAAAATGATCTCCAGGAAAACGAGGGTGTTGCTGGCCACCATAACCTGTTCGTGGTGCGGCTTGAGCATATACATTTTCCCCATCCTCACTCCTCAACCTTTGAATGATGGCATCTGCTCGTCTCTCTTCAGGAGTGCTGCGCATGCGACATCCATGGTCAAAATCCAGAGCCTTCTCTCGCGCTACCATCTGTTGTCGCAACTTGAAGTACTCCCCAACGACTCCAGGCTCTTGCGTCACGGTATCAGTGACGTCTGCCTTTTCGATAAGAACACCTCGTGCCGTGATCTCAGCATCATGGGCCTGGATGTGATTCCGCGCAGCCGCGGCATCATCTAAAGCTGGCTCTCCCATCCGAGAAATCTTTGCGCGTTTTGATAGACGAGTCATGAAATCGGTATGTGAATGATCCTTCCTATGGTGCTGATCGTAATCGTCCTGAGCTCCTTCCACCGGCTCTGTTCTTGAGCAGAGCGCGCCCATTTATGTTGGAGAAGCAAATAGCCAAAGCCTGTAAGATTGGCTAAGTTGAGAGGTAACAAAGGAAGCGTCAGAGGCAGCAGAGGCGCAGTCATTCACGGCTCTCTTAGACGAGCCGTAGCTGTTTGCGGTGAATGACTCCAATCTCGATAAAGCGCGGCTCACAAGCCAGAGCCATTAGGTAGCCAACGGTGGGCGGGGACAATGGCCTGTGTCAGTAATGTGGTTTCGCCAAGGTACGGCTTGGGTCCGTCTTTGTCTCGTGAGGGAGGGAGCTGTTGGTTGACGGGGAATCAAGTAGATATTCTTAGATAAACGCTCAGCTCTCACTCAGCTCAGACTTCTGCTGGTTGGAAACAAAGTCGGCAGTTTCATGTAATCGATCAATCAACCAACATGAATTTGTTGTTGCTTGTTACAAGTTACAAAGTCTGGGGGGCAGTGCCCTTGCCTTAATCAAGGCTGAAGGCTGACCCCAAAGTCCCCGACCTCGCTATAATAAGGGAAGATCAGGCACAGAGTCAGCCTGCGCAAGCGCTGGTTCGCTGCATTTGAGTGACTGCAGCGACTGGCAACGCGCTAGTCTCACTTCGGCTCCATGTCACAGGCCTAAGCGCTTAGCCAATGGAACCTCAATAAAGGTACCTGGTCACCTCCATCTCCCATCACCTAAGCCCAGGGTATTATTCAATTATTAGGCCAAAACACTAACTAGAACAGAAACGCCTCATCAGGCTTCTTAGTAAAAGACAGAGCATGGAATATGACCCATGGTCCTGGGCCTCAGTACTAGGGTGCGGTGTTAGGTCTTACTTAAATATAGCTGTACACCTTTGCTTCAGCCACGTCATTTATACACTTCAATTTGCTACGATCGTGTTTGATCTTTCACTGTTTTCTCATAACAAGACCAACACCTTATAGGGCACTGCAACTAATAGACTCTGGTATGATGTATCCGTTCCGATGCACATCCTTTGACCCATAGTCAAGGACATCTTCTATTGCAATGCCAGAGATGGTATCAATACCTCAATCAAGGGGCCTGCAAGTCTTTCCCGCACTCCCGAACCTGTGGCATCATATACAAGCTCTATCCATTTCGCCTTTATCATTCAATGCTTATCCATATTAAACGTACACAGCCCGTGTAGCCTGGCACTTGTTCAGCTTTTTTTGTCATCCGTGGAGTCTGAGGCTGAGGTTGAGCCCAGTCTCCCCTCATAAGACGATGTCCTCAGGCAAAGTAGCTCTTCCAGAGTACTCCCTCAAGGTCCTCCAGTTGTTCTGAAGTAAAGTACTGGGCACTTGTTAGTAATGATTTCCTCTGTAATCATTGGAAGGGGATATACCTTTTGATCGACTGTCCAACTATCCTGTCTCGTCTTTTTGAATTCGCTGAGAATTGTCTTTGTCGCTTTACCAACAACTCCAGGATCAGCAGCAGCCTTGCGCGCCAGCATTGCTAGTACCTCAGGCATCCATTCAGGTGGAGGGGTTGCATAAGGAAATGCCTCGATTAATGCGCCCAGCCCAAGGATTGCAGCATGACGTCTTGTGATTTGCTTATGAATGTCGACTGGGGTATCTGTCCCAGCAAGATGGCGGTTTCGCTTCGGCATGGGATTGCGTTCCAGTTCATCTTCAAAGCGGGCCTTGAGACGTGCAATCGTAGGGTCACGGATACGGCGGGGGGAGCAGCGTATCATGCCTGCGAGCGTAGTAGATGCACAGGAACGCACCTCAAGCTGTGTATCGCCCAGCATGTCAGACACGGCGGTGAAGAGTGCTTCTCTTTGAGCGCCTCGTGTGAGGAAAATACGTCTAAAATAGATGACCTGCATATTGACCAGGGCTCGAAGCCGCTGGTGCCAGCTGCTCGACGTCTTTCCAATGCGGATGAGTGCATCGATAAATTCTGTGTCCTCGCCATCTCGGAAAGGAATATTGGGCAAATGACGGTATACGTGATACGCAAGTCTCATAAGCTCCGGGTCTTCCTTGACATCCATCATGTGTAGTAATTCTTCCATGAAGGGGGTGGGGAAGAAAGGCACGAGCTGAGTACACTCGTGGGATGATAGTGTACAATCGAGCCACATAAGCACGGTTTTGGAACCCGAGGTATAAGAACTGGGGGTCTGCTGACCAGGTGTTCTCTCGTGTCGCCATTTCTCGAGTCGTTGGAAGACGTCTTTGATAGTGGCCGAGAACTCTTCCGTTGGTTGGTAAGGCCTGATACCGGTTGGCGAAGCAGCCTTGTTTTGTTCTAACAGCTTGCTGACATTCTCGAATGACTCGTGGTATCGAGTCTTATAGATGACTGATAACACGCGACCAATAGCCTCTCGTACCGCCTTGTAGGGATGATCAATGTGGGCGAGGAAGTCATCAAGAATTGGTTGGTCATGTCGGAAGTGCCAACCACCATCCGCAACAATGAACTCCAGAAGTTGAACCTTTGATGATTCTTTGAAAGCCGCGTTTGATGTCATATCAAGTCGGAATGCTCTGAGAGTATCCACAATCTCGTGCGATCGGCGTGGGTCCTTGGAGTCAAGAACGAGGTGTAGACAAGTGAGCCAGTATTGCAAGTTATCGGGTGTCAGGTCGTCCGCAAAAATGTTCAGCATGAACGGCGCAGCATACTCCCAAACGCGGTTTCGGATTTCGGGGGGATCATCACTGGAGCCCGCGAGCAAAGCGCCCATGATTTCCGAGGTCGCTCGATGCTGATGCTTGTCGTTGCCATCACCAAAGACCTCCTTTACCAGCTCCTTGACATCATCCAGAGTGACCAATGTTTTGCCGTAGTGCATCAGGTCAAAAACGTGCATCAATAAGTAGACATTGCTCATGCGGAATCTATCGGTCGACGCGTCTCGCGGTTCTTGCTTCAGATAGTCAAAGCACTGGGATAGCCACTCGCGATTCAAGATCCGGCCCATCTGATCTCGCACAGCAGTTTCAACATCATCGTATGCATTGAAAGGGAGCGGCTTCGCTCGGTAGGCTGTGAACTTCTTGCCCCATACTAGCCAGCCAGGGTGATCAGCGTCCACCATATACTCAGCCCCTTCGGGCTGCTTGAAAGCCTCGAGGAAATTGTGAGTAAATTCGGCGTCACCTTTTTCGACAGTAACTTGGATGCGGTTTCGGTCTCCAACTTCCTCTTCAAGAAGATAATTGCGATAATCATGGCCATAAACGGCTCGCATATCAACAGCTGTAAAGACCGATGTAAAAGCGCTCAGATAGTAGCCACGAAGCCCGGGATGAGGGTCATTTGTGCCCTGAGCAACGAGATCGATAAACTCAGGGGGCGCTAAGGTATGGAATCGCAGGCACAGGTTGGTGGCAAAAATTGCACATCGCGTAGCGATCTTCCAATGAGCACCCTTGGCACGCTCTGTCAATTCCAAGCCCAGTGTAGACTTGGACTTCTCGACTCTTGTTCTACGTTGCAGGATAAATTGATGGCGACTATCAATGGCTGCAGCGACATCAGCAGCAGGTTTGATTGTATCCACAATTTCATCATTAATGATAATCATGCGCTCAAAGGGCTTGCCGAAGTCAATTAGAGTGTATAACGCTGACGAGCCCAGGTTTTGAATGGAAGGCTTATCAATACCTGCAGTCTCGATATACAATCGCATGGCTTCAGGGGCGAAGCGCCAATCCTTGAGGAGAGTTCTCAAAAGAGACGTGAACAATAGAGTGTACATGCCTCCCTTGATTCGGTCATGGTCGTTCGTTTCAAGTGCTTTCCTGAGACGCTCAAGAATAACAGGAATCACCAACGGCTTGCTGCCAATAAGTGACTTCAACGATGAGTCCTGAGCGCTCTGTGCAACTCGTCGTACATCAGCATAAAGCGAAAGACTCGATTCGGCAAGATCAAGCAGCAGCCGTTTGTCAAGCTCGCTCTTCTGCCGCGATGAGGCGTTATGTTTACGTCGCAAAAGCTGATACGCCTCGGCACGTTTGATGAGAAGAGGTCGAGGATAGACTTTCCTCAAGCCTTTGATCTTGAAGGCGGCGATGTCAGATTTGTATAGTCGAACGTGCCTCTCTAGGGGATGAGCAGAGCGCTCAATGCCAACATCAGTAATCCAGGTACGATAGGCAGCGTACAGGGCGGTGAACGAATTCACATCATCTTCCTGGTTCTCGTTAAGGAAAGAGTGTGTTTTGGTCAGTAGATGACCTAATTCTTCTCGTAGATCGTGGATTCTGCTATAAGCAGGGTCACTGGATTTGAGGGCATAGCCTGCCTTGTAGCGGAACTGAGGTCGGAGTTCTTCGTCCTCAGCAACCTCAGCAAGAGGGTCTTCATCAATCATCATTTCGTCATCATCTTCCCGAGCCACATCATGGTCTTCCTCTGTATTTCCGGTCATGATACCCGCAGCACGCTCAGGGTCGAACATGGTGGCCATGCCTGACGTGACCAGGCGGATTTGCTGCATAAGCCGAGAAACCTCATCTGACCACTCCTTGTTCTTGCCAGTGCGGCTCACTGGTGGGTTGTCGCTCATGAGCGATTCCAGTTGATCTTTCGCAGACTTTGTTTGGGAAGCAAAGAGTTCAACGGCAAATTCGATCTCGGCAGGAGAGGGCTGGTGCCACCGAATGCTGAGATCGGCTGGGGCAGTTGTCTTTCCCCAATCATCAACATCGAGACCACGTTCGATGACCTCGGGCTCGTACAGAGCGTGATCGATGGGATAGGTGTGCGTCAAGTTGAGCAAGAGATGATGGATGTAATTGGAGACCAGAATAGTGGGCAGACCACGACATTTCTCTTGCATGTATTCCGCGATGCCCAGGAGCTCATCTTTGTATTTTAAAACCTCACTTCCGACATGAACAACTGCCATGGCAAGCATGCTGACATACCACACCAATGCTCGATCTCGGGGCAAATAGTCTGTTCCACTACTTCGGTCGGACGCGGCGTTGTTATAGTCAATCTCGTTGCGGATATTGACAACAAGCATGGGAATGAAGACCTTGAGAGTTTTCTCTGGGTTGACCTTGCAGAGCGCATTCAAGATCCATGCCATTGCATCTCGTGCTTGATGGACCACATGGCTTGAAACAAACGTTGCCACCTTCTCCAGAGCCATGTCGAAAAGTTCCGGTGACAACGATGCGAACAGGGGCGACAATGCAGCCGGCAAAGCGTTGATGACATTGTCTTCAGGGGTTCCGCCACGGACTTGGTTTGCGTCAGGCAAATTCTCGAGGAGAGTGAACACTTTCCCGAGAAGTGTCAGGATGAACTCGCCAAAGCCAGTGGTCGACGATCTCAAAATACTGGCCTCGTCTTCGTCACTGAGTTCGTTTTTATAGTCAAACTTTACATTCTGACCTTCGCGCTCCATGCGATCCATCTGGCCTTGGACCCACTCCATGGCTAGTGTTGTATCATGGATGTGGCTTCCTTCCTTAACCAATGGTACCATAGGAATGCTATACGCGACACTTTGAATGAAGTTGAGCGTATATTGGGTCTTGTTGAGATCATTGGCATCGATACCTGGGAGAGCCAGAGCCAAAAGAGCTGTGATGTGACACCTATAACCTTTATGCTTGGACATGATGTTGGCAATCATCTGTAATCCATTCAGACTTGAGGTGGTTCTGTGTACCTCCACAAGTCCCTGAAGACTAGGGTAGAAACGCTGCAATGCACCGGGCAAAACCAGGTCCGGTTCGAGATATGCAAGTCCTTGCAAGGCGCTGTAGTAATAGTAAGACACGCGGCTGCTTTTGGAGAAAAGACCCATGAATGTCACTTCTTTGAGTGCCATCACAAAACGCTTTTTCAAGGCATCGTTGATTTTACGATCTTCGGGGAGATCCAGCTCACCGCTCTGCTCGCGATTCCATCGGGAGACGAACGCCTCAGTGAGGTAGAGGGTCAACTGACCAAGCATGGTGGTCCATGAGCCTTGGTTAGAGGGGTGAAAGAAAGTATCGATAGACTCCATAAGGCCTTCCAAGTGTGAGATGATAGAATCATCTTCCTTCAGGCAAGCCGGAGACAAAGAGCTCACGATCAAGCGGGATATCATATAGGCCACTGGATACTTCTTCTTATCTTTCTCAACATAGATGCCTGCCCCAGAAAGATAGTCCAGAGGAGTATACGGAGAATTGGCTTGACCCACGGGGATTTGTGTGAGCCTGAGAATGGCTGTGAAAATGAGGTCGGATTGGTCCTTTGAAAAGATGCCATGGCTTCCAAATGGGACATAGGAGCAGGCTATGTGGTCTCGAGCAATACGAGACAGCAGGTCAATGAAGAAGATATCGAATGCCTTCGATCGATTGATGATGGACCACAAGTGGAAGAGCGTGGGGAAGATATCGGCTGGTTGAGACTGAGGTTCGTTGATGGGAGCGGGGTGACTTGGCAGCAAAGCATTCAAAACACCTGCTACGATGTAGGCGTTTGGCAGCTCATTAACACTGAAGAATGGCAAGAACTCCTCCAGCATCGCTCGACGTTCGGAAGGATCGAAGTACGTATGGGCATGTGTGCACAGCTTGAGCAGCTGTTTAGCGGAACGCTTGCGGTTGCTCTGGTGCGCTGGGACTTCTGAGGGGAGAATCCATGCTTTGATTTCGTTCCACAATGGCCTCCATTCAAGAACAAGATCTTCCCCTGGCTTCAAATAATGATTCTTCCTACAAGATGTGAATTAATGTCATCGAAATGTTGTCAGCACACGTACCTCGTTAGAGTGAGGACCATGCGCAAGAAGCGGTCCGAGGCGGTTGCATCTAGGCCGGGAGCCAATGCAAGGGAATAATAAAGTTTAGCTAGCTTTGCTCTCTGTTCTCTCGTCATTTCAAACTTGAGGTTGAGCCATCCCTGGAGCTCTTTCGTCCAATGGAGAGCTCCTGGGGAGAAGTCTTCCGCTCTGATAGCAATGTATAGCTGTTTGAGGATACCCTGCAGAGCAGCATCGCGTTGAGCTTCTTCTTCGACTTCGAATGGGAGCTGCGAGAAGTATGCAAAGGTTCGGGGCCGATATCGTTTCTTGTCGTCTTCATCGGTCTTGAGGTAAGGAATACCCGGGGACGTGGATCGTGAGATGGGCTCATATGGGAGGAAGTTTGCTAGTAGGTTAGATGCAGTTGTAGGCGGCATAGAACCGTGAGAACCCGAGGGGCGAGGACCAATGTTCTCATCCATGGCGGGCAGATAGATGCGAGGGTAAATAATGCAGTGATCAATAAATGATGCGATTCACTCGAATACCGCCGGGCAGCCAAGAGCGGGCGGCTCAGCTCAGCTGGGCTCAGCGCAACAGCTCAGGCGGGACGTTTATTGAATCGCAAGGCGGGGCGGCGAAGAACGGGTGGTGGGCATTGAGCTTATTCTGAAGTCGACGTCGATATGTACAATCAATATGCAGGACGTGGCGACCTGGACTTGAGGATACTTTCAGAGTTAAGCAATATATGCAAAGGCAAAAGTAAAAGTGGGAGGAGTTGAAGGATTAAGAAGCGGGCTGGGCGACCGTAAATGGTGATGGATGATGCAGCAGCAGTAGCCTGGCCTGGCGGACACATCTAACTTACGCATACTCAGAGCTACAGGTTCCACTTTTCCGGGGCCAGTACGCGCATCAGCCCCAGAGAAAAGAAGGGGATTTAAAACCGACGGGACAGTCGATCAGGAGCATGTGCGAAATATGGATCGTAATCAGTGAAGCCTACCTAGGTGAGCTTAATTAAATTCAGGGTCTTCACTTTGACCTATAGCGTGTTTTCTTTGATCTCAATGTTGCATTGCACTCTGTCGCATCGCCTTGATTCTCTGTTCTTCAGACTTTGTATGCACATCAATACCCTTTATCGCTGTATGCATGCAACTATGGAGAAGTGATTGCCATCCGTCCCGTCGTAGGTAAATCACAAAGGGTTCAAAGGATTCGGTACGGGAATAACCGTGGAGTTGAGCGGCAATACGCAGAGAATCACCCCGCTTGGGTTTTGAGGCTTTCCATGATCAGCTGTTCACTTCATTTTGTAGCTGACCATCGAGTGAAACCTCGAACCCGTTGTCCCATTACTCGACCTTGCTTGCTGTCCTTAGTAACGGCTACTTGCATTTGTGGCTGATTGGTTCCACTTTGTTGGTGTGATTCTTATCCCCATTCCAGCCCGAAAAACGTCAATGCTATCACAAGCGCAGCGTGTGATGGTGATACTGCTTTCCCCCGAGTACTATGGACCAAGCTGAGCCGGTTTGTATTCTCGTCCCTTCTATTCAAACACATTCATCCAATCAGTTTCTATCCCAGTCAAAACGAAGACGGGATACCCAAGGCAGCGGGACAGCGTTGTCATCTACGTCAATGCTAAAGGCTCCAATAGGAAATTATGCAAGACAGCCTGAACAGCATGCTTACTCTTCATGTCTCAAAAATGGCCAACTGATTCGTAGGCATGACATCCAAAAGCACCGCCATCGGTGGTCCGAAGTAGTCCGAATTTACCGCGTCAAACACGCAAGCTTCCTTTGCCTAAGCCAGCTTGAAGCTCTCGCTTTGGGTGTTTACCATCACACTTCTTATGATTGCGTTTCTCTATTACTGCCTGCTCCATCTGTAAGCATTCACTAGTCAGGACAAAATGCTACATTACACAGCGGTTAGATGAATAGAACTATACATCCTATTAAGCTCGCGGTTAAAGACCCCTCGATCTTTGACCCAGCATTCCCCAATCGTAATCATACTCTCAATCCGATCAGCATTATCAAGGGCCCCACCATCTGGAAGGGTCCTCCGTGAACATGTGCTATTCCGGAGGAGGAAAGGCTCCACTTCGCCGTGTTTCCGGCTCGAGGTGTCCGTTCTCACCAACTGAGGCGCCAGTTTCATGTTCAGAGAAGATTAGTTCTTTGCGAGACCAGGAATATGTCATGCGCGAAGATAATAAGTCCTTTTGAGGACGAGGTATATTTATATTACAATCATCACTATCGATGTATCAATACTCGAACTTGTGTCCATATATATCTTCAGCCTGCGCATGGGAGTTGCTTCTCCGGCGGAAAATCTTGTCTGCAAAATTCCGCACACTAATGCTCACACGTCTTGTCGGTGGCCTGTCTGACTTAATATCGAGGGTCTCTAGCGGAGGTCTTCCATCCTCGCTGACACGCGGCGTCACAAACCGCTTGACAAACCCGGCATTGTAGGACACCGACCTTCGACGTGCGGGCATGTCCGATGTGCAACTGTCCAAAGAACTACTTGCCGGGCTCGTGTTGACATGCGGTAATTGATGTGAAGGATTAACAAGGGGAAGGCTTGGGCGAGCAGGGAACGTCTGAGCTCTCTGCGGACCACCACCATTGCTAAGTGTGCGTTTTTGTAACGTCGATGGTGTCCTGCAGATTCCCGATGCTGGCAATCCACTTTGTCTAAGGTTTACCCAAGATGCAGTTGCAACCATCAGAAGTTTGATGTCTTCTGGGACCACTTTCGTCAATCGTGACTGAATTTCAGGTGGGTTCGAGACGATCCAGTCGCTGGCAAGCTTAGAGTCTAGTGGTGTGTTTCGAGTTGGAGGATAGCGACCGCTTGAGGTCGACATGGTATTATAAGTGTCAAAGACGTCCAGCGTATTTGACATGAGGGAACCCATGATGGGGTGCCGTCTTGTGTCGGGGTGTATCATACTAAATGTCCACTTGACTTCAGCGGGCAACGGGCTCGGTGGTGGTGTTTGTTCTCCGGTATTCTTAGGCATGGGGGATGTTGGCGTTGAAGTCTTCTTGACCCATCGTGCCGTACTGATTCGTCCTCGCTCGTCAACTCCAATGAACTCATATGAGCCATTGGTCATCAAACTTGACTCCCAGGTCGATCCATCTTCCATCACGATTTCGGCGGACTCGTCACCCATTTGGGGAAGTGGACTAATAACTGCAACGACGTCCCTTTGGTCGAGCGAGTCTTCGGTATCGAGAGATCCTGGAGATGCTGGCGTGTCGTAGTCCTCACTGCGAACAATAAGAAGATCGTTCATGCCTAGGACTGGCTTTGTACGGAACAGGTGGGGGCAACGCTTAGCCATGCGAGGAACAATCTGAGAGCCCGTGATGAGGCTGGACGGTACTACATCAAATGCGGGTATTGGGCGCTTCTCGCCGACTTCTTGTAATTGAAGGAGCAGTCGTGGGCGGAGATGAACCAAGCGGCGTTGTCTGGCTCCTGGTCGAGGTGCTGGGTGTGCAAGAAGAAATTGTGTAGATTTTCTGAAGGTGCGCTTCCTCCTCCTTCTTCGAGGTGCTGTGGATGAATCACTTAGCTCACTTATATCTGAGCAGGCAGCAGAGCCTTCGTCTTCGCTCTGAACCTCTGACGGTGGCAGGTCGTCATCAGTCTCCGGTTCACGAAAGCGAACAGAGAGATCTCGCCGAGGCATGTACTCAGACTTGGGCCTGGGGCGAGAAGTCCGGCGCACCGGCGTCACTGTAGTCGCAGGCGGGAGTTTCTCATGGTATGACATTGGTCGGAGTTGTGGTAAGGAAGTAACGTCTGCTGATAATGGCCTTGTTGTTTTATCAGTATCTGACCGACGTCGAAGCGCTGATCGGAGGAAGGGCAACGCTCCTTGGGGCGCTTGTGTCTGTCGATTTGTCGAGTACTCGTGGCCGTGAAGGCTAGCACCAGCATGCAGGAACATGATAGCCAAGCCAAGTTCGGGTCGAGCTCATGCAGCAGCTCAATCAAAGGTGTCGTTGGTATTAGACAGAAGATCGACTCTGTCGTCAAATAGGGCTGAGTGATGATTGATGGCGAGTGTAAACAAATACAAAGACCACGAAGTGAAGCAGGCCAAGTTATGATATGTGTTTCAGTGGCTTTCAAAGCCGAATACGCAACTAAAGCACAGGGCGTGATCGAGCAATAAAGTAACCGATCTGGCGGGATGTTAAGCCGGGGAAGATGTGGTCCGATGAGACCAGGATGAGCGAGATGGGATGATACGGAAATGGTCGACCCGCCGTGGAAGCCAGCACTTGGACAATACACGAACCGGCAGATGACGAGATGTTTGGTAAGGTGTCAAGAGATAAGAGGTTGGCCCAATATCGTCAGGGGAGGTGTAGCCCTGTTTAGTATGGTGGATAGGAAGAAAGTTGGTATTACAAGAGACCGCGCGCAACTCTGTGTATGAACTGATCGCGTGGGGTCTGTCAAGTATTAAAGTCAGCTCTGAATAAAGCGGTCACCGTAAAAGACGGATGAAAAGCGAAAATGGTTGAGCGGCGGAAAGCTAGCTGTTAGGCGTTATGGGCTCATGGGTAAGGTGAAGATTATACGGTCAAGAAGACAAGGACTCGAAGCGGTGGAAGATACTCGGGTGTATATCAGAAGCAGACGCGATGATGGGCAGATCCAGGGGTCAAGCTGGGGTAAGCAGTGGCTTGCCTGGACTGTCATGACATGGCCGTCAAGAAGGCATCAACGGAATCCGCCTCAAAGCCAGGGATAGGGCGGTCAAGCCGCTCAGGCACAGCTCAACGATGCCGCGAGACTCCATCCGCTAATCAATAGAAGGGGCCAGGGGTAGAAAGAGCGGCGCCGGGAGCAACATGCCGTAGACACGCGAAAACAGGGGATAGAAGAAGCGAGGACGACTTACGTATTAGTGCATGCGCAGCATCGAAAAGTGTTGAGTCTGGCGGCTAAAGGCCCAAAAGATGAAGTGAATTATTTGCGAGGCTGGGAAATAGAAAAAGAGAAAGTCAAAGGGAAACAGAACGAGAAAAGAAAAGGAGGAGCTAGAGAAAGTAAAAGGGTGGTAAGATGAATGAGTGAGGCCGCCCTAGGATCGGCGGGTTGGATATTAATTAGAGTCCAGGTGGTGACCTCAAGCTGTTACTGGTGGCTGCCGTTGTCCCTGTCTACTTTATTGGCTCGAGATGTCTCTGGCGGTTTTTGCTTTTTGTTTGTGTACCGGTACTTTGGGCTTTGAGCGTTGGACCAGCTGGCTGGTTCCCCAGGATATTTCCTTTTTTAGTAACCAGTCCTGATGATCGCAGTGCAGTTACTGTTTTGTTTGACTTATATTCCCCTATTACGTCGATGTCGTGTGCTAGTCAAGTCTGCGTCACCAGATCGAGGTCTCCTTTCTAGCAGCGATCCTAGTCTCTCCGATCGAGGAAGCAGGGCCAGACAGCTTCTGTGAGTGTCGAGGGATCAAGATCGAATAAAGTCGACGGCGAAAGGAAATAGTAGAAACATTCATCGGTTGTTGGGAAGAGGCTGGCAGATACCCTGCTCTCTCAGTCCATGCTCTTGCTTTAATCCTTTTTTTCTTGTTGGTGGCCCCAAGTGCTAGAGCCAACCTTGGCCTTGAAAAGCATGCATGGGATAAATTTTTTTCTTCTCTTTTTCTTCTTCCTTCTCCCGCGCCTTCCAGCTCATCCTTGATATTAGTGAGGTGGGGGAGCGGGTCATTAAGCCATGAACACGCCCGATGCATCCATCCTACAAAAACCTCATGCGACTGATGAGATGCATGCATGCCGCTGCCCGCTAAGTTCAGCCCAGTCAGTCTGGTAAACAAGCTCTCAGGGGATCAAGTCGATATCTCGCAACACTGGAATGTCATATGAGGTGAGGTTGCCTACCTCATGGTCAGGGCCTTTCAGTCAATGCAAGCTGCGGCACCTCCCGTACCAGATTGGTCCGAGCTGGGAAATAGATGGACGTCAACCCGAACACGAGAAAGGCTGGTAAGCCAATCGAGTTTAATGAGACATGCAAACAACATGATTCAGACTCGTGAGCTCCTAACTTTAGTGCTGTTCCTGTTATTAAGGCTGCCCTCGTGCCTCAACATCTGCTTTCTGTCTAATAACGGTTTAGCATAACTTTCTCCCGTAAACCCGGGAGTGATGGGGTGGATGTCAGACGTCTTGACACTCTCAGTGGCTGATCCACTCTTCTGGTTGCGGTGTTGCGGTCAAAGACAAGTTTTTACGGCTCTCAACCGCGACTTAGACACATCCATCAGTCCATAGTATCAACGTAGGATCGGCTCAAAAGTCAACTGCTCCGCGGGGTTACGGAATCACTTGCTACTGGTCAGCATCGACATTTATGGCAACTTCTTGGGCACAGAGCGGGGTGCGTCGCACATTTTAGATGCCGCGACCGTGTAAGAGCCTCAGTCTGAGTTCAAGCGTTCAACAGGCTCTATGGACACATTCCCAGTTCCATACTGGGCATCCAGCATTGCAAAGGTTGCCTATCGCAGCATTTTCTTTGCGCCGACACTTCTACGCAAATACGCCCTCTGTTACAAGTTCAGGTCAATCTACGCATCAATCTCTTCAATGGCGGTCGAGTAGTCCCATATCAGACCTAAGCTTTCGCATGCAGGCAATGACAAGGATGAGATCGTGCATGCATGTACATACATATCGCCAAGTCAGAATCCTAGACCGCCTGTCTGTCAGTGAAACGAACCAATTGCTAAATGACAACAACTACAAACGCTGTTTTAATGGTCTGCTTTATCGTGTTATTGCGCTTTTGTTGGGGTGCTGGTTGAAGCTATCGTTAATTCTTTTCAGCCTCACACCACCTAAAACTCATCTTCGCATGCAAATCTCCCAGTATCATCTGGACAAAATAGCAGCATGTTTCAAGCATTAAAACATCTGTTTCGGCCAAATTGGCATCTCCAGCACTCGCTAATTCATAGTATTGGCACCTCGCGTCTTCCAGAAGCCCAATCGGCTCGTAACAGCAATAACTGCCAGTTATCCCACAAAATCGTGTTGGCCGTTCTCCACAAACATTATGTTATATCCTGTTATGTGAGTTTGGGTCATAATTTACTCAAGAAAATAGTTGAGATGTGAGATTCCTCATTGTTGTCGAGAGTCTTTCCTCTACCTAACGTCCAAGGTTTCTGAAACTATTTTCAGTCCTTTCCAGGATTTGGCACCTTTTCGCCGATCATCAATAAAGCCCAGGTTCTAACCGGTGACACGGAAGCCTGGCTTTATCAAATAACTAGCAAAAGCGTAACTAGTATGCATGTTTTCGCGCTGCTAAATTCGTGGAGCAAAGGAGATCCAAAATGGTTCTGAATGCTGATGGCTGTCATGAAGCCTAGAGCAAATCGATTATACGGCAAGATATTTTTCACCCACATAGAATAGTCTTTTTATTGCAAGTTCATGCGATTCAACGACTCAATATTGTACCCTTGCGTTGAAAATACTATTCCCGTCCTCAAGGTACAGGTACTTTTCCGCATCCAGTCATTCTGACCATCCAATGTCAGGGTCATGATAGCTTACTGAAACACCACAAACTCAAAATCATCTCATTTATCACAAATTTTTTAACGGCTCCCTTGCCCCGATCCATCATTCAAGCGCGCGGCTGCATATCTCAGATCAATCAATGCCGGGCAACATCTCGGAAATCGGCACTTTCTACTTGTCCGATCCGTCCAGACGTTTCGGATGTCTCGGTACTGATTATCGAGACTACGAAAATATTGATCAGCTCGCTGCTGTGGGTTAGTGATCATCTTCACGGGAGCCTCGGGACAAAGATGGACAGCCATGAGCTGAGATTTGCATTTCAAGCTTGAAAACATCGTCAGCTGCTCAAATCATGCTGTTCTGATAGGACGGTCCATAGCATGCGGCTCAACCTTCCAGTCAGCCAATGTAGCCCTACTCATACTTTAGCTTGTATTAGGCTGCTTATGTGTGCCATTATGTGGCAAGAATTGTTTGAATGGGTGACATCTAGCTTTCGTAAACTGACTACAAGGAACGCAAAACTTTAATGACTGAATATATGTCAAAGACACCAAAGACCTGAATCGCCATTAGACTCAGGGTTCCAACCCAGATTTGAGTTTGTGCCCCTTATTCTAGGATTTGTCGACGTTAGACCGCATACGTAATGGTTCCCTAAAGTTGTCAGCTGTCCTTAGGGCTTTCGAGCAAGTTTATCAACAACAGAATGCACTTTATTTGCCAGATGTCGTCGCTTCTTGCCTTTCATATCAAGTTCTGGGAGGGGATAAATCGCCGATCAATAAGAGTATGACCTTGGCTAACACGATACGCGAGGGATACCAAGACATCTTAGCAACTTCTAGTACGCATCGCAGTCTTCTCTGATCTAGACGACCAGCTTAAAGAAGTACACATATTCTCTGTGGGTAAACCAGCTGAGACGATGAGTTCCGAAGCGAGGACTGCAAATTGCCATATTCTAATGTTGAATACTTTAAATTCGACATTCATATACATCGGGAATAGTCCCTTCGTGATAGCCGTTTCAACTCCCATGGATCTTCAAAATCTGGGGTAGTCCTTAGTCATCGAGCCGCTAACCTGTAAAATTCCCCCACTATGTTCAAGCTTTCACCAACATCTGATCGCATGCATCAACACCAATATGCTTCAATTATACCGGTAGTCTCCATGTACACGTACCCACACAAACCGCAGCCGCCATGATTCGCCAACACTTCGTCGCGGCGCGCAGTTCACAGCATAGAGTCGCGGCATTGGCACTTTATCGAGCACTCTTGAAAACAGCGTCCAATGTGCCCTTACCGCATCATCTCCATCCTGGTGGACGGAAACACCCTTTGACAAAAATAGTGAGAGAGAGATTCGCCAAGAATAAGCCACTCACCAGTTTCAGGCTTCTTTACGACTCAATGGCTGCAGGATACAAGGTTTGAGGCTTGAACAAGATTTGGTCTACATGGTCTAATGTTCTGTTCAGTTCCTTACTTTATTAACGAAAGGACGAGATACAAAGTCGCCCGAGCACTCTGAAATCCTTCGACATCTCCGGAAACGCAACTTTACGGCCAATCTTTCGCGTCTAGAATCCCCCTCCTACAAAAAGCCACCCCGTTCGAAACAACGAATCAATCCTCCACTTTTCACCAAAGTCTCTGCCTCTGATGAGCCTGTTAAATACGAACCAACTATCCGCCCTCTTCCAAAAACTGCATTTGTAGGCGAAAGAAAGGCGCCAGTTACTGGTAACACTGCTGAGTTCCTACCGTTCGTGCGAATCAAGAAACCACAGCCGAGGGTGTTCTCACGGGCAGTTAGTAGAAAGACAACCATATTTCGACGGTCTGTTAACACTCTTTTGAGTGTTTCCAAAAAGGACATTCCGAGGGCTCGATTAGGCGATCGTTGGGACGCTATGATGGACACATTGCTACTTGAGGAGGGTCTTACGGATGAAGTTGTACAGGATGGACCATTAGCGTCATATCATTTCACTGCGACTCTGACAAAAGCTTGGTGGGATCAAAAACTTACGAAGATCACAGACGACCGGACGGCTCGCGCTAAAGCAGTGAGCAGTCTTATTGAGCAGGAACTTGCACTGGTCAAGGAAGAAAAGGAGAGTGGCGCAGAGCCAACTGATCCTAAAGTAGCAAAGGAGACTTTGGATACAATCCTAACAGAATATCGCCAAAAGCAGACCGAAATGGAACGAACGAGAGACACTTCATTTGAAGACCCGTTCTTGTCTGAACAATGGATCGCAAAGACACAAAAGTTAGAGCGTGAATATGCCAAGAAGTATGAAGGCATAGTGGACGACAGTGATAGAGGTGTCTCTTGGGCAAAGAGGCAAGGGCTGGCCAAGAAAGAGAATTCTCTGTTAGGGGCGGTGGAATCTGACGAAGATGCTCAATTTTTCAGTCACGTTGCGGCCATGCGAAGAGGTCGCTAATAAAAGGGTCTGTAATCACCTTCAATTATACCCGGTTTCGGTCATTTATAGTGGAATTGGAAAGAATATAGGCATGTACAATATAGATGGGATATGATACCCTTTGTATTCAACTTTTGGCTGCAAATGCTGTGTAGATCATAACTTGAAATGCACAAAATTCCCAAAATCGTATGCCCTAAACATCCAAATCATTCATCAATGTCGTCATTCTGTCAGGATACGTGTTCTTAGACAGGTTCTGCCTCCAGCTGTCTATTAGACCTATTCGAATGCGCGCGTGGTCGAGTAATCATCTTCAACGTCTTTTTCCCCTCGTTTGCTACTTCAGCCCAGCTCTTTAACGATTGGAGTGAGGGCACAGATGGTCGGCGTGTCTGATCCCCGTCGATGCTTGCGAGGTCGGACCGAAGAGTTCTCGGGGATGACATGGCGGAAAATGGTATTGAGAAGGCAGGGCTGCTCGGCTCTGACGGCGCTGGCCGGGGTTCAGGGGTCACCACTCTCGCATCGGGTTGATCAGGCTGCTTGGACAATTGGCCCCATTGAGGTACTTTTGCAGAGTCCACAGGAAGCGGGTTGCGGTCCAGGGCTGGGCTGCTTTGCAGAGGTGTTGGATTTGTCTCGATGCTATGTCGAGAGAATACTGAAGAGGACATGCTGCTATCCGTGAGGCTTTGGTCACGGTTGAGATTCGGCGTTTCACTTCGAGACGGTGTAACTGGCAAGGGGAGCTTCGAGCCAGATCCGCGCGAGCGCAAAGTATAACCCGAAATATTGGTGAAACTTGGTGTTCTCGAGGTCGGGAATTCAATTGAACCTCTGGGGGTTATGTCATTCGGAGGTCGCGGTGAGACGGCTTGTCGTTGTAGTGGTGAGGCCCTCTGCTCTGGTGGGAGACGCTGATAAGACCGAGACCATGGCTGAAAGGCTGGCCTTGCCGCTGGCGTAACCGGCGTCGACTTCGATTTTGGTGGCGATTCAAGCCCAGGCCCAGATTCAAGATTCGTTGTGCTGCTTCGATAGGGTCGCGGCATCGCCATTTTGCTCGGGGGCTTACTCGTGCTACTCCTCCTTTTGGCATTATCTGCCTCTAAGGTATGACACCTATCCTCCATATCTTTGAGCTTCTTTTGAAGCATGACCACAGCCTGTTTATGTTCATCGACCTCGCGCTGGAATCGAGATTCGTATGTTCTGTCTCGTCCTTCGAGCTCGGCAACCTTTTGTTTCAAGCGATCGTTTTCTTTCCGAAGGCTCATCAATGCCGTGAGCTTTTTATCCCACTTGTCTTCGACCCACGATATTGGCCTTTTACAACACTCTCCATGATAAATTTGATGAATTCCTCCGAGCATGGATAGTTTATCATCAATTTTGTATGCGTGTAATCGGTTTTTGGGGTTCGGAGTGATCATTCGAGCAATCAGGTTGACAACTGGCCGGGGACGAACTGTTTCTTGGCCCTCGTAGGTAAACATAAAAGGGGGAGTGACCAAGGCATGAGAGGTAAGCTTTTCCAAGTGAGTATTCAGCTTCTGCTCTCGCTCACGAAGCTGTTCTTCCTGGGTATTCCTAGATGGGTATCTTAACGCCTCGTCAAACTCGGCTAACCGAACATTATACAGAACGGTTGCAATATTTAGAAATACTAAACCAAGTGAGTAGATATCTGACAACTGCATGCTGGACCCGTCGTTGGCATACAATTCAGGTGCTCGCCATCTCTCAGTTCCCGGTACTCCCTCTGTCATAGTTTGATCCTGTCCACTAACATCTCTCGAGACGCCAAAATCAGCAAGGTAGACTCGGTCTGCCTTGAGCAGGATATTAGATGGCTTGATGTCGAGATGCCTCACATCATTCTGGTGGCAATAGGCCAATGCGCGAGCAACGCAACCTATTGTATTGCGTAAGAATTCGAGTGGGCATTTTGTTGTCGAGTGGAGAAGCTGGTCTTCAGACGATTGCTCTATAGCGCTCAAATCCTTGATGTCTAAAGCATCTAGCCTCTCGAGGATATCCTCACGGTCCCCTTCTCCCATGCGCAAGTATTCCAAGTCTTCGAGGAGAGTGCTCAAATTACAGACGGCAGCAGGCCAGATGAGCAGGCATAATTCGTGGGTTCGAGGTGCGTATGTGGCAACCAATTTGACGACATGGCGATGGTCAAGTTTCTGCATAGTCAAGCTCTCCTTGCGCAAATCGTCGATAGTAAACCCGCGTCGACGTGGGATCCTCTTACGCGCAAGACAGACAGACCCGTAGGAGACCTTCTCAACGCGACCGAATGCGCCATATCCCAGATCTTCAAGCTTAGCAAGTTTTGTATCGAAGCGCTTCGCATCGGGGCCATTGAAGAGCGGTTTGTTTCTGCGCAGCCAATGTCAGCATCGAAGGTGTGCGCAACTCATCGGCTATGAATAGCTTACATGCCGGGCCAACTATCATCATCGTTCCAGCTTTCTATGATGGTAAGCTCCTGGAGCTCGCGCTCAGCCTCCCATACACGACCATAGTGCTGGGTCGGACCTGTTTGCCCGACTCTGGTCCATCCCCGGGTCCAGTCGCCCATGCTGAGGGACGTTGAAGGCAAAGCAGATGTCGTCGAGGGTGCGGTGATAGTTCGCGAAATGGTAGCGCCGTCAGAGTAAAACAGGAGCCATAGTGACAAAGCCCGATATCTATATTGGTTATAGGGTCAACAATGATTGACGGAATTGTTTTTTCTGGAGCAAAGAGAGCAAGCCAGGCGCATATGCTGAAGATGCTGGCGTGAAGATGAATGAAGAGGTTGTGAAACGACAGAAGAATAAAGTCGTCTGTTGGTGGGCAGGAGTTGAGTCTCGGCCCTTGTCGCGAAAGAGGCAGTGACATTTTGGTGGCCTGGTTGTGTCCAGCACAAAGCTGACCCATTAGGACTACCCTGAAGCGGTGGAGGGTCTTTGAGGGTTGGACAGCTGCTAATTGGATCAATTGAACGCAAATTTCTGGTGCATGGATAGTCTACATAAGTGGATGAGTGTATACATCCTGGTTTTCTTTGATCATACTGCACGCATTAGACTGGATACAGTTGGTTCAAGCAATGGTTTGCTCTCTCTGTCTTGCATTTACATATCAACTCTTGGTCCCGCCCAAATTCATCCCCCGCTTTGGACACTGCCTCTTCAGTGGGTCAAACGTCGCTCCGATCCGCTGGAACCCACTAACCATTTAAGGCTGAGCCATGGCCAAGCCCCTCTCATGATTGATGTCCTGGTACAGATGCATCTCATAGATTGTTTCGAGAGGGTTGAACGGTCAACAGTGTCTTGTGTAACATTGAAAATACTTTCATTTTGAACCCAAGCACTTGAAAAACACCTCTATGAAAAGACAACAAGCAATTCCAAAGCCTGGGTTTCCTGTTCCTCAATGTGGTACCTATCTTGATTGATCATCACTTTTCTGGCGCTAGTCGATAAGCAGACATCGATCGGCATTTGAGATCCTAGCTGATGCACAGCCCTCTTTCGGCTTCACCACCAACCCCAACATTATCTCACATCTCTACCCCTATCATTCCACCATCATTCAAGTCTCATCCTCGCCTTTGCTCCGTACCCTCCGCATATCCCCACTCCGGCATACGGAGCACAATCGGCGGAGCTCCGAGCTTCATCCGGCTTCACCGGAGTCGCACAGTCGTTGTCCCGGCAGTTACTCTTGACACATATCAAAAAAATCATAAACTCGAATCATTTGTGACTACGGCTGATTATCACATGATTCATATTGACCGTGTCCCCTGAGGCTATCATCCACGGACTTCATCGTTCAATACACCCTCCATTTCAGGTCACAACGCCCTCATTTAAAAACCAACCACCATGCTTGAAGAACCTCAGACCGCTCCTGAGTCATTGCCAACGCGGAAGCGATCCAAGGCGTCTGAAGAAAACGACGAGGAACGGAGTAAGAAGCGATCAAGAGGCCGTCCACGCCTTGACACCAGAGATGAGACGGCTCAAGATGTGAGTTCATGCGATGAGCCAGCCTGATCTCATTCTGACTAACAATTTTCACAGCGTCGTCGAACGCAGATCCGACTGGCTCAAAGGGCCTATCGTAATCGCAAAGATACTGCCATTACGACCCTTGAGGACAAAGTCAAGGATCTTGAAGATGCTAATGAAAACATGAGCAAAGAGTTCATGAACTTTTTTGACTTTGTTCTTTCACAGGGAATGCTGGAGGGTGCACCTGAAGTTGCAAGACGTCTCAATGATACAACCCGCAAGTTTCTCTCACTCACAAGGAAATCTGCCGATGACTCGAACCGCGATGGCATCGAAGATACTCCAGCCCCTGCGCAAGCACAAGAGCAAGTCGTGTCACAGCCCCCAGGACGGCACCCATCTGGCTCTGACTCTAGCACTTCTGGCTCGGGGAGTGGTGAATTCATGTTACAGAACCCACCTGGTTTTAACACTTCTCAAGAGAAGAGCCTGTCTACTCCGCAAAGACCGGACGCCACTATACGGCAACAGGCTACGCCTCCCTTGAACCTGCCTTACGAAATCATCACAATGCCAACTACAGATAATGCAAGTTTCCCGGTTTACGACACACAAACGACAGTTAGTTTCGAGCAAAATCCTTTCCTTCAATCACCCTTTCCCAACGTTCATTCGCCATCCACTTATGCGCCCCAAGAACGGAGCTTTGGTCGCCGCCTTCAGAGAGCAACTTTGGAGGCTGGCCTGAGGTTGGCATCGATGGCCAACCCACCTCCCCATCGATATGCCGAGGTCTTTGGATTTTGTCTGCTATTCGAACCCAGGGAGTCTATCATCCGCCGCATATCTAGCACATTGGCAAGAGTGAGCCAGGAGTCAATGTTTGTCTGGAGGTATCCTTTCACAAACTTGGGTGGTGCTGGGACTTTCTTCCCAAATAATGGAGAAGCCGGAGGAAGTACAGCAACGGGTGCCAATGGGAATGCGATACCGCTAGGAAATCAAGGTTTGGCACAGCATATGAAGCCACAGGAGATGACTGGGTTTTCAATGGGTCCTTTTGACCCAGATGTTGAAACGACCAAAGGTGATCGTATTGACGCTCGCATGCGAATGATGTACAAGGGATTTGAAGGGGACTTCTTCGATGCAGATGAGGTGGAAACATATCTACGTCAACGGGGTATCGTTATACCTGCTAACATGGATTTTATTGATGCCGAGATTGATATGGGCTCGTTTGACGAAACTCCTGACCTTTCAGGCTTAGGAACGAGCAGCAGCTTCTTCGGAACGCATCAACCCCCCGCGTCAAGCCAGGCGCTTTACATGCCGTCTCAGCATGCCACAAGTGATATACCGAGTATGTGGCAAAGCACGATACCTACCACCCTCGCTACCACCACAACGTCTATGACACAACCTTCTCCCATGGCACCTGCAATGGGCGTTGACTTCATAAACATTATGCCAACAGTTGAGGCCACCAACCCTGGGCAGTTCGGTACAGGGATGGGATCTCTCATGGATTCATCATACTTTCCTCGAGATTGGGCCCCAGATGCCAGTTGGATGAAGACAAAGGTGACGATGGACGTGAATCGACTAGTAGCAGGTGAGTTCCTTCAACTTGTGTTATGAAGCCAGTAACTAATAAAGTATAGAAATGACAAGCAGGGCAGTCTGTTTAGGTCGCACGCCAGGCTTACGACCAAAGGATATAGACAGAGCAGTTAAGTTGGCTATTGTACTGGCTCAGACATAATGTCACGTTTCATGTTTGCTTGCCATTGGGTATCATAAATCTTGAACGTTTAACTCCGATATGATTGAAGAAGAGCCTATGAATATTGGCGCATTTGCATGGTGTTGGGGGAGCATGAAACTCCTGTCAAACTTTGGGAGTTGGTTGAAGAAATCTTCATGTATAATATTACGGGCGTATACCCTTGAAAACCCTTGCCTACAATATTTAAAATGAAAACGCGGCAATGTTATTCTCAAAATATGTCAACATCTACTCTTATTGTCTGGATGAGTCCATATTGGGTTTGATCACGAGTGGGGCTCCGCATGTGTCGTAATGCTCATCTTCAGCAATCCGTGAGGGGAGATTGTCCATCCCTTGACATTTAACTATCTTGGTTTCTGATTTCAGATATCTTGCTTATAACCACCAAAGATGGAGTACAGAGTTCAAGAACAAACAATACCGAGACTGAAGCCTCGTCTTGTCATTCACGGAGGCGCAGGTAATATTCAGCGGGATACGTATCCGCCGGAACAGTTTCGGGCTTATCGGAAAGCTCTTATTGACATTGTGAGTTCATAAACGGTAGCATGAGGAGCCCCATATTCTCAAGTATCTAATTGGTCTTTTTAGGTCACCAAAACGGACCAGTACATGAGAAGCCCAGACGAGGTAGTCTCAGAAAAGCCATGCAAGAAGCTCCCTTCAGCTTTGGATACTGCAACCTACGCAGTCCGTCTTCTGGAGAACAATCCCCTATTCAACAGCGGACACGGCGCCGTGTTCACTCGCGATGGAGCCATTGAACTAGAGGCCTCAGTCATGGTATCCCGTGGTTATAAGAAGCGAGGCGTCGGTGTCATGGGTCTCCGCCATGTGAAGAATCCCATCCTCCTAGCCCGAGCAATGCTTGAGCATGGCGAAGACGATCTGGAGGCGAATCCCCGAGGAGTCAACTCAGGCGATCTTGATGTCCCATCCGCACAGGGACATACACAGCTCTATGGAAAGGCCGCCGAGCAGCTAGCACAGCAGTACGAACTAGAACTTGTCGACCCTAGTTACTTCTTCACCCAACGTCGTTGGGATGAGCATGTCCGGGCTCTAGAGCGGGAGAAGAAAGGTCAGGGGCAAGCAACCTGGAGTGCGACTGAGTATCTACCTCAAGGAACATGCGGAGCAGTAGCGCTCGATCAAGACGGTGTTATCTGCGCTGCAACCAGTACAGGAGGTCTAACGAACAAGCTCACTGGTCGTATTGGTGACACGCCTGCAATTGGGTCAGGCTTCTGGGCAGAGGAATGGGCCGAGGATGGTGATCCGACCGGGTCGTCAACGTGGGATCGTTTGAAGAATGCCATGACCGAGTCGGGCCCCTCACTGGTGCTCAGCGATGTTCTGAGAGGAACATTGGCAGACTGCTTTCCGAGTCCTGTGACGTATACTCCCCTCGAGGCCAGGGGTGAACGAGTCTCAACCACGAGGTCCATTGGTGGCTCTGGAACTGGCAACGGCGATTCCTTTCTGAGGACAAATGCGCTACGAACCCTTACAGCTATGGCGAGGTGGAAACCAGAGTCAGGTTCCAAGGCTGTGACCCATATTGCAGGCCCAGGCGGAGAGCTGCAAAGAAGTGCGGGCGATAGATGGCGCCGGACAGGTGAGGGTGAAGGCGGCATCATTGGCATCGAGAGTGTTGTCGTTCGTGATTCGCATGGTCAAGTCATTGAGACTCGGTCTGAAATCCTAATGGATTTCAACTGTGGAGGCATGTTTCGAGCCTGGATTGATGACGAGGGAAACCCCCAAATGAGTATCTTTAGCAATGAGCCGTCGGACGACCTATAGACAAGCGAAAGCAATACGAATGACCATAGAGTGGAACAGGAATGTCATTTATATTCGTTCTGTACCCAATCCGCGATAAACAAACGTAGCATAAGCATCAGCAGCAGGAATTTCCCTTTCCTATATCTCTTGGACCTGCCAGTCCACGTGCACTCCCAAGTTTCTCTCCATCGCTTGGTATAATGCACATTCGCTCTCTTTTCCCTCATCAGACATAAGTTAGTCTGTATTCGCAAGAAGTATGGCAACTCCATCGCTAAACCAGATTCCACCTTCCCGAAACCCTTCCGATATCTTGTTCTATTATACATGGAACGCCGACCCGATGCGAATTGAAAGGATTAAAACGTCTGCCAGATTTTTGTTCGTGGTGATGGTGATATTGGTGCTTAAAATACAAGAGGCATGGCTCTTCAAAAGCCCGGCCCGGAGAATTTGTTGGTCGTCGTGGTGGAGTTGAGAGTGGAGGAGTCGAAGGTTGTTCGATCGTCGTTTATGGATCATAGTATTTCATTTCGTCAGATGCTGGCTCACAGAGTAGCCTCCTGAGGTGGAGGCTGAGGAGCTTCTAGCTTGGTGCTACCAGCAAGCATCTTGGAGAAACCAATACCGACACCCTCGATGACGGCAAGAAGAACAGCACAACCGATGGCACCGTTTCGGGCGGCCTTGTAACCACCTCGGATGGCGAGAGAGCCACCAGTGAAGAAACCAGCAATAATAGCGTTGTAGGGATCCTCCTTCTGGCGAACACCCTTCACAGCGCAGTCGAATGTTGAGAAGAGACCACCCCAGACACCAAAGTTACCACCGAGAACCGGGGCGCGCATCTTGATGGCTGTGATGGCGCCAATGCGTCGCTCGCCATAGGGAGAGTTGCGGAAGCCCTTGATTCCATGCCAGATAGTACCACCGATAGCCTAGAAAGGCAATGTTAGCTATGTCCTGGGTTACGCTCATCGCAATTGTCGCTGTAATCGATCGTCCACAGCATGAATGGCTAAACTTACGCCCATACAAAAGGCACCACCAAAGTCATTAAGAATGACCCAAGGGCAAGGGTCTCGTCCGTGATCCATGACTGATTATGTGTATTAAAGCTGTAATGGAGGGGGAGTGCAAGGGCTCGAGGACGAGGCTGATGACGGCGAGGTTTGGATTTGAAAAATGTGAGGTCGCCGTAAAAGGTTGCGGCCGACCGGGCCTTGAATCGCGCAACGAGTGAATTTTTCGGTGGCGGCTGTTGGATTATCCGAGTATCGATAACGGTTTAAACCGGCCTCGGCAGCTCGAAGCTTCCATCTTGACCAGTTATTAATCACTCCAGTCTGAAGATGAGGCGAAGAGGATGGAATCTAAAGCTGGACTCAGAACAAGCTCTCAGTTAAAATTTTATTTCACAAGAGTTTGTCTCTTCTTTTATGCGATTTTGGAGCTCTTCGTTGGGGTACTCTTCGTTTCCTTACCAGGATTTCGTCAGTTTTGTCCCACTAACAAACCCCAGATCCCGTCCCGGCCGAGAGCGGAGCAGGAGCTCAACGACATGCCTATTCAGGCTCGCCGAAGATTGATGTGAAGTCGTAAGCCCATGTAAATGTAGTATAAAACGGAGCGGGAATTTATTTAAGGTAGTAACGTCTTGTGCCCATCAATGTGAATGTCTCCCACCATCGCCAACTGTGCACCATGCCTCTCAGAGCCTTGCCAGCTACCGAAGCCGATGCTCATAGAGCTGTGGCCATTGAGACTGTTGCCTATGGCCCGAGTCCAGTAGGCACAGTGTTATTTCCGGGAGGAGGAACTTCTGAGTCCTCAACAAGAGTCGCAGATCTCATTGCCTCTCTCCGGAAGGATGCGGCCTGCCGATGGGCTAAAGTCATTGATACTGATATAAAGGAAGAGGAAGACCAGATGATTGCATTTGCTATGTGGTATATCTGGGAGACTCCACCAACAGAGGAACAACATTCCTTCCCATCTTATCGGGGACCGAGCTGTAATGCGGAAGCATGCGAACTCTTCTTTGGAGGCAAGAACAACATGAGAGTGAATTATATGAAAGGAAAGCCATATGTTTGTATGTCTCAATGTTGGATCTTAAATGAAATATGTTCTCTGACTAGCCAAAACCCTCAGATCTGAAACTCCTGCATACAGACCCGAAGCACCATAGACGTGGAGCAGCATCTCTTCTGCTCGATTCGGGACTTGGAGAAGCTGATCGTCTGGGCATTCCGGCATGTCTAGAATCTTCAGTACAAGGACGAAAGCTTTATGAGAAATTTGGCTTCGAGGAGGTTGATAGCCACACGTCTGACTTTTCAAGCTGGGGAGGTCCATCAGATGTCACAGTTCCTCTGATGATTCGTCCTGTTGGAGGTCGACCAATTAACAAAGAAAGTCAGTGAACAGCACGTCGTTTGGCAAATGGAGTACATATCTAGACTAGACATTTGGTGCAATACAATATGCTAGGATTATGAGTTTGTAGCCTTGCCCAGTCATTCGACAATGTTGACCAGGTTTTTGAGCAGGCATTTATATGCGGTCACCCTGCCTGTGAGATTTTGATGAGAACCCCAAAGAATTCAATCGTATTGGAGGTTTCATTGTGGTCAGTTAATTGACCTGGCTGTGAGGAAGTCCGTCTCCAATCCCACTTGGTCGCAAGAAAGGAGCCATAGCAGAAGACTGCCACGAGCTTTCACGTTTGAGTGACCCTGCCAGGATCATATCTAGTTCATAAGAATCACTTTTCAATAAATGCTAGACCAAATCGATGAGAAAGAAGAAAAGCAGACGGAAACACATTTATAAGGTTGCCGTTATCTGATCATCTTATCAATAGGTCCATCCACCGTGTTCATTGATGGAATCTTCTTGAGGACCCTGAAACCGCCGGCTCGCTAGGGGCCGAGTGGCTGGCAATGGCACGTGCGCACCCAGTAACGGAAAGGTTCATGGCAGTGGGGCAATTGAACCCTGTATTCCATTAGGTTTCCATCGTCACTCTGCATCCAATGTCAAGTCGAGTCGCGTTGGACAAGCCAGGTCTTAGTTCTTGCACCACTTCAAATCTTTTTTATGTGTTCTTGAGTAACATCAGTTTAAAGACTATCATCTTTATATATCGCCAATGTCGTCGGAAGAATTATCTCTACCTGTTCTCCCCGCTGTGTCGTGGGATGAGCAATCGCAGACCTTCAGCAACAATCCTCGGAAACGCGTCCGCAATGCCGCTTCAAAGCACGCGCCATCCTCAGCTTTCAACAATTCAAGTGATCCCGCCATATTCTCCAGTGATGATGACCCAGCATTGGACAATTATGTAGAGGGGAGACGAAAGAAGAGATACATTGGTTCATGGTTTCAGCAACATCCCACCTCTTCCGACTCGACCTTCAGTGAGATTCATGTCCCCAAGCAGAGGCGTCAATGGACGCGACAGGCAGACAGTGGTGTCTTCCTCGGCAGTGATGGTAATGAGAGCGATGTACTAGAAACAGTACCCGAAGTTCCAAAACCCAGACTTCCACAACTTGATCGCGTCGTCCGCCGCGTCTCAAGAGCTGAACAAGTTGCGCGTGACAGAGTCCGTGCCTGTCTTGACGCGGGCGAAGAGACAATTGACTTTTGGTCATTGGGACTGGAAGATGTCTCAAACGATACAATCAGTCCTTTGTCGCAGTTTACCTGCATCCCGGTCGTGACCAAGGATGTTGCCTTTGAGCAGAAGGATCCCGAGATTAAGATCTATATGGCCCAGAACCGGTTGACACGGGTTCCTGGTGCCATCTTCGATCTAACGTATCTCACAATCCTGAGCCTCCGCCATAACAAGCTCACTGAACTCCCCCCCGCTGTTGCGAAACTTCATCATCTAAAGGAACTCAACGTATCACATAATCGTTTACGGCATTTGCCCGTGGAGTTGCTGGAGCTTTTCGCACCAAATAGCAGACTTGACAAACTTGTTGTCCATCCTAATCCATTCTGGCAACCAAATGAGAGCCTGGAATTGACAGATGCTCAGCTGAGCAACACACTCTTCTTCCAGGCCGAGGCGGGAGCCTCGCCGACGCCACGTTTAGCGAGTCGTGCACTAGGTCGAAGTCCTCTACAGCTCTCAGATAGTACGGGAAGGATTCTGTCAGACTTCAAGTTCCCAACAGACCACACAAAACTCATTCTGCCCGTTGATGAAGGAGAGCCTGCGTTTTGCCCATCGTCCTCAGTCTCATCCATGACAGAGGCACAACGTCTCGAAGGTGCAAGCCGTGTGCCTAGTCTTCTCGAGACAGCTCTGCGAGCTTGTTATTCCAGCACTCAGCTTTCAGAGATGCCGTACTACATCCCGGAAGGGCTCAACCATCTCAGGAAACTCCTGGAGCGAGCACAAAGGCAGAAAGAGGCTGGCGGATTGACATGTTCACGCTGTCGAAAATTAATGGTCATTCCCACCACCAAGTGGGTTGAATGGCGAGAAGTTCGGACTTGTAACAGGGCCAGCCACGATAACCCAGCTCTCGTACGGATGACACCGTTGAGTATGGCAGAAGGCGAGAGGACGATACCGTTTGTAAATCGAGGATGCTCATGGCGATGCCGTCAGGGAGACATTGATAAGAGCAGTTGGGGGCTGCCGAGTGGAAATCTTGTCACAGTGACAAATGAGGAAAGCTAGCAAGCATATTTGGATAAATGGCGTTCGAAGGACAAGCAGATTGAAGAGGGCTTTAATGACACCTTGCATTGTCTTTCCGTAAACATACAGGCCCGCCTTGCACGCGTGCTCACTTCGCTGATGCTTACAGAGAATCACTAAGGCTAATTTGTGTCACTGCTCGTTATCTTGGTCACTTACACACTTGGCCAGATCACAACCTGCCCCCTGTCTCTTTCAAGTGCATGCATGCGACGCCACCTAGTAATCACGGCAACCCGGATCAGCAAGACAAGCAAGCTTTGATCTTTGTTATCTCTTGGCCTGCAAGGGTCACCTTGTGCATCCTGCCTGTAGGGGATGTGGCTCAGTATTACAACAGATTCTTGATATGACAAGCATATGCCGTAAGACCCTACTGATACAACGAGCAATCAAAACTCCCATGGAAGCATCCGTATAACAGGTATAGCAGTTTCTGGAGATTTCATTTTATATGCTGGCAGCCTCAGCTATCTCAGACGATCGCACTGCCCACAGCACGTGGTGATAGAAGGCCTGGGAATGATATGTATTGTGTTATGCGCGTTTACTGTGCGCATACATGACCACAAGGCCTCTTGGTTCCCAACTGTTGATCAACGTCCCGTCTTGAACTTGTCATGTAGCAAGGACGGATAATGTACGAAACTGTTCCTCGCTGGAATATACAGTTTCCTTCCTCGTATTGGGCCAAGTTGAGCAAGTGGTTTTTGAGGCTCTGGAAACACTGGAGAGTAAAAGCCCGATCTTTCTCGGAGAGCTGTCATGAGTCAGGACCGCATAGGCCTACTGTCACATCTGACAAGAACTAGGGCAACATCCGTCGCGGCTTTGCGTTGGGGCATTGATACTTTGACCATGTCTGACGCTGGCCAATCCAATAGTCAGTTCAACCGAAGCCACGAATCCTCTCCAAAGCACATTTAATCCCAGTCATCGTCCTCGCTGTCAACGTTCCGAGACCTTCCAGCCGTTCCCGTCTTGATAGATTTGCCAGCCAATCTCTCCTCCTCAGCATCCTCGGCAGCTTGCCTCCTCTTGACAATACGCATGTCAGAATCAGGTACAGCACCGACTTCGACCAAGAGGTTGTCAATTTGTTGCATGGTTGTTCGGACGCCTCCAATAGTCGCCAATGTTACAATCTGCTTAACAATATCCCCCTTGTTATATACTAGAATTGTTGGGCAGTTTCGATCGGGATAGTTCTCAATGGCTTGGCTCGCTCGGATTTCACAGAACTTGATCTCGCCGTACTCCCTCGCAGCCTGTCTCCATAGCTCAGTCAAGACTCGCGACTCAACATTGTTGCCCATTGAAGATGTCAAGTTGACAAAAACCGGTCCATTTTGTGATGCGTCCGTGACTTCGCGCTGATACTCGGGTTTCGATAAAGGAAATACGCTTCCATACAAAGCCTTCTTTTGTAGGCTGTTCAACTCGGCCATGCGCTTTTGGCGATATTGCTCCAAGAAAGCTTCATCTTCGTCGTCTTCAAGTTCGTCCAGCTCGTCGAGGTCCTTGCCTTCCAAGCGATTCTCATGTGCCAATCTTCGTCCTTCAAGAATAGCCTCCTCAATCATAGGAGTCGGGCTGGGTGGCTTCTCAGGAATAACGCCATGTTTTCGAAGAATATCATTCCTATGGCGGGGTTAGAGCTAGCTCATGAGCATGGAGGGGTAGCAGAGAATTACCATTCTGTGTCTGCATTTGGATCGTCAATAGGAACATTGATGCGTTGTTCTAACGGGTTAGACATTTTGAGAGACTGAAGAAATAGAAGCAATTCTTCAAGAAGTCTCCTCAGTACAATTCGTATTGTCTAAAAGTGGTAGCCTACGACTGACGCAACTCAACTTCAGGCTCCTAATCACTGGCTTACGTACAGATACAGGCAGCTAGCATAGCTCTCGATGCATAACTCGCATAAACCCCTCCAAGCATATCTTGTATGCACAAGCTCCATCCGGCTCTATGTTACACCGAACTAGGCCACAACTTTGCGCCGTGTTTTATCACGTGTGTGGGAGTTACAACCCTAGAACGCTAAACTCGATTGGGCAACAGAATCCGCCCAGAGGCAAGAACCAGTCGTCCCCCTCAGAGCCACCGAACTTTTCCTCGCTTACCTCCTCCCACCCACCTTGCGAGCCTCAAATCTGATCCCGGATTTCGTCAAGCTTTCCCATTCTCGCAAGAAACCGACAAGACTTTTTCGAGAAAATCAGACAAGATGGTAAGCGACTGCCTTTTTCTGACGCATTTTACGATGGACCTACGATGGGGGATGGATGGACGACGACCACGTGTGTGAAAGACGTGGAAAGCATCGACCTCGAAAAGATCTTGCTGCCCGTGGCAAAAGTATCAATTTGATGGAGCACGACATCGATGGCACAATGGATGATGGATTGGACACGCAAAGGATATACGCAAGATGATGGAACAAGCTGGCTGACTCTCCGCCTTTTCAGGTTCTCGCCGTTGATCTTCTGAACCCTTCCCCGGCCGCCGAGGCCAAGAAGCACAAGCTCAAGGTACGATGCATCGACATATTTTCATGACGACAAAACTCTAACAAAACTAGACCCTCGTGCCCGCCCCTCGATCCTTCTTCATGGACGTCAAGTGCCCCGGATGCTTCACCATCACCACCGTCTTCTCTCACGCCCAGACCGTCGTCATCTGCCAGGGATGCACTACTGTCCTCTGCCAGCCTACCGGTGGTAAGGCTCGATTGACCGAGGGCTGCTCTTTCCGACGGAAGTAAACTGCTTCGCGGCGGTTTTATCTCCTTGGGTACTCATGACTCTTACGGTTCAACTCATGGTGGTCATCTCGGATCTGCAAAAACACAACCTCGACATGGACGGATAGAACAAACCGACGTTGCGAACATTTACCAAAAACCTCTTTGCAGATAGAAGATGGGGCACCCAGAATAGGGGCGTTTGGGGTCTCCGGATATCTTGCATGGCACATCATTCTTCTTTTTGTTTTTCCGTTGCGCGCCTTGTACTAAAGAGTCTTCTCGAGGCAGGAAGGAAAAAAAAGCACTGCATGGGTGGAAAGCTGGAGAAAGCCTTCACGAGTGTCCGGACTGGCCTGGCTAGGCCGGCTGGACACGAGGACGTGGAACCGCTGGTTGATGATCGCTTCATACCCGGGTGCAGTGGGTAGCGGAGGATGGTCACTGTGCTTTTGCGAAATTCACAATGGTTTCCACATCACCTTCTTGTTGACGTGAATGTTTCTAGTCGATGCGATTGAGTTGTGATGCTATCGTGCCTGTCGTAGAGCACACTGCTGTTGAAGATTGCTATGATACCATGACTTTTCCATCTCTTGATAATCTTTGCCGACCATACTCCTCACCAGAGCTATCGCTGTTGAGTTGATTCTACTTGATGATGATTGGTGGTATACGGCGTCATCGACAGTAGCCTAGACCCCTCATCCTATCAGTTTGCCTGGCCGTCGACTCACCGGATGACTCGATCCGGAGAGGCTCATCCGCTCTGCCGCCCATGAAAGCCTAAGGTAACTCAACTAAGCAATACCAATGTTAACTACCTTAATTTTCCATGAGAACCTGGGGAACCAATTACCCCGCGAAATGCTGTTTGAAGGTGTTTTGCCTTAAACTAAATGCATTGTAGCTCGAGTCATAGTTGATGATGATTGGATGAAATGAGGCTTGTGAAGATCTGAGCTTTAGAACATCGAGTGTCAAACATATTTGCTTCCTCAAAATTTCAACTCCATTTTATAATACAAGAACAACTTAAGACTGGAAAGTTTTCGGTGTGAAAAGATACATAGTACATTGTCACAATTGATTGTCTTGTACTGCTCATGTGATGACCTCGTGTGATGATATACCTAAGTCAGTAAGTCTTACATCTGCCCGTAAGCTTACCATGGATGGCAAATTCGAAGTGGAGCTTCAGCAAAGGGAAAGCAAATAAAATTCGGCGTTGCCGATCCTGAAATTGCTAGAACTTGCCTTCAAGTGTCGGTTTGCCACCGCCTTGCCTCCGTCTGCACACTTGCTGATCCTTTGGGGGGGGTTCAAGAAAAGTGCAGGATCAAGCCATTATATGATAGAATTACTTCTTAAAGGTTTAGTCTTCCATATTGACCTAGTATGCTTATATAAATAAAAACCAATACTTATATAAATATTGAATTATATGCGTCTACGTAGAATCTACCGGCGTTTCCGTCTCTTTCCTCAATACACAGAGAGAGTATGGTAGCTGATCATATAAATGCACCTTGTCAGATGACTCAGCGGACCATAGCCAAATCTCCAATCATTAATTTACGCGAAAGCGGCACGACAAGATCGCGTCGAAACGCGGGAGCCCGGGATCCACAGTACGAAATTGCTGTTAAATGATTGGGCTGTCAAGGCCACTTTGGGGATCGTCTTCGTCTTGGGGCAGGACAGGGGCACTTCACTTTCTCGACCCTGTTCTTTTCCTCACCCCAGCAACAAGCCAATATTGGCTTTCGACTTGTTTCACCCAGAAGCCCCTCTTCGCTCTGTTCTCCTTTTGAACCCTTGTTTTCTTCCCTCGATTGCGACGTCATCTGCGTTCTTACAAGAACTTACCTCTCTTCAATTCTGTCCATTGACAAACTCCCCACTCTACCACTCTTGAACTCTGTTTCTGTACTTGACTTTCTTGTCAGTCGTTGCTTACTGCGATCTTGTCTGCAACGTCATTCCATCAGCGTAACAACTATTGACGATTCTTGTTGAATCAATCAACACTACAACTTCACACCAACTTGCTCCAAATCTGCCATCATGTCTACTCCTCGTATCAAGCGTCAATTCGCCGGCGCCTCTGCCGACCCATCTCAACGTCAAATCACTTCCTTCTTCAATGCCCGATCATCCGATGAGTCTGCGATTGCTGAGGCCGACAAGCCCATGCAACCTACTCTTCCTTCAAACGTCCAGGCCAACCTACTCAGTGTCGGTATGCGAGTTCGCAAGTCCGTTCCCGAAGGCTACAAGACAAAGGGCACCAGTGCTTTCAAGCTCTGGACAGACAATGCACCTGTAAACGCTTCTACCGCTACTGCAAAGGCACCTGGCAAGGGTGCTTCCCGAGAGCTTCTCCCCTTCTGCGGAATCAACAAGGTCGGCGGCCTCGACACCCAGCCGGAATTCGAGGATGATGTACCAGACCTCGATGCTATCCCCGAGCTCACCATGTCGCAAGAGAGTGCGGAGGGCGAGTCGTACGACGGTTCTCGAAAGCGAATTTTCGACGAGGATGACGATGAGCTTGACTCGAGCTTTGACATGGGCAACCACGGAAACCCTCGAGTCATGGCTATTCCAGTTTCACGAAAGGGTGCCGGTTTAAGGAGCTTTGGTCAAGACAACCGGAACTCAGGATCTGACTTTGATGAGGCTGATTTCCTCGTCAACCCCGAAATGGACCTAGCCAACTAAGTCACAGTGTTGTTCATTGGCTCAAGAAGAGCTTTGTATGTTTCATGTTCACTAGAAGCTATGTCGCGGTGTCGCAAGCTTTGGGTCAGGCGTTCAGGATTATGATATATTAATGCTTCAGAGCGGTTAAATGTTATTGGATGGCAAAAATGTATCGGGACTCGCTGTATGCTGTATGGAAATAAAACAAACCGGTCGTTATAAGACCTACAATTATATCCTTGTCCACCAACTTACATACCAACGAATGGCTCTCGGAATTCTAGCAGATCTCGTTGTCCGTAAAACTCACCAGCTACCGTCAAGATCATATTAAGAGTTGCACGTAAATTCGCTCGCAGTCGCTGTTTAGCACTCTCCTTTTCAAGATCCTCCTCGTCTTCTGATGTCATTCCATGGCTAATCCGAGCAAGTAGTCGTTCTTTTGCTGCTTCGAGATTCTCCCGGGGCTCCTGGGCAGCAACTTCACCTTCTTCGGCTTCTGAGTCGGTCGCGATCTCCATAGCCACATCTTCGTCTTCGTCTTCTATCTCACCTTCTTCAGCATCAGGCTTTGGGGGAGATTTTGTCATGGGTTCCGTCACTTTGGGTGTCTTCTCAACATCTTTTTCGGGCTCAGCTGGTGTTGGATCATCCTCATCTTGCCCAGAGCTGAGAGCACCTTCGACATCCAGATCCTCTGGGTCGGCTAGGACTTCTTCATCACTGCTGCTTCCATCAACAGCTTCATGGGCCCCTAGTCCACCCTCTGCTAGCTCCTCCCTTAGAGCCGCCATCTCTGCTAGGCTCCGACCTAAGAGGACTGCTCTGCGACCAAGGTCACGAATCCAGCCAATCTCGGCGTAGTTGAGCTCGCCCTTGTCCGGCATTCTAGCAAGCAGTGCCCAGATCCAACGGCTTGTACGTTCTGGAAGCGTATACCCTTGACGAAGGAATTTACCACCAAGAAGAATGCGCAGGATGCGTAGTGTAGTGTCTTTAGACATAAGGGCGACTTGAAGTGGGTGGGGATCGGTTTCACGAAGGAGCCGTGACCATGTAGCTATCACCGCGGATTGATTTTCCGCAGGTGCATCAGTTTTTAGTTGGGCCTTGACGACACGGGAGACGGCGTTGGAGGGAAGATCGGCGTGAAGAATCGACCGTAAGCGGAGATATTGGTCCATAACCGATGCAAAGTAAGATTCATTCAGGGCAGCTTCTTCGTCGCAATCATCGTCGTAGTCATCTGGGTATTCGCCGTCTTCGTAATCGTCCTCTTCAGCCGCGTTGTCGGGCATTGCCATATATGCGCCGTCTTCATACCAGCCCCGAGAATCGCCAACACCATTATTGTATACAGTCCTGTCGATAGGTTGCTCGTCTTGTTCTTGGTCGTCGTTTCGGAGTTCGGGGGGGAGCTGGGGTCCTATTTGAACTTTTGGCGCAACGAGGAGATGGGGTATCCCGTTCGCTTCTTGTCTATAATACTCACCATATCAGCATCTGTGCTCTACAGTTTTGCGATCTTCAGCAAAGTCGACAAACGCGCATAAGAGGAGAACATACCTGACAGAGTTTAAATACGCCATCGCTTCTGAATCATCTTCGAAATCGTCCTCTTCTCCCTCCGGGATCGTGGTTGTATGGCCGTTTCCTGCGAAGACATATTTCTGGCCCCAGGTTGGGTCGATGCCAGAGTTTTGGTGCTGTCGCGTTTTGCCGCCTTGTTTCTTTGGTCGCTTTGGTTGAGGGGCTAATACTTCGCCTTCATCGAGGTCCTCGAGATCTCGTTTGGCTGCCATTTTAATATGGTGTTGATGCTTGTTCGAGCTTGTAGAAATTACCTAGGAGGATGAGATCGGACCCTTGAAAGATGAGTGCAGTTGCCTTATCGATAAGCCGGAAAGCTGCAGCTCATCCCGCTTTTTTGAACATGACCCTCAACTAACACCTTGAGTATAACAATTTCTCATGTTGATAATAATTCCACCATGAGCGTGTCTCGTGTGCGGCAATTAGCCTATAAATCAGCCTCATCTCACATCAAGTCTTGCCCGAGACTTTATGCACGACCTGTAACACAATGGCGTTCTCATAGTAACTACAACCACTTTGTTGGTCGCAGTGAGTAACTCATCTTCTTAAACGATCTCGACTCACAAATACAGCCAAGCTTGCCTCCACAGACCCAAATGCTGATTTCCTTCCTTTTATGTGTAAGGAAGTGAAGCCTTTCACTCTGGCTATCAAGGATAATATCGCAACCTCTGACTTCCCAACACAATGCGCCTCAACCATTCTCTCTTCTCACTCCTCACCCTTCGAAGCTACTGTGGTTCGTCAACTGCGCAAACGCGGAGCAACGGTGGTTGGAAAGACCAACATGGATGAATTCGGTATGGGCTCTCATTCGACAAACTCAGTGAATGGCGCAGTGAGGAATCCCCTGGCCAAGAATGACGAAGTGTCAGCCGGCGGAAGCTCAGGTGGAAGCGCCGTTGCAGTACGACTGGGAGATGCCGATATTGCCCTAGGAACAGATACAGGAGGTTCAATTCGACTACCTGCGGCATATACTGGAATAGTTGGCTACAAGCCTAGTTATGGCATGATTTCTCGGTTTGGCGTGGTTCCATATGCAAACTCTCTGGATACAGTCGGCTTCTTGTCCAAGGATGTCAAGCCGATACACAACCTCATCTTCGAGACTGGCATGCACAACGAACATGACTCTGGGGATCCAACATCACTACCTGCCGCATCTCGAAAACGATGTGCTTCAACAATACCATCCACTCTTCCCGAACTATCAAGATTAAATATCGGCATTCCTCTCGAATACAATATTGACGAGCTTGACCCTTCTATCCGCGCCGCTTGGGTTTCTGCTGCCTCTGCTCTGAAGGCTCAAGGCGCGACTCTAGTTCCTATCTCTCTACCCTCCACAAAAGAAGCCCTGTGTGCTTACTATGTCCTTGCTCCTGCGGAGGCCTCGTCGAATCTTGCCAAGTACGACGGTGTTCGCTACGGAAAGCGTGGTGAAGGTGGTGATGCAGTGGGCGAGACTCTCTACTCTGATGCCCGTGGTGAGGGCTTTGGTGAAGAGGTCAAGCGACGAATTCTCCTTGGCACATACAGTCTCAGTTCTGAGGCAATAGACAACTACTTCATTCAAGCCCAAAAGGTCCGACGGATGGTCCAGAAGGATTTTGATCGAGTATTCCGGCTTGATAACCCCCTTTATGAGCCCGCGCAGTTTGACTTGAGTGACATGGCCGAGGCCACCGGCATGGAGGACAAGACTGGCCCTGTTCAAGTGGACTTCATCCTCTCTCCTACAGCGCCAACATTCCCTCCAAGACTGGAAGACCTCAAGCAGCAGAGCAGTGTAGACGTTTACATGAACGATGTCTTTACGGTTCCAGCAAGTTTGGCAGGCTTACCAGCTGTGAGTGTCCCAGCTAAGGTGGAGGGAAGTCAGTTCCCAGCAGGATTGCAGGTCATCGGACAATACTGGGACGACCAGAGGGTGCTTCAACTGGCAGAAAAGTTAAAATCCCTGGCGGCATGATTGTAGATATATTACAAGCGATGATTTTATGATATTATTGTACATTAGAACAACTAGACGACAGCAGTATCTTGAGCATATCTGAGTGGTTCGCCTGTTCCCCCATCAAACTTCCTGTTTTGCATTGAATGGGTATCATGAATGCGTATCCGGCTAGCTGTATATTTGCCGCGGTCCAGTTTGAGTGATTCAAGTGCCCTATACAAGTAGGTGAAGGGTCTGATAAGCATGCAAGAGCCCTAGCTCTGCCATTCTCGACTTTCGAATGGCACCCTATCAGCTTAATATGGCACGGTCTCTGTTCGTCTTGCGTCGTTACCATAGACATTCAACACCTGTAGATGTTGTCGTAGATGAGGCAGTTTCCACATATCGAGCTAAGCATGCCGTATTGATAAACTAGGCAGAAGCTTTTTCGTTCGCTCGCCCTAACGGTGCTATCCATAATCTCTTGAAGCGACAGGAGAGTAGAACCACGACGTCTGGCTTTTAGTAATGATTTATGGTGTTTTGCGAGTCAACTCTTTTGGTTGCTGTGCGGGGACAGTCCATCTGATCAAGGTGAGCGACTTCGACTTCGACTTCGACTGCGGCCTCGACTCTGACTTCTCCTCTCATCACGATCAACTTCCATATCATCTCTATCGGAAATCTCTCCAGATTCTTCTCTTGTTCCATTCTCTTCCTCTGCTTCGTCCTCTTCCTCGAGAAGATCCTCAAGATCACCAAGGGGACTAACCCTTGGCTCGAGAATTTCCAAATCTTCCAAAACCTCTCGCTTTGGCATCTTCCAAAGACTTGTACCGCATACTCGCTCCTTTGTCAACAGCTCGTCCACAAATTCGTCCATGAATGTCAACACCACGCCCGCCCTTCCTCTCCGTCGAAGTTTGCGCCTATCCTCGAGGAACGGCTCCAGCATCTCGTACACATCCTTCGCTTGTCTTGTGAGTCGGAAGTAGAAGCACGCAAGCGCGCGCAGGTATTTAAAAGCCTCTCCGCCATATTTCAAGTACTCCATGAGCACTGCATCGCTGGGCGAAAGTTCAAGCAGCTTGAAGGCAAGACACAGGAATGGACTGGGTTTTTGTGTGACACCGTACGTTCCACCAATGAAATTGACATGCTCGACGACGCGATCGACAATATCCGCTTCGTTGAGCGCAAAGCATTGCTCTTTGTAAAAGTACGAGTCGACGATGCGATCCTTGACGGCCTTTTCCATAATAGTCGCGGGATTGAGGCCGTTTGGCGCGACCGATACGTTAGAGCCACGCTCATCGAGGAAGCGACGCGCATCGGCGTGAACTGTATCTTTGTTTCTGCTCATTGTGTGTGATCGTGGTTTAGAAAGTTGTCGATTGTCAAGGTTGGAGATGGTGGGGACTGTTTGAAAGCTTGGTGTTGGAAATCATTGAAGCTTGGATCCGATAAGATGATAAGGATGTTGCTGTGTCAACGATGTCAACAATGCACTTACACAGCGGTCAAGGATGACGACAACCAACTCACAACTACCTGAAAGGTACACAAAATTGTGAAAGCTCAACATTTACAGTCCTGCGTTGCTGCAATTTAGCAATTCTGTCAAAATGGCCAGATTGCTTCTTTCATCCGGTCAAGTGCAGGTCATCGCATCGGGCTTCGTCGGTAAGACATATTCTCAACCTCTCCACTGCTCTCCGCATTCCAGGTCATGTCATGCTAATAAAACATTCTTCTACAGTGGTTATTTGTACATTTGCGCTCTTTATTAGTGGCTACATAATCCAGCAAAGAACACTCACTCAACTCCGCTCAGCGATCAAGCCACGACAAGAGACACGCCCGTCGCCAAAGGTCTATCTCCCCGAGAAGTTCCAAGTACGGACGAAAGAGCTAGAAGATGGTCGGGTTATCGACATAGATACAGAAGCAGATATTGAAGTGCGAAGGCAGCGGCTCTTAGTTGAGATCAAGGAGACGAAACCTAATGTCGATGTTGAGGGCAATGCCGCACTGGAGAGAAATATCGAGATTATAAAACAGCTACAGGCCAAAGTGGTGGACAAGATGTCAACACCTGAAGGACATGTCGAAGCACCAGTCAAGAACCACAAGCCTGTGAGCAAGGCAAAGAGGAGGAAGATGATCAAGCAAGAACTTCAGAAGTCAGCCCAGGCTGAAGATGGGCTTTACTACCAACGCAGGATGTGGTGAGTTGTTCGCTACAATGCACGGTTTGATTTGAATGTGTATATGGTAATGAGAATGGGATATGTAAATGCACAGGTATTTAGGCATAGAATGAACAGTTTGGCTCGTATGATGGATAACAGCTAGTTATGGATTTGATATAAGTTGATTATACTCACTACCCAAAGATTCAAGCTCCTATGTCATAATGGCAGTTCTCGAAGACAGATTTGGGGGGATCCCAACGACCATTTTAGTATGAGGCCTTCACTGAACTTTCTACGGCAAATCAAACAATGATCACATGGGACAGCTGGAACAGTGAAACGTTAGATATCTTGGTGGATGAGAAGCTACCTACCCTGAATAACAGCAGGAGACCATGCCGCTCGTGAAGCTCACGACATCCACATGACGTCTAGTCTCAAGAGAAATGGTGAATTCGAACAAGTCATTCTCCTGTATTGTATTGTATTTTATTCATGCAAAGCCCTTTCTGAAGCCATCTGTATAATAGGAGACCGTTACGGAGCAACATCACTATGTACACAAATGTTGGCAACAATTTACTCACAAGCTTCATTCCAATGATGAAGAAATGAATGGGAAAAGGGGATCTCCATCGCACTGAGCTCTCTCAATGGGATTTTCCCCAGTAAGCATCCCAAAGAAGACATGACAATGGAGTGTCTTACAGGCAGTTAGATCTACCGAAGGTTTGAACCTCGCTCATGTTTGTCCGATGGACAACATGATACTTACTAGATACATTGATGCTAGAATCTCGACTCCAGAACCTTCAGTGTGATACCGGAAAAGTATTCCATTGTTCGATGTAACGCCATCGTGATAGGAAACGGTCGAGAACGAAGGCCAAAGCGTTACTTCGGCTCTGCTCTGTATTACAGCGCATCCAAATTCCGTTCTTGTACATGAATCCACATTCGTGTTAACAGAAAATATACTTGATGCTACATTTACTGAGTATATCGATCACAGGACCAGGAATTCCCCGTTATCATGACACCCTGTGTCCGATGCGAAAGGGTGGAAGCCAATAGAAACGCAATGTACCGATGAAGATGCGAGCAGGGATTGCTTAGATCCGGCTGTAGAAACAGCCGGAAAGAAACGAAACTTACCAGAAGATTGAAGTGAGTGATGGAAACCAAGCGATCAACCTCACACTCACTCTCCCCTGAACTTGGAGTCTTGAGTAGTGTGATATCCCTAGTGGACATCGAAACAATCTCGGCCAACTAATGATGGTGTGAAAGACGTTGAATCATGCGATATCTCGATCGAACAGATCGTGATGGTCTCGCTTATAATGTGAAAGCGATATTGTATCTCCTCTTACGTGATAGGCCAGGCAAGGGAGGAGATAAATTCGCCGGTGGCTTAGCTAGCCGGTAGATCAAGAACTCTGAAGTGGTTGGCCAGGAGTCATCGCGCAACATCAGTAGCTTACCACAAGGCTCTGTCAAGTTGAGCTCATCCAAGCTCTTGGCATCAATCCGGCTGTAGTGGCTCGTATCCATTGTCCACTTTCACCCCACTCACTGCAGAGAATGATCGGAGCAGGCCCGTTCAGCTACAGTAGCAGGAGCCGAGAGTCCGGAGCATCCAATTCTCCAATGCGATTGGATGCCGAGTTGGTGGGAACTTGGGATAGACGAGTCTCTTAGTTGATGTAACGAGCAGGGCAGACGATGTTAGTGGATAACCTGTAACTGCGAAGGATTGCCGAGATATCTGTGCAAAGTTGCCCATATTCCTGGAAGAAGTCGATGTTCTGAAACGGCCGGTTCGACCTATGTCAAGTTTTGAGATAATGCACGTCAAGAAGACGCATGGCATGTACCGGCATGGTGCCTCTAGCTGAGATATCATCGTCATCGAGATTCTCTCGAGCACAGCTCACGTTCAGGCGCAGCAGGTAGCTGACGTCCCCCCACAATAGCTGTCTGGATGCCTAGGTAGTTACCGTCGGATCAACTTCAAACTGACTTTTGCGGCTCAATTGACTAATCCATGTGGACCTTGCAGCTTTTGTAACGGGCGCGGAAGACACGGAAGATCACCACTGCCCGTCTGCTTCCTCATCGCTCGGGAGTTTGGAGAGTTACTGCCAAAGAATAGACCTTCGGCTGCCGTTGAACCCGAACCCGAAGTTCCAAGGTCAAAGTTAAAGCCCAGAGCAAGGAAGTTGACGGTCATGATGAACTGTAATTGGGTCCTTGGCGGCGCGCCCGCACCTTGGAAGTTCCGGACATAATCAAGACCATAACCTCAAGGTAGCGGTTGACAAGTACCGAATAGTACTTTTAGACAGCATACACTGGTGCAGCTTTAGTGTTTCTGCAATGTCTTTCATCATATCGCGATGGATGACATTCATGTTTTGGTGACGAAATACGCCATACGCGGCGCTGCATAATAAACGTAAACGTTCCCTCCCCGCGCTCCCGTGTTTTGAAACAGCTACCCGCGACCACTGACGTCTTTTGCAAGGCCCAGGATCTACGACAAGCGCAAATTCCTAGACATGGCCAAAAATCGGACACCTTCTGCCCTTTCAATTGAGTAATGATCGAGACATTGTGCATAGAGCGCATCATAAGGGCAATTACATGTAGCTAGAAAAATTAGGGGACGTGAAACATCAACAAGCTGAAACAAGGCGTAGAACTCACTTCTCAACGTTCATTTGCTGACCAGGTTTGCCACATGCCAATCTTGGTGAAGTCATCCATTCCTGAGCCTCGATTTTCATCTTCTTTTTCGCCTCCCCCTGATGTCGTGCCTGGCCTTTACGAAGTATCGTTTGCTCGAGTTGTGCGATTGGCCAGCAAGGGCATGAAGAGGCAAATTGCAAAGGGACGGTTTTAGGCAATCGTGTCTGATCACTGTGTTTTGGGCTTTTAAGTTTTGTGGTCTGATGATCTTCATGAAACCCTGGATACCGCGGGCGCCGTCACAAGGGCTTCTTCAAAGTTCACTGCCCCTCGGCCCCGACGCCGTTATGATTACAGCACATGGAATGGGTTTGACTCTGGGGGATTTCACGGATTACCTTGTACCTTCTGGAAGCTCAGCCTCGTTCGCTTATTAGGCAATCCCTCGGACCATTGTCAGCAGTCAACCCTGCGTATATCGCGCCAAGACCCCAACACGAAGTGACTCATCTCCAGTGTCATGATTTTGTCATCAGTAGAAAAAGGAAGAAAGAACGCGGTTGTGAATGCCAGGGATCAGGGACCGTTGAGACTAGCACGACCAAAAGTCTCGCTTATTAGTGCACAACTTGACGATGATGATGCGAATTTCCCCAGTTCCCATGGCCCGGGCTTCGGTGAGGCCGCTCGCCAACAAATCTCATCGTCTCCAGTAATATTTCACGTCAGAATTGTAATATTTGTGGAAATTCATGAGGCTGAAAATGCAGCGTGAAAGTGCAATGCTCGGACCACAATCTGGACCCAAGATGTAAAGTGGATGCTGTTTAGGCTCGGTATCAAAATATCACAGGGCAAAGTGAGACATGCACGATAATCAAGGCTGCAGGATATGGAGACGGCAAAATGTAGTATTCAGCCTCAATAAGAGACTCCTATGGTAGATTGTTCGGTAGAGTAAGAAGAATGCCGCCCAAGGACAGGGAGAGAGTAATAGTAGAGTAATATGTAGTAGAAAGATCCATGTGAGATGTGTGTCCAACACAATATCCAAGCCGTAAGTCCCATAATCCCATACTTCCTAATCCCACAAAACCCAAGAATGATCGCTTTTATCGCTTTCCCAAAATTCCCAAGGCTCATATAGACAAAAACTCCAGGCCCCCATTGATGTGTATAGACATGGAAAGAAAAAAGTCAAGCCCGGATAATGGGCCGAAGGATGTTAAAACAGCCGTAAGATGTCATTCAAAGAAAGAAAAGAAGCAGATGGTATGTGCTGAAATGGGGTATCGACGAAATATCATGACATGAATGAAATAAACAAAAGATGAGAGGTATGTTGAGTGAGTGGTGTAAGGTGATAGTAGTTTAGAAGCTGTTGCGGTCCTGCTCGCATCGCTGGTTGTCAAGGTCATCCTTGTGGAAGACGATGCCACGACGCTTCCATCCTCCGCGTCGGATAAAGTTGTCGACGCTGTCAAGGGAGCGCATGGGAGGACGCTTAGGTGCCAGGCCAGGTCGGGCAGTGTAAGTTGTGTTAATAGAGACAGGCTTCAGTGCTGAGGCGTGACGTGATAGACGACGCATCTCAAGGACTGAAGCATCATCGGTCTCATCTTCAGAGTCTTCAGACTGAGTGACTTCGGAGTCATCCTCCTCGTCCTCAAAGGTCTGGATACTCTGGATAGTAGATTCGGACCAGCGAGACTTGGGCATCGGTGGTCGTTTTGATAGTGTTGTAAAGAAGTAATCCCTTGGCTCATTGCCCTCCTCATCAGCAGCATCCATTGGGCTAACATGAGGAGGCAGAGCCATCTCAGTTGGTTGTTGAGCAGCAACATCCTGCTCGACATAGTCCTCCTCATCGACCACTGCATTGTCGGTACCATAAAAGACAGGCTCGGCATCATCCATGCGAATAAATGGTCGTTCATACAGCCTTGGTGGTGCGTGGAAGGCGGGGTGTGAGGCGAGAGGATCGATTTCGGGTCGAGAAGCTGTTGGTGTTTGAAGGGATGGTGTTGATACTGCGGAGATAGTTGATGATGAAGATGATGAGAGAGAGCAGCCGGATGAGAGAGAGGATCCTGAGAATGAGACCTTTCGGATATGGAGATCTCTAGGGCGGCGAGACGATTTTCGTCGCTGGCCGAAGCCGTGTAGTACGTGCATGTTGCTGTGGTTGTGGTTGTGTGGTGTAAGTGAATTGGTTATCTAAACCAATTGGTGGTGGTCAGGTCGACGTATTAGTAACCGTAGTCGTAAGTCGTATACGTCCTGGAGTGGTGGTGATGACTGAAAGAGTCCAGTCCTGGTGGGTGGTAGGTTGAATTAATATAAAGTGTAAGTATTACGGACGATATTATAACATCGATGTAATGCTCATGAGAATTCAAGGCTACCAGGGCCGAACTTGGTTGTTGAGGTCAGGACCTGAGATAACCGGGGGGGAGTGCGCAAGTCTATAAATAATGAACCCATCGTATTTTATCGTTGAGTGTGAGTAAGTGTGAGCGTGAGTGAGAGTGCAGCTGGAGCTTACGGGGCCATGAACGTCATCCACCGAACCGTCACAGCCGAAGTGGGCGTGGGATCCCTGCACACCCAGAGTCTAAGGTTGGTACTTGCACGTACCTGGAGACCTGATCTTGTCCCCTGGCCCTGGTCTTGGCCAGATCTCCACTCTGATCTTGTCTTTGACGCAGTTTTTCTCAAAGATTCCCATGCTCTCTACACACGACAGGGGTGTCCCGCTGATCAACGTCCCCTGTCTCTCAAGAACCGAGTATGTACTTGCGAGTACCTGAATTGAGGTTACTTTTCGGAGCATCGAGGAACAGGTCAGAACAAAGTCTATGGCATGTTTCGTCCGAACCTTTCGACGAAACATCTATCGCCAACTATACCAGAATCCAGGAATTGATCTCATGAACACGCCTCATTCTTCTCATCGGACTCATCACCATCAAAGTGGACACCGCCTTTTCTTTTCTTCTTTTTTTTTTTCTTCTCCGTCTATCTCAGTCTCCATCCACCAAAAAAAACTGTCAGCCTCGGGGTCTGGGCCCTCACTGTACCTGACTTAGAAATGCTGTGCCTGGTACCTTACCTCTCGTTAGACCACGCCTCAAAAGCCTCTTTTTCCAATACAGGTCATCAGGCCCAGCGCCAACTGGTAGCTCCCGAAACTTTCACGTCTATCACCATTTGCTTCTTTAACTCTCCCTTGACTTCAGCCCTTTTCGACAAGGTCACCGCCAATTCTGATTAGGCTGCCTCTAACCCATGTAACTGCGGAGGTTGTCTAGTCACGACGTGTCTGATTAATATTGATGATATCGATTGGAAAAAGGGAAAAAAGCAAATACTCCAAAAAGGCCCGTGCTTGAAGATTCCGGTCCAGAATTCTCGCTCCCGATTGAAATGCCTGGTCCATGTTCAGAAGCATGAGATGCAGGGCGAACACCATGTAGAAATGAAACAAAAGCAAAATGTCTTGAGCGTGAACTTGAGTCTGAGTGTAAGCCAATTCAATTCCCGGGTCTGGGAATCAAACTCATCGTGAGATACAGGCAGAGTACAATTGGTATACGAATGAAGTCGATACAAGCTCTTTCAGGTATAAGCTGATAGCAGATCATGCTGTCACTGAGCATAAAATTTGTTGGTTGGCGGTTTCGTGTGCACGCCAGCGCAGATCTGTTGCTGTAATGCATTGCACAGCAAGTTGTCGTGGCACCAAAGGGCGATAACTGGACGTCACTTATTGCGCATCTTTTCACGACTCCAGTAACAGATCATCCATTTCAAAACCACGACATGCGTAGAGCGGCCACTCCGACCGTTTGCTTACCCGTTGCGTTTGTCGTTGCCATAGAATTAAGAAGTAGCTCCGAGGAGCCAACAACAACTCTCAGCTACGGTTTCGCGCGCCAGCCGAAACTCTATTGCAGCATTTTTTTCAGCTATTCATCCATCGTGGATGGGGATAGAGATGGAGATGGAGACTGGAGTCAAATGGAGCTCACTAACCACCAACAGCAGATGAATGAATGTCTTCACCGCTCGCTCCGCACAATGTGACAACCCCCTTGCGTCCCAAGACCAGACGAGAGGCGGCGCCGCTCGTTCGGTGGAGGGGTTCACAGCGGTGCCAAGACGCCGTGTGGGTGTCAACGATCAGGTACGCCGACGATGAAGCAGCTTCTCGACCTTGATGCAGGTACCGTAGGGATTCTCAGACAAAAAGTGCTTTGTTCGCGATCGCGTAGGCTAATCTCTAGCAGAATCGATATTCAATCTACGCTTGCATCCGCCCTTGCTACTAAACCCTACAAGCTGAATCTACACCCAGCAACCATCATTTCACTCTCTCGCTATTGCCAGTCGAGCTGAGATCTATCGAGATGCTCTAACCCCAACGTATGTGTACGCTACTGCGCGGCGTAGACCATGTGTGTATCACCCACATGAAATGGTCGACCTAACTTGTGATGCGATTTCTCACCTGCATCGTGCATGAGACTACCTATCCCGTGCCCTCTCATGTGCCCCTCATCTTCATTCTTCCCCAGACAATTGACTCTGTCTTTGTCTTCCGCACTAGGAATGACGGCCGGGCCAAGCATTCGAAGCAATTCACAGTGACAGCGGTTCAGCCTCTTTCCGGTCACAAGCGCGATTACAGAATTGGCGGTGGAGGATGTTTCATTTTTCCCATTTGCAATTAAGAAAATAATGGGTACCGCTTCACAACGTGAATCCGAAAACGGCCAACGGTCTGTCACTGGTTAATTGAACACAGGCGGTGAATCTGCTGAACCCCTCATTCCACTTATTCGCATCCATTTCACGGTGGAGGACTCATCATGTATACTGCATCCTAGTCCTGACGATCCAGGGTCTCGTCGTGGAGATACGACCGGGTTTGACATTTCGAGACCGCACAAGTAAATTCGTGTAAACCATAAGAATACGATGACGATATCGGTGGAGAGAAGGTAGCGATTCCATGGAGATATCATGAGTCGCTTCTCGCTTTTTGTCTTGGCATTTGATAAACGAGATGAAAAAGGGCTCGGCAGTGCTGGCCTCCGGCTCAGAGGCCGAACAATCACGGACACGATGAGACTGAATTAGTATCGTGAAGAGTAAACATGACCGAGCCCCAGTCCGGATGTAATCACGATGTTGCAAAGTCAGGTAATCTCCCCCCCCTGCGATGCAGATCGTTAATTATTTCTAGCTGAAGGATCTTGAAAGCATTTTGCTTCTTGCAAAAACCTTGTAGTCCGGACTTGGTGAAGCCGGACTGTTTTTCCAGCTCTTTGGGTGTGGTGGCGTCGTGACAGTTAGTGCCCGCAAGCCCGTGCCATTGGCCCGTCTGGGCGTTGAATCCACGAAGGCTCATTTATCGCTGTCTCCGAACGCAGCTGAGCTGAAGATTATCGTGGCATCGGGAATATGTTTTCTTTTTTTTCTGCCAACTATTGCTTCTTTGTCAATTTTCAGGATCGGGCATCGAGATATCACATCGTTGCTGTAGAATCCCAGAGTCTGCAATTAAAAGAAGAAAAACTTCCCTGGGTCAAAGATCAAAAGTGACAGGGAAAACCAGGGTATCTGCGAATATGCAGGATTAATTGATGCATCCACTCATAATAAACTTTCTTATTGACCCTTTGCCTTGGTCTGGCAGTGTTTTCTGACTCGGCAGCTAACTGTGAGGTTACATAGATCTCCATTCCCAATTATAGCCTGCTATAGGTCCCTTCTCTCATGCAAGTTAATTGCAATTACCAACACCACGGTTATCCTTGCGTGTCTGAGTCTGGATCTAGAACACAAATTAATTACGATACCAACCAGCAACTTTTTTAGTTCCCGTCTTTCAATCTGTTTGCTCTGCTCGTGCTTGCGTTGTTATTGGATTCCCGTATCGGGGAACCAACGTTGCATTTCGCAACTCCGAGCAATTCTGACATGAGAAAAAGGTGCTAATTGCCGAATTGGCTTGGCATGGCCAGACATATGACCTACAGACAGGGGGCCAAGCAAACTTTCCAAGATTTCTCTGTCCACTCACATGCGAGTTTGTCGAAACACCATGATATCTAGGCCGATTGCTACCCTATACGAAGTGGTGTGCCTAATGGGCAAAACGTTATCGTATTCTTGTTAATGTACTGCGCCTTGTTCGGCTGCTCGGATGGCGGAAACAATCGTATGAATGCAATACGACCACACACACTTGGGATGATTTCCAGGTGCTGAAACGTGTGCGTGTACCTGCAGGTACAGTTTGTACCTTGCATTTTTGCGATAGGTTCACCACCATCTCTTGACGTTAGTGATAGTCACGATCACCATCGCCTCCGACCGCCATTCAGCGACGAGCAGATACCTTCAATGACATTCATGTAAATATCAAATTGTCATTGGCCACAACCCCTCCTCTATAACCCCCTGGTGTTTGAACGGCTTGCCTCTATCTTGATTTCGGTCCTTCCCCATTGATCATCAATATCATCATCATCGACCCGATGTACGGCCACATTCGCCTTTCTCGACATCATCTTATCACGATTATAACTCATATGTTCGTGACGATCTCCTGACGATCACCAACTAATGAAGAAATGTCTCGGTTGAATTTGAGGTCAATCGATAGAGCCTGATCCTCCAATTGACACTCAGGACGATCAGTCCAACGCGGGGACCGGTGTGGCGCTCTGGCCCCTGCAGAGCTGCGCTACCTTTACAATCGTGAGCTAAAGCAGCACCATTTGAAGCTTTATTCATTGACTACGCGTCTTCCCGCTCGATAGCTGCCTCTCTGGCGTGTCTCTTAGCAGCTTTAGCTAACCTTAGCCTTGGCCTTGTGCTGTGATATCTTGGCCTCGTCAGCCAATGTGATGATACCTCAGCCACTCATTGGGATGCTAGGCTGTGAGGAGACGAGGCTCGAGCGTCGAGTCCCCTCGATCGACGATGAGATGAACTGTCAATTGAGGGGATCACGCAGTGCGATTAAGACGGGACAATTTGAAACCCATGATAGTAATTAGAAATACAAGTACATGGCAAGGTAAGTACTGCGATACTGACGATGGCCAGGCTAAGCCTTGTTTAACGGATCAAGCTTAGACTTGGAAATTGTGAGATGCAGGGGCATTGTGTCAACGTGACCCGATGCAAGGGATGATTTGAAGCAATTGACTGATGGCAGACCGCCAAATGAAGATATTCTGTGCCTTGGTACCGCCTTGTATCGATTGTCTGTCCAAATGCGTGTTGCGGTAGGGTACAGATTGCACCTACTAGTGCTTGCAGTGCGTGATATATGCACCTCACAAAACTGACTTACATATGCAAGTCTCATAGCTGCAAGCCTTGTAGTTTCGAGTCTCTTGTTCGATGTTGTCAATTTTGAGGCATCTCCTTCTCGCATTGTCCACCCGTTTCAAGCCTGTGAAACATCTCACCCTCCAATAACCTAGAATCAAGATCGAACTTCCATAGACTCATCGATGCTTTGTCAGTCTGACGTTAGATGTCCTCACTTCAGTCTCGATCTCTATCTGACAACTTGTCTCTGATATCCCTTTGACCATTCGACTGGGTCAAACAGTGACGTTACGGCTCGTCCCTGCAGCCTCAAACCTGCTAATTCCCGGACCCTCCGATCGAAACAATTGGGGAGCCGGGCGGATTTCACTCAACGCGATACGGAACTAGAGACAGATAACGCGATCTCATTCCCAAACGCCAAAACGCCTTTGATGCCATTTACATATGGTACATTGTCCTCCTTGGCGACCCTTGCTTCCCGGTGTTTCAGAAACAACCGCGACACTGAGGGCAGGAAGATGTAATGACGTCGATGCGGTCGTGATCGTGGTCTTTTGCAACCTTCACAGGAGGTCGATCTTGATGGCATCGGCGATTTTCTCAAGTTCGTGATAGCTTTCCATACACGCAAAGCAAGGGAGCATGTACAGCCTCATTTACAACACGCCATCATTCTCACCAGGAAGTCTCTTCACACGCTTCTGTTCCCAATCGTCAAGGTCCTTGCCAGCAAGTCTCTGTTTCCAAGAATTAGTAAATTGCACATCTCAAGCAACATTCTTCCTCCTGTTCCAAGACTAAGACGTACGTAGTACTCCTCCTTCATGTCCACCTTCCTTGCAGACCGGCGCACATTGAGTTCCTCGTCCTTGGTCATCTGGCGCACCTTGCGGTCGTAGCGTTCGTAGCGGACAGCAGTGGCCGGGGTGAGGACGAAGGAACCAGCGACAATGACGGCCATGAAGGGCAGGCCAAACATGAGGAAGGGATGTTTGTTCATGAGGGTGCGGTACCGCATGCCGATGCTGTTCATGTCGGCCGCGGACCGGAACTTTTTGCTCTGAAACGCCGGCATCGTGGGTCAATTGTCGGTCGGTAGGGCTAACGAAATCAGTGTAGGATATCGGAAGCTCCGTGAGCCACTTCGGACGCGAAAGGTCGTAACGTTTGTTGGTGAGCAGACAAAACGAGTTCGGGCTGTTGTGGAGAGGTAATTGCGAGTAATGCCTGACTGAAAGCACGGTTAATACACGCCGGGTATGGTCTGGTCTAACTTGAAGTGTGGAGAGACGAGAATTGGCCAAAAGGAAGAGTTTGATTTGATTCACGAGGTCTGAGGTCAACTCCGACAAGATGAACTGACTTCATCGCCGAAGTCCCACTTTTACCGCTCCGAGCGATCTAGTCTATGGCCTGTGCGCGTTTACTTTTTCCCGGACCGACGCCAGCATGGAGATTTCCGACTGCCGGACCTCGAATTTCAGGGTCCAGACTCCACTCTCAATGCTGGAGACGAGACGAACGGCTCTTGACTAATAACAAAGGATTTATCACATCTGAAGGATGTCTACCAACACAGACCACTTGTTATTTGCCACTAGCTACGATAAAATTTCCTTTCAGCCTCATGTTGACCGAAATTGAGGGTCTAGATGTCCTCATGTATCGTCTTGTACCACACCAAAAGGACGTGTACGGCGCCCAAGCTGTTGAGACCGGGTAACTCCATGTTGCCTGGAAATAAGATGACTCACTTGTGCTATTGGACCCCGAATTCTGCCTGGCATATCCTGGAGAGTCAGTGACACTTCAACGGGCTTGGACTCGTGCGACCGCCCTGGGAACGCCTTCACGGCGCCCAATGTCAAGCACATGCGCCCGTGCTTCTTGGTCTAGACACTCAGGTCTTTAAATTTCTTCCAGAATCTGTTCCGTGCTTCTTCTAGTCAGGAACGGAACGGGCGGTTGCAAACTTTTCTTTCTCAAAGCCTGAACCCTGTTTGTTGATGAATGAAAAGCAACGGCGTTGAAATTTAGACTGCCTAGACTTTAGCTCGAATATTTCGGACATTTGGTTGAGTGGCTAATGCCTTAACGGGTCTATTGACCGTTGAAAGTGGCTGCGTCAATCAACCAAGGGTCTTTTCTTATTACCGTCTTGGTGCCACGTTACATATCGTTCAATAACGAGGTTGAGTTACCGAACATGGCCGAGGAAGACACGCGTATGCTCCTGTTGTAGTAAGCCGTGATTAGCAATGCAAAATTATGAGAAGTGAACACTGTCAGATAGTTAGAGACCATAGTTTATTGAACGATACTGGCTTTTGTTCTGGTATTGAAAGCACTAACATAGATACTCCCTAGGAGCATTGAGCGGGATACCTGAAGTGAAGGGAGGGTCGAGGGAGAGAAACAACTTTGGGGCGCTTGAAGGCCCAAGACGCCACTTGGATGTTAACCTGTCTCTTCATGGCGCAAGAACTGTTTGATCATCTTTTGCATATCTTTTCGGGGATACATGGCGAGCGGATGGCCTCCTTCAGCCTGGCAACCCGGATGAGTGTCACTCAATTCTGTTTCACAACCCCTAGGGTAATGCACAAGACATCGCACAAGGTGTGACTTCTTCCGGCTGGATTGACCTTTATATCATCTCGGCTTTGTCATCAGCCCTTTTGCTGAGCTTTGTGAAGATAACTGGTTATTCGCGGGCATGGGCAAACTTCCGGCCGAGCACAATCTTGCGAAGAAAGACATTTGAGCCCGAACCAATCCGTAGGGCATTGCTAAGAAGAGAATCTATCTGGAATAGGCTGTGACGAGTTGCAACTCCAGAGCATCGAGTACCCCTTCGTGCTCTTGTAGTCCTCTGTGCCCAACTTGAAGATTATTCTTTTCCAATAAGACCTTCGAATGTCCATGGTCGAAATGTTCATGACCTCGAGGTACAGGAAAGGTCCACAAACCCCCAGCCTCCAACTGACATAGCTTCAGACGGCACACTGAGGCCAAACAAGCACAGGAAAGACATTTGTAAATGGGGTTGTGAACCATTGATAGTGTTACATCTTTTCAGTGCAGAAATTCAGCAACTAGCTCCCAATTAATACGCTTTAAGTTCCTTATTATATAGTTACCTCACTCATAAGATTCCAGTATTACTCCTTGTTTCGAGGACTGGAAACTGGTTCAAATGATCACGTATGTTATTACCATTTACAGTAGTGAAGCAACTGTTACCTAGTAACTGTAAAGTCACTGAGTTTCATAAGTGCCTTGGAAAGCCCAGAAGAAGTAATACGAGGCATTCGTGTGTTGTTTGTCACTCTCCATGTAACTCTATTAACCGGATATTTTCTTCTTTCTCTTTCTCCCTTACCAATGAATTTCGGTAGGATGATAGTTGCAATAAATTATATGACATAATTCCATGTAATTACTTCTATATTCCAGCTTCTCCTTTCTTCATGTTGCTCGAGACACTCACAGTCAAGTGTTATGGTTAGTGTAGCTCCCGCGTTAACCTTGCAAGCTTTCTGGCTGCTGGAATCACCACATGTCCGCCCTTTCCTCCCAATTATATATCCAATATAGAGTATATCGATCAGTAGATAAAACGTAAGAGTGTTGAGTCGCTTCAATCTTCATATATCTTAATAGTTCTCGCTTGTTAGAAATGACAGCATTGGCTTTCCTTCGACCGGCGAGGTTATGTGAGTCAAGTCACTTTTATTTGGTTCATCATTGGTAGCTAAAGTCTTGGAATTATCAGCATTGTTTAATGCTGTATCATGGAATTCCATATAATTCAGCAGGAAATCAGTGGAATTGTGCAGGGTAAGCAGCTTGTCAGAGGCTAGGTACTCTCAGTTTCTACTTGTATCTGCCACTAAACTCTCCACTTGCTATCGACACAATCATTGGACAATCTAACTTTAACCCTTCCATTCATGTCCAATCAACCACAGCAAACCAACAACGATTCAATATCCTACAGACTCTTCCTTCGCTACTTTTGCATCTTTGCTGCTCCATTAGCGTTCCTCTTCATATTCAAATCCTTTTCCACCAGGACCGAACCAGAGACTCAGCCAGAAGTCAAGATGTCAGGAAAACTCCCTCTCGTCTTCCCTGCGGCATCCCGCCACACGGCTACCGTCATCTTTGTGCATGGCCTGGGTGACACTGGCCATGGCTGGGCAAGTGCTGTTGAGAACTGGCGCCGACGAGAGAAGCTCAGTGAAGTCAAGTTCATTCTGCCTCATGCTCCTGAAATTCCCATCACCGTGGTGAGTTGACCTTCGAGGAGCCTGTTCAAGACTCAACTAACACGTTTAGAACATGGGAATGAGAATGCCTGGATGGTTTGACGTTGTAAGTTCCTCTGGTACATTTGATTGGCTACCCTAACACGAAGCAGAAACAACTCGGCGGAGATGTTGATAGCCTGGTCCGCAATGAGGATACAGAGGGTATTAAGCGAAGTCAAAAGTACTTCCATGATCTCATCCAAGAGGAGGTTAACTCTGGCATCCCCCCTGAGCGTATTGTTCTTGGAGGTTTCTCCCAGGGAGGCGCCATGTCACTCCTTGCTGGTCTCACCTGCACAAGCAAGCTGGGCGGTATTGTCGGCCTTTCATCATGGCTTCTCCTGTCCAAAACCTTTGCCGACCTTGTCAAGCCCACGGATGCAAACCGCCAGACTCCTGTGATGATGTTCCATGGCGATGCGGACCCTATCGTTCCTTTCCAGCGTGGAAAGCTGAGTGCCGACCTGCTTAAGGAGCTTGGCTACGATGTGACATTCAAGACTTACCCGTAAGTGACCAGTGCCATATTAACAAGTTGATGCTAACTCTTGATAGTGGTATGGGTCATTCTGCTTGTCTGGAGGAGCTTGATGAGGTTGAGGCGTTCCTGAGAAAGCAATTGCCTCCCAAGAACTAAAGTCATAGATGGTACAGGCCTCATATAGTATAGACTTATAAACCTTTGAAGACAGAACACTCTCTTGTGCGAAATAGAAGACAATAGACAGTCTATCAACCGCCAAAGGTTTCCAAAAACTTGATATCACATTATTCTGCCACGAGATGTGAAGGGGCCAATCATATGGACTTATATGCCGCGTGCTCCATATCTGATATCGCTCATCGAAACCTCGTGATGCCAAAAGATCTCCAAAATCTCCGTATGGATGGATGAATGCCCGCCAAATGACGTGCGCTCCACTACTGGGTGCCTCAGAACGCCCTACCGAGTTGCATGATAAGGCCGGGCCACTAAGTGCCCTAACGCCTAGCGCACGCGAACCTTCTATCGGTGGGGAGATGGGCTCGAAACAGCACACCCTTGATCCTGGACCACTTCTTCTCCAACATTCGCCAACCGAAACCTTGGTAGAGTCGACAACCTTGACCGTCACTCGGCAAATCTAAATTGACGCATCGACATCATTGTTGTGAAGCACACAACGATATCTGAAGTTGTTCCGTTTGTGCGCCTGGAAGAACCAGTCTCACAAGCCCGAGCATACCCCGATGATCGACCGCCCAAAGTAAACAAATATGGCCTCCGAAACAACATCGCGTCCAGTGTCGCCGACACCGTCACAGCTACCGCCCGTTCCGGGATCGCCAGTCTATTCTCTTGCGTCGACTGCAAATCCGTTATCTCAGTATAATCTGCCTTTGCCGCCACCCCCACGATCTTCACATGCTGTCCTTACAAAAGCCGACCTAGAGCTCTCTCAGCAAGCTTACTCCGATCTTGTCGCCTCCGCAAAAGGCTACCGACTGGCACTCGCCGCATTATCAACAGCCGCATCGACATTTGGATCAGCACTTGAAGCATGCGCTAGGTTAAAGGAAGCTCGCGCCGAGCCCATCGGTCCCTCTGGGACTAATATGACAGCAAGCTTTACAACCAAGGGTTCCTGCACAGCCGATACGCTTATGTCCGCCTCCGGAGTACACTACCTTGTTGCCAATCACCAACAGATCCTCTCTGAGACGGTATACCGATCCTTCGAAGTACCACTGCTCCATGACCTGGACAAGTGGCAGACCGTTATTGACGATGAAGAGGAGACGTATAAACAAAAGATCAAGGCACAAAGCAAAGAAATCAAACGACTGGAGAAAGAAGGGATGAAGTTGCATAAACAGAGGAGACGGGATGTTGGTCGATTTAGGGCACATTTAGTCGAATTGACGACAAAATTGGATGGCTTAACGACGTTGCATGCCGATCATGCACGGACACTATTGAGGGAGAGTCAAGAGACAAGTGGAAGGATTGTCGAAGCAAGCTGCAGTCTTGTACGTGCAGAAGTGGACATATTTGAAGGTCTAGCGAGGAAAGGCTGGAGCGGAGGCGGTCTGGACGATCTTCTTGAAAAGGGTCAAGATTTGTTCGCAACGGAGGAAGATATTGCGAACTTGGGCAGTGGCGGTAGCGGCGACACACCCAAGCTCTTCTCCATCCTCCCCCCTAAGAGCATACTTGCCGACACAGGATCAGATCCATCCCGGAGTCACGCTAGAGGGGACAGTCTTCTTATGGACACGGAACGGTATCAATCTCTAGCAGCACTGGCATCTGACTCTAGACCCAGTGGCGGCGTTATGAATGACAGTGACAGCGTCTTCTCAACCGACTTCAACAAACCCCGAAACGCAAGGCCGTTCTCACCACAGCCTATTCGTCGCATTCCAACAGATGTGACATATGATTCTCTAGGGGGTAGAGCAGAAGGGCTTGAAAACGGAGAAGATGAATTGAACAGGTCGGAGCTCCTGATGCCTGTAGTGGAAGCTGATGATGCAGGAGCAGAAGAGCAGCAGAATGGGGACGGTGAGCATGAAAAAGAAAATGTCCAAGAGGAGGAAACGAGAGGTCGGTCAGGATCACCAAGTTCGGTGAGAAAAAGGGCAAATTCACAGCCACTCATCACCGACGCTAGTTCAGCAGCTGCATGGAGCGGTGATGAAGAGAGGAGTCCAAGCTGAAACTGATCAAGTGGTGAAAATGACTTATACTCGTGTTCGGGTTTCATCTACAAGGGCGTTTATACGGACATTTGGGAAATATTCTCTTCACGGAGAGGCGGAAATAGATTTGCAAGAGAACTTTGCTCTTGTTTGATAGTGTACAGAACATTATGTGGATTTTCCACCCTCCATCTATTAAGCATGTCGATTAAACCAGACACTGTCCCAATTCCATAACACGCCTGACGCCAAGATCGTTATTACGCCGTGGTCAATGATCAAATTCTTCGTCTCTCGTACATTCTATCACGGCCGCCCGACGATCGTCGTCGTTTAGACGTCGACCCCTTTCGTTTGGACGCTGCTTTCAACATCTTTGGCTTCCAACGCCGACCGAACATCCTCTAGTCGTCCTTGTCGGCATTGAGTACATCGCCGCTGAATAATCCAAAAGTAGCGTCGAGCCACCAGATAAGCTTCCAGTAGAGACTGGCCTTGCTCCAGTCAAACTCGCCGGTCTCGGTTCGTGGTACTTCGTTACCGATCATGCTACCGCCGAACCACTTCACAAACGGAATAGCATTGACGACCCGTTGCATCATAGTCTGTTGAGGTAGGAGAGCTTGCTCGGCGGGAAGAATGGTAGCGCGACGGGCAGTAGGGATGCGGCGGCAGAAAACGCTGTCGCCATCGCGGATCTCCATGGGTTCGATGCTTGATGTGGTAGCTTGAGGAAGAGGGAAAGGCTCGGTGATCGTAGCAGTAGAGGCATGGGAGTTGCTGATAGTTCCAGTATCCATGGTAAAACTAGATGTCTGCGAATGAGGAGGAGAGAGATCGAGGAGCCGGCTGTTAAACGATGTAGGCCCACTGAAGCTCTTGCGACCATTGGCAGTGGGAACAGCAGCAGGCATACTCTGTGAGCGTGAATGGTCTGAGACGACCTCGATATCGGGACAAGGCTCGTCTTTGGCGGGAGGAACACCTCGGTATGGCTCAGCATAAACCAGATGTCCCAGTATCCTTTGAGGGCTGGCAAAAGTAGCAGCTTCGGCAGCTTCTCTGCTTTCGAAGGTGACCTTCACCCAGTGCTCTCCGCCATCTGCGCGGTTCACCATAGCTCGCTCATCTGCTGTCAGGTTGCGACGTCGCGTAAATGCAGGGTCGCGCAACTCAGATTTGTATCGGCGTTGGCTGGCAGGAGGTTCGCGAGGGTAATCCTCCAAGATCGCGCCGGCAAGGGATTCATAGTGGGAGATAGCAGCGTACTGCTGTGTTGATGATCGGTAGCCGCGAAGGATGAGCTCGACTGGTGTTGAAGTAACAGATCGCTTGACGGGAACCTCTTCTTGCATCAAACCACTGCTCTTACGCTGAACAGTTTGAGATGGCGCTGTTGCAGCCTGGTTCGATACCCAGTCGCCAAAGAGCTTGTCTGCAGCAGCTAGTGTAGGATTTTCGCGACTGCGCGCGGGTGTTCCAGTACGCGATCGTGAACGACGTGTGGATTTACCAAACGAACCAGACTCGGCGGCGCTGCGACGTGATCGTGCGCTTCCTTGGGGAGCATCTTGTCTTTTTCGCGTTACGTTAGCATTGATTCAAATGGGCAGAGAGGAAGACATACTGGTTGAAATACATGGCATATGGTCGCTTCACACCATCATCCCCAACGTAACACTCGTCGTCAGGAACGTTGTGTAGAATGAGAGGAGCCATGATGAAGGCTTTGGTGGTAGAGGGAGCTGACAAACGGCGAGGAGGGGGTGTCGAATCGATGGGCCGTAGGGATACCGTAGGAGATACGAAACCCGAGATGGCGATGTTTGTCTGCACGAAAGGAGTTGAGGTTGCTGATGGTTGGACGAGCCGCCTGTTCACATGCCCAGTAGCAGTTTCTGAAGTTGACTTCCAATTTTTGGCGGGCTAATCTGGCAGTTGCATAGGCAACCGACCACTGAACGTAGCTGCGTTGGTGCAGTTGTGGGGCTAGTTTATCCGGCTCCGTGAACTTGAGCTTGCCAGCTGTAACAGCCAATTCTGGATGTGAGGTCTTCCAGACATTCAATAGGTAGCAGGCTCATTCTTTGTTCTACGCCCTTTGCGTTTAAGCAATTCTAATACTCAAGTTTGCTTGATCCTTTTATCCTGCGTCGTCCTAAGTTTGTGTGCTGATTGAAGTCAGCGGTGATTGGCTCCTGAACCTTGATTGTGTCTGTGACTAGAGCTTTCTATTCGTTTGCATAAGTTCACACAGTCTATTATACGAGCTCCAGATTTTAATGACTACGTTCATAAATCAAATTCCAGCTCGAGTATCATAGCATAAAAGCGCAACCATGTCTCAGATCCCTCCACAGTCGGCTACGTAAGCAAGATTTCTGTGATGAGCTGATTCAGCATCCCACTTCAGCTGAGCGAGATCCACTGATGGATTTGCCAGGGCCGGCCTCTCCCGAGATGGATATTCGGATATACACTTACAGCACATGTAAAAGGAAGACATCTATTCTAAGCAACCCTGGGTTGACCAGTAACTCAAGAGTTGCTACCGGAACCTATCGTTGTTCAATATGACCCAATTCCTATCTTTCCGATCATTGATCGGCTTCGTCTCTATTGCCGTAGCCATGATTGCTTTGTTTGGTGCTTCACCACTCAAAGCCTTCTCATCGACTCTGCAGAGGGCAGGCTTTGATTGGTACAACTCACAAAAGGATGTAACATCTCCAATAAAGACGAATGCAGCAACAAAGGCGCCTGTATACTTCTTCAGCCATGGTGGTGTGAGTCTACCTATGTTGAATCTCAAGCGGATAGCTACTGACATACTTCAAGCCTGATGTGCAATATAACACAAAGCACCCCGTGTATCCGTTCCTTCAACAGATTGGAAGGGAAATAACGCAGAAAGTGAAGCCGAAGGCCGTAGTGGTCTTCTCAGCACATTGGATGGGAGAGGAGCGCGCTATTCATGTTAACAATGCTGTAGACACTCCTCTCATTTATGAGTGCGTCACATCACTCCATGCTTCACAAAGTTTATGTTAACAATCTCAGCTTCTACGGGTTCCCCGATCACTTTTATAAAGCTCAATATCCGAACAAGGGTAGCCCCGAGCTTGCGAGCAAGATTATGGTCATGCTTTCAGAGGCTGGTATCCAATCCTATGGAATGGAGCGAGGTCTTGATCATGGTGTATTTTCTGGATTCCATGTTGGTGCGCTTTTCTAAACAACGAACGCCCATAGGTGAAGCTCTAACAGGTTGTAGCTTTCAACCCAGAAACGAATCCACTCAACGTACCACTTGTTCAAGTCTCGCTCTTCAAAAACGAAGATCCTCATGCTCACTACGCTCTCGGACGTGCTGTATCTGCACTTCGGGATGAGGGAATAGTCATCATCGGAGCCGGGATGTCAGTACACAACTTACGTGACATGTACCACATGTTCGAGGGTAACACGGAGCCACTCCCATATGTTGTGAGCTTCGATAACGCTCTCAAGGAGGCCGTGGAGGCCGACCCAGCTATCCGAGAGGAAAAGATGGCGGCGATATGTAAGCGGGGAGATGCCAAACAAGCACACCCTTTCATGGACCACCTTATGCCAGTTTTCATCGCTGCAGGCGCCGCCAGTGAGGACTGGGGAAAACAGATATGGACTTTACATGAAGGCAGCTTCGGATGGTCGCAGTTCCGGTTCGGTGATGTTCCTTCATCCTGATGAGCATTATTTTGGGGGTAGTGTGTAGCCAAAGTGCAACAGCCATAATTATCGAGGCCTGCTATGAGAACACTAAGGATCGGACACATTATGGTGGCATCAACCACAGACAAAGTTGAGGTTGGCAGGAGATGACCAACTTATACCCAACGAAAATAATCGTGTTATACAGCGTAATTCTCATCCAGTTAAAACTTTTGCTCATGTGTGAGGCCATCCTCAGGCAGCCACGTCACATTCCAACCCACACCGCTCAACAAAATGCATGCTTTCATTGGTGTTTTGGCCTTATCTAACCACATTCATACCCGTTTGTGATGAACTACCATTGAGTCATAAGTATGCAATATCAAGCTCTCAACAGAGTCTATTTCATTGATATACCCGCCCCTTTCACCAGGTTGCCTTTGTTGTAAAACTCAACGCTCGGCAACATCTCGCTTGCAACCCACCTGGCTGTTTGCGTATGAAGAGAGCCGTAACCGAAGGGCTCATGCGTCTTTTCCTTTCTCATTCTGCCAGTACCAATATCCAGGTTTCCCATGGCATCGATTAGTGTGTCAGGTGGAGATTTATCTGGGGCATCTCCTCGAGGGAACGAAGAGTATCCCTCACAGAGTGCTTGGAAAATGACCACTTGATCTTGAAGATGAACGTCCACTTGACCACCAACAGCTACCTCATCGTACAAACCCCGACACAGCTTTCTTGATACCTGATCGGCGAACATATCCCTGTTCTTAGTCTTTTTCGGTATTGATCCAAGCCAGTCATGTCCCCATCTGACCCCAGATGTGGAATGGGCCACAAGCAGTATGTACCACCGTGAATCTAGGTTCGTGTCTTCAACATGCTTGAAATGGGCATCTGCTCCAGAAAAGAGGTCCCCCAGGCCCCTTGTCAGTGATGCCTGGAGTCTCTCGAGTGTGCTGCCAGGTACCACCATGCTGACATCAATAGACTTGATCTCATAGGACTCAGGGTAACTGCGTTGCTCTGGGGATTTGTATCGCAGAGTTTGACCAATCGTCAACGGATGAAATTTGAGACGTATCTGACCTCTCGACTGCGGACCGAGGCTCCATCCACGTCTTTCTAACGCCCTTTCAACATGAATTCCAAATCGTTCCTCCAATGTTGGCAGGAAAACTTGGTCCAGATATTCAAAACTAAGTGAAAAAGACACATTGGATCCACCAGATATTGAAAGTTCGACTGATTCCTCAGAATCATTGCCGGCAAAGATCAGAAACGGGAGGACTGCTTGCAAAATGAGGAGAGTACTCGCAGAACCTGACTCTGCTGATATATTGATATTGCGTTGATATAGTTCTGTGGGTCCTCGTCGTGGAGCGAAGGTTATTGTCTTGGAACCTACACTTAGGCCCTCCACATCTGCATCTGTTATCTTCGCGAGGAACTGAATGCTCGTGACGTGTTGGCTCTTGAGACCTGGGAGATATCAGCTGGTGGCGTTGCAGTACGTGTTTAGGTATCACTCACCTCCACGTTCTCGATTTCCTCTGACGTTGGTGATGGTGACAGCCTGTCCCGTCAAGGCAGCTATTGCTATTGCGACTCTTACAACCTGTCCACCGCCCTCTCCTGTTCTTCCGTCTAGTTCCACAGGCTTCATTTTGTCGCCTCTGTTGATACCTAGTAGGGTGGGTTTTTGAGGTAAGCTGAACTTGATAGGTCAGAGTGTCGTTGTGGAAGGTCAAATCAAACAGAAGATTTAAAACCTCAATGATGTACCACCATGAAAACAGCGTGAAAAACAGTGAAAGAGCATCCGGTGATTGTCTATATATTGTGTTGAAAGTCGTTCACCATGCAGCTGCGATTCACTAATGTGACTCATTGCCGAAAAAGCTAATATCTTCGTGGATTGATGGGCAGGCAACGAAGCTCTAGCGGAAGGTTCAGAGACAGAAAAGGTTATAAATTCTCAACAACCCAACCGGACCCTTAAAGATCAACCACGAGAATGCACAGCTGAAAGAATGACTGACAACAGGCGATCTGCAGTCATGAATAGACCAAGCTGAACCCTCGGCCTCTCCGAAGGCGGTCTGACACGAGTTCCGGTGTTTCCTCGTGTCCAGCAAAAAGATTTTGAGACAGCTATATATATGAAAAGCCGAACGCCCGGTTTGGTGATTCCCAGGGTATCTGTTTGCAACAAGCAAACATAAGCGGGTACCCGAAAGAATGCAAATTGCCGGAGGCAGCTAATGATCCCGGCGGAGTGGGGCCGGCGGTCCGGTGATTTCAGGCGATTACCCCGGACTTTCATAAGTGGCTTCACCAAGTGCGCCATTTGATCTCGTTTACCATTTCCCCTATTCATCCCATTTCTTCATTTTTCAGGTTTCTTTCCGCGCCCTCACCTTCTCATGAATCTTTCGTTACGTCGTTTCAGCTTGTGCTACTCAAGCGTTTAAGCACAGGAGACTCCAAGATGCCACTCACACAACATGAAATACACCCCACGGCCCTGGCTCAGCCACAGGGATGATCTCTGTTCGTTTCTCAACGATTGGAGATGATGTGTTCTTTGCCACGCCTGGCTTTTTACCAAGCACAGCTGGTGTGGCAGCTTGTGGCGACGTTGACCAATTGCCATCACCAATTGGATGATGATCATTATACCCAGTGAAAGGGATGGAGAATATTCGCAAGCAATAAGTTTACACAGCCTGAATCATTTACAAATTGGTTGCGTAGGTATGGCGAGCTTTCGATGTCGGGACCAGAGTCTCAAATACAATTGAACAAGGCGCTGAGAGAAAGTGACATATCATTGCAGCCCGCCTCGCGTTTCAAATAGACCACCAACACAAGCGAAACAAAGAAACCACCACGCTCAAACAGTCTAGGAGAAAGCCATCCCAAGCCAAGACAATTCCCAGCGAAAGCAATCAACGCATCCCTCCTTGCCCTATCCTAGTCATTATCATCCATCATAAGCATTGAAGACGTTCAGTATCTTCCTTGCACTCCTTTTAATCTTTCATCTATCATGCAACCTTCGCGAAGCACCACGCCTGTCTGCGCCGGCTGCAATGGTTCTTTCCCGATTCTTCATATCGTACCTTAACTGCCAGCAGCGGGGGGTGCCTGCCCTTCGGTCGACGTTTACGTATAGAAACTGGAAAGACTGCTGCTTGCCTTGACAGGCACGACAGGAGAGGGCGCGAACGCACTCAGTGTGTCCTCTAGAAGTCTCTATCGCCATGTTCACTCCCGTCCCCTATACCTCATTTTCCCAAAGGCTGGAAGCCAGAAAGACATGTTTCACTCCTCCATATCTGTGTCGTCGGAAATTTCGAGCATCATGTCGTCTTGGAGTGCGATCGAAGAAGTGTCTCGATCCAGACCAAGAAAGGCGACTCGATCCAAGACGTGGCTAATGTCTCTTTGTCTCCCGTTCATTCCCGGTCTCGTTGTTTCATCGATCCAGGAGTGAAACGCCTCGTCGTTAGGTTCCTCATCATCGCTATCGAGGTCCATCGGTTCATAGGATTCGTTTGGTTCAGCTCTCTCCTGGCTTGGGCAATTATGCACAACCCGCCAGCCGTGGTCAACACTACTTCGCCATTAGACTTGTCACTATCCGGGTGGAAGCACAATCGACAAACCTGTCACAGCTTCCTTGGAAGGCATACACTTGAGAAAGTGTGGGCACAGAGCCATCCCTGGTCTGATCATGACTCGACGGGCTGTCCTGTTTGACAACATATGGGAGAGTCTGCACTATTAGTATGCTCTCTGTTGAAGGGAGATGCAGTAACCCATAACTTACCCAGGCTTGGTGGTTCTCACATTCGTCTGCTGTCTTAGGGAGACAGGGAGAGGGAGATTGATGGCCTTGCTCTTGCGCTCCCGGAAGAGGCCGGGAGACTACCCCGTTACCGTAGGTAGTGGGACTGTCCTGGGACACTATTTTGAGATCTCCTTGATCATGCTTATAGGCAAGGTCACAGTTGATGCACACCCAACGACCATTCTTTCTCTCACATGCTTGTGAGCAGGTAATGCACATCGGAGCCACGGGCCCGCGAAGCTCAGAATGAGGATCCATGGTAGGACGTATGAAAGCACACTGAATGATGCTAGTGAAGCCCCCGAACTACCAATATCCTCCTTGCCTTCGATGCTGGCGGCTGTACCAGAGGTTGAAAGATGCCACGCAAGACGGAACTTCCAGGGGATGAGGCTCGAGGAGTATCGACGAGGAAGCTACAGGCAAGATTCTTCCGGTTGCTGGAAAAGAGTATGGATCGAGTCGCCAGTCACTCTGTTTCTATGAACAGAGCGATGTTCTTCTTGACAGCAAAGACTGGAAAGGGCTGGTTCCAGATGTGATAACACACGGGGCTCCGTACAAGATTACGGTGCTTTTGCGTGTCTCCGCAGACACGCCCAGCTGTTTAATGGAACCGAAGAAGTGATTGGCCGATGAGGCGAGACGATGCGAATAACGATCAGCAATACGGTACGTCGTCAAAGTTGATGATGGTCCCGATATCGATGGATGAGGTTTGAAAGACGTGACGGCAAAAGAGTCACTTCGTCCAACTGACTAGTAAGCTCATAACAGGGGTACAGGCTACTGTACATGTGCTGGCACAAAGGAGAGGCAGCACCGATCATCCCGGTAGTCTTCGAATTTTGTTGGAGGATACCCAAAAGTAGTGGATCAACGGAAGAAGCAATCGACGTGAAGAAAAAGAAAAGGGAACGTGTTCGTTGGTCGACTTGGAGTGATGGAGTCGTCGTGTGTCGAAGCTACCAAGTCTTCAGGCGGCATCCAACCAGATGGCGCCTTGGGTCCTTGGTACAATGACATAGCAGCCCGGGCAAGGCAGCCTGGGGGGCCATCAACCGATTGGAGAGTTTCCAAACGAGGTCCCATAAGTGGAAGATGCTTATGAGCGAGGCGCACACCATGTTCTCATTCATAAGAGCATTCCAGGCCTTCTTTGATGATTGAACGAAACGAAACGAAACGAAACGGATGCGAAACAGAACAGAAGGCTGAAGCCATACCTGCTGACGTGGACGTGGGATTCGCCAGTGCCATGGTAACGACCTGAATCTGTCAACACTCGACAAGAAAGACTGACCAGTGCGGAACTGCAAAAGTCTCTCGTATTTTGTGGCCAGAAGCAAGAGTTTCAGGTGAAGGAACCACAACCGTGGACATATGGGACTACTTAACATCTCCTCCCTTTAAGCCACTCTCCTAATCTGCACGCGTCGGCCCCCAAGAATACAGATTTCAGCTCGGAACCTTCATTCCCAGCACCGAGATTCTCTAGTGGTGTGAGACAGACCCTCTATGTTTTATGTATTGGGGGTTGATTGTCGCCAAACGTCCCTCAGCCTGATTTCCAGCTATGAATATTGGTGGCTGGCACCCTGTCAGAGCACATGCTTTGGTGCCAGGTCTCAGCAGAGAGTAACTTTTGTCGCACATTCCCATCAGCCTACAGGGCTTTGCAGGCTGTCAAAGTATTAATACGATAAAACTACCGCTATCTCAGTGCAGTTGGGGGCTTGAAGGTCTACTTAAGAGGGCTTTACACTATCGAAGACGACAGTGAACTGTTTAAGTACGCCACGAAGCTCCAATCTACAGGGGTCACGTCCAACATACTATACGATGAGCGGATGCACAAGATTAAGTTGGCCAAGATGGCCAGGCTCCAGATCAGAGTCAGTGACGGGTGTTACCTCCAACAAACAACTCATTTAATCAACGGTCATCACGATCAATGCGCGTCTCTTCTCCATCACATACAGATTGAGACAAACGTAGCGGAATGCCGTTTAAATGATTCGCAGTTGGCTTGGCTGATTCACTAGCCTGCCCATTAGCAAACAGCGTGAGATGCAATGGGGAAATCACTCTCTGTCAAGTGGACAGATCTTGGGTGTGAAGCTGCGAACTTGCATGCAGTGTATGCACCATTTCTGGGTGCATCGCGCTATTGTTTTCTCATGCAGCCATCACCTATTGGAGAAGTTGGATGGTGGACGAAAGACACGACCCTCCGCGGGGGAAATACACGGTTGTGGCTTACACCGAAATTCGCCGGCGATCCACCCTTTTAGAGACTACCCAGCCAACATCTGGTTCATTAGTCTCGCGATGACCTTGGTTGTCCAGATCAATTGTATTGATTGATAAAGATTTGTCTTCAGAATAATAGGACTTCTAAACAACAGACAAGACCCTCCTGAAATCGAAAAACAATCTGATCATAAAAGCTATTCATGCACCAGGTGTACCAACCAGCCAAAACACCAAAATCATATTGCAACGGGTGTTCCTTCAAGAAACGACAGAAAGAGTAATGCGTATGAGATCACGGGATATATCAGGCCGAGGCAGAAACCAACAGGATAACATGTCCAAGTGCCATTAGACCCCATGCTGATCCCCAGATTTCGCACTCTGTTAATTTCGATCTCTCTTTCACCGCTGTGCATGTGACGAGCTGTCATTTTGGCCGCAATAGTCGAGGGTTCTGGGATAGCCAGGATAACTCTGAGTGTATTGAGGATATCGCTCATCCCTCTGAGCATTATTGGCCGAAGTGCTGGTATCGACAGTCCTTGTGAACTGGTTGTCAAATTGTGAGATAGTGTTGGTACCACGCCTGATACCGTTTTGTTCGGCTTCATCAGGAGACGATTCAGTTCGAATTTGCTGGCCGTTAACGAAGTCGGTTGTTCTTTGTCGAGGGTCATCCAGCGAGTGCTGGGCCCCTGGCAAATTTACTTGGTATTGATCGCCAGGAGTATCGTTGGATCCCTGGGTAATACGACTATTCGGAATGGGTTAGCTGGTGGTCGTTGTCTTTCCAATGATATCACCCTCACATACCTTCCCTGGTAGGCGGGCTGATTTGTTGGAGCATAGGTGTAGCCCAGTGCACCTTGACTTGAGGCTGTTTGTTGATATGATCGGTTCTGATACGGATAGTAGGCTGTTCCAGAGTGCTGAGTTTGGAGCAGGTGTTGGTGCAGCATGACATCCTGGGGTGCAGGAGTCTTGCGCTGTGGCTGCGGTGCTTGCCTTGCATGGCTCTGGGTTATATTCGCGTCCGGAGACGAGAACCCACTCGCATCTCTGGCGTAGCGATCTCCCGAAGAGGTCATGGTTGTTCGACGAGGATCCTCAGGGGGAAGAGCCGACTGATCGTGAACGTATGAGAACAGTTGAGAGTAAGAGGCGGGATGGATGTATCTGGTGGGCGACAGATCCCTGTGAAGAAACTTTTAACTGGCAATCATCGCATGGCGGGCATGAAAGGGGTATTAATGCGCCATCTCTCTGTTACGCGGTAAAGGGCTTGTGGCAAGCTTGGGCAAGGTTGATCGGATTGCAGAGATGAAACACTTCATAAACCCGTTTTTTTTTTTTTTGTGTTTTTTCGTACAGCACTACTGCTTGTCAAGGGCCTGATATTCGTCAGACATTGCTGCTTTAATGAAGGCTGGACGTCATACGGTTTGCCAGCGAATTGGTCTAGCAACTTCTGCCAGTTTGCGAAGGTCAGCCACGACAACATGTGCTAGGAGAATGAAAGGGTTATTACAAGACAGGGTCGATTTACATCAGCCTGTGGCGATACGAGAGGTTGTCGTGGCATGAAAGAAACATGGCCAACCTGGGAATGGGAGTCAATTTGCTCGCCTCAGCATCTGGTTTGCTGCTGTTGACTGGGTCTTCTGTCACGAGGCATATACCTAGGCGGAATGTTACTTTCAGAGGCAAAAGGCATCTATTAGATGGATCCTTGGGATGACGACATGTTCGAAATCATCAGCGTAGATTACCTACGATGAGAAGGTTCGCATGGTACGCACAAAGGCAGTATGTCAGCGGCAGCGGCTACTCCTGCGAGAAAGGATGACCAAGCAGACATCCTATCGAGATTCATCCGTTGTTCAACTAGTTATACGCGTCCCTTGGCTGTGTTTGGTTGGGTCAAGGGAACGCAACAAACGGGTCGAAATACTCTGGTCAGGTTGCGACCTGGCATCGTTTCGGAGGCGACTAATCGGAGAAGGCTTGACTAAAACCATTCGGCTTGGACAAAATCCCAAACTTCAAAGCGCAGATGAACATACGAATTTTCAGTTCTGTTTAGTTTCGCGCAATGTGCAGGGAAAGGGTGAAAAGAAACGCAATTTTACAACAAAGGAAGACTTGGAAGATTGGCAGCGGCTGACAACAATAACCTTGTGCCAACGACATGAAGGGTAGCCGCAGCATGGTCGATCCTTTCCTGCTTGCGGAGGTTCCTTCGTGGATTTGTGTGTGAATGATATGGAATGGATATTATTTGTACAAGAGAACAGCATATTCTCTTACTGATTCACTGTCCTCTTAGCCAGCCATACACAAGGAAGAGGGTAAAATTGTTTCACTTAAAACTGCTGGACCTACTACTTTCGCATCTCAAGCAGCCACAGAAGGAACTTATCGCAAAAGGTCTCGGCAACCCCGAAAACCCTAGGAGATTCCGGGGAAAGCAGAGCTAGTAAATGTAACATTCACGGGGATTGGCAAACCCCCGATGAGGCTGAACGCAATGAGTACCCCAGCATCCGCTGTACGTTCGAGGTTCATTCATTAACACAGCAACACCTTGCCAATGAAAAGGAGTGATATAACATGCAAGATAAGTACACAATCATATTGTATTCCTTCATGTTACTAATGACTAGGTGAAGATAAAGATAAACCCTGATGTTGTTCAAATTATGGTTACCCCGCTGACCCTCATCCATCCTTGTAACTCGGGGTGGCATTGATGTTGGTTTGCTTGACCAGCTGAACAATTCCAACATCCACGGTGCCCCCATCTTTCCTCCAAAAACTACTGCAAACTAAACTCACATGTCACAATCGCTGCCGCATTTGCCTTTGACTATTATTGATCACGGACACCACAATTCGCTAGTTTGCAGCAGTGTTAGCCATGTTTGGATCCCTTGCATCCCAAATGTCTGCATCGTGCGGTTGCATGTCCAATTACGTTGTTTGCCGGGATAAGACGTGGCGTGATATCCTGTGCTTCAGGTTCCTCGAAAAGGAAAAAGATTGAATGAGAGCAAGCCAGGCTATTCGACGAAGTCCACAGTTGAAGCAGTGGTCAACAGGACATTGCGCTCCCGGTTTTCGCGTTGAGACTCTGCAAAGATCAGGACCACTTCACTGGTGGCAGCATGTCAGAATGTTGTCGAACAAATCGGGCTGTGAACTTACCAGAGGTTCTGCACAATGCCTTTTTGGTTGTGGTCCCTCCACCTGTTCACTGAATAAGCTGCATCCTAAAGCCACCAGCCGAGCTTTGTTGCCTAGGTCATTTTGGTCCCGTTCTCTTTGAGAGGATTGAACTCTTTCCCTCTTCGTGTTATAGGGAAAACCTTCGCTGATTTTTGACAAGTCGTTCGGCAAACTGAAACCTTCCCAGGGCCGATCAGCATCCCTCAACCAAGCCCACACCTGGGCTTCTTTGGTCCGATCCCCGATAGAGGCGGCTATAATCCCAGTGCGAGTCGCCAAGAGAAGCTCTCGCTTGACTGTGGCCTATTGTTTCAGTGCTGTGCGTGGAAGCATTACCGCCCTTGGAGGGTACAGTGCGTGGCCGACCGCTGTGAAACGAAGTTGTCAAGACTTTCTTCCGACTACTGCGTCTGAGATGCGTCGCTTTTGATGGATCCATAACATGAATATGGTTGCAAGAAAACACTTTCGTATTGATCGCTATCTACTTTGTCCTTCATCGGCACGAAATCCTCCTGGCTCCTTCTATAATCTACCATGGCATGCGGCTCAAAAGCAACTTGATCCCTTCAAAGACCTTAGGTACCCACATTCGTGCCCAAAGCAGTGAACTGTGACAACTGCTAGTCGTACCTCAAGATCATTGCTGGGCACAGCCGTGTGAGTACCGCCCCTGGTTCTACTGGAGGCTGGTTCTGCGGACACTACGCCTCAAGGCTGTGGTTTTCTTGTGACACTATTCAGATTAGAGGGGAGAATCATGACTGCACTGCCCTATGACGCTGAATTTCAGTCACACTTCCGACTCGTCGGCCTTAAACCGCCCTGCCCAACAGCAGAATCGGCATGTCTCATGGAAGCTGCGAGGCAGACAATCCTCAGCACCCAGCCATCGCTACTGTTATGACTTGTTCCCTGGCATACACACTTACGGCTCTTCCTAAATCACAGACTGAATGGATCCATGACCACGCAGATTTCATGAACGTGGAGTGGCCCCAATGGAAATGTTTTCATTGCGAAGGTCCAAAGACATGCGTCATGCTGGTCGCTGTGCAGCATACCGGCCTGAACCAAAAGTGCTGCATGTCTACTGCGGTTGCCTGGCTTGGCTTCTGATGTCTGGCACACAGCCCTGAGATCGACTTGAATAAAGCCTAGCTCATAGTTTGATGAAGCTGCACAGCTTTTCTCAGCATCGCCCCCTTTTTCACCACGTCATGACGTACATTGCCTCTTCACGCGCACTTCCCACGACAAGATAGTAAGCAACTGCAAAAGAGGCCCAGCACACCGAGAGGATTCTACTCACATGTGCGGATTTCAATGTCCGGAGGTCAAGCGCAATAATCGGCTTTCAAAAATCTTTCGACTAATGTTTGCGCCACTCTCTGGATCAGCAGGGCCCCGAGAGTGTGAGTTTTCTGGGTTTCTATACAAACACCCACCCCTTAGGCAACCACTTTTGCCGAGCTTTCTACCAATCATTAGGTTCTCTCATACCAAATCACTCAAGAGAATATCAAGGAGCGTTTCGGAATTCGGAATCTCAGGCGCTTTTGATGCTTCTCAGAATTGCTGAAATTAAAATAAGTTTCTTGGCCCGATTTTTTATTCGAAATTCAACCAGGGAGATGGATGCAATGAAGGATATCTGCATTTGGCCCGCTCGCATTGAGTTCCGGCTTCTGACGCAAATCCCCGAGGGACATAGAGCCCGGCTCGTTACGTTGCGCCCAGCACAAGGCCATGAGTTCAAAAATTGGCAATGTTCACAAATGGTTTCGCGTAATGCCTAATCTGGCAGGTTGGGTCTGGATTCTCAACTCCTTCAACTTGAGTGTTGCTACCTCTGGCGCATAACGCCGTTGTTGCTGACGACACATCTATCTCAACTTTCAACCGCTACATTATCGGAAAAGTATATTGTCAACTGTTGGAAAAGCCAAATTCAAATGAAGTCACTTCCATCGTCTTTTCAACCTTGACAAATCTGATGTGTCGTCGATCCAACCTGATGGTGATTGGTCGTCTAGACGCAGTGCCGCGCCAGTGGCATTACCAGGTCCACGCACGAAGCATTGGAGCACTAATTGAACAAACCTGGCATTGGTAGACGCACCACGTGGCAGACTCATAGTAGTCTAATTGCCGATAGTGACCTGGTCCTGGAGATCTACTTGCTCGTCACACATGATTGCTAGGCGTGCAACGACCCAGAAGCCGATCAGTCGGCTTGTGCTTGGCGAAGGATCTCGTACAAGTACAAGTTATACAATCTGGAGAGTAGAAGCTACTGGCTGGGTCAAGATCAATGTCAAATGTGTTGGGTTCAAGAATGCATTGGGCCGCAACAAATGTACCGTCCAATTCACTGTGACCCAAAGCCCCAATGACTGGATCATACAATTCAAGCCTTACCCAACCACCCATCTATCTCACAAAACACAGTGAATGTGTCAGAGCACTCTGAACAGTAGTGAGGGTATCCGCAACAATGATTCGAGCGTCCCGGAATTTCCAGGCGAGCCTAGCTCCTCGTCAGCCTCACTTTTCTCGGCCTGCGCATCCATATCGACCAGTCGATTCCATTACAAATATTGCATCCAATCAAGGAAGGTGTGATGTTGCTGCGTTTTCTAAAACTCGCATGTTATCGATCATATGTGGACTCTATTCGTGCTCCTGATATGTTGCACAAGCGCGAGAGGTGTGAAATCTTCAGGGACCAGGTTTCATATGTGAAGAACTTAGTGATAGATCATATTAGAGGAAAACGTTACATATTGGGCCATCCTGAGGAAGCTAATTGGACCGATGAATCAATCTTTTGATGCCTGACAAGCTTACAGCTGCTCTGCTGGGAAATGTCACTGATGTGATGTGGTGTGAGATGCATGAGCAGTGCTGACATATTGAAAACTCGGTGACTCTGCTCCCTTGGGAGTAAATCCTAGTGTTATTCGCTTGTGACGATTAAGTTTGCGCAGACCAAACTCAATGCTATGACCCCAGGTCTTTCTAAACCAAACATTAGAGGGTGATATGCAAGATAGGGTAGACCGGCATTACGGCCTAACAAGCTGTTAATCTGCCTAATGAGCAAGACGGAGGAAGCCCGGAAGGATCCACTTTTCCCGGCCGTGACACAAGGACAACTCTTCATAGCGGCTTGCCTTTGCTCTGTAGATACCATCGTTTAATTTTGAGCGTCACAATGTCTTTCAAACCAAGTTTAAGGTTTATTCTAGTTAATCATGTATACATTGGGATTGGCCAATACACTCGCTTCAGTTTCCACAGTGTCAACAGGTGAGTGTCTGAAGCATAGAAGCCATGAAGCCTCAACTAGTACCTACGACACATTCATAGCACTTAACTAACAATGCAGGCGTCATATCAAAATTTAGTAGGGAGAAAAAACAAGTTAGATCAATCGTCGTAATAAAATTTATACATATGCAACTGAAAAGCCAGAGCATAATCTATCTACAAACAGAAAGCCATCTGCAAAGATGCAGTTTCATCGCCCTCCACTAGGGAGAAGCAAATCCGTTTTTTTTTGCTGGCAAAGAAGTACATGAACACGTCACGGACGTATCGCATGTTGCTCACTCCCCACTGCTCAGAACTCTTTCGAGCTCTTTACAGGGATCGGCGGGCAGCGCGGCGAGCACGGCGGCGCTTGGAAGAGCAGCCGGTCTTGGGGGGAGTGACGGGAGCAGAAGGAGCCTCAGTGGGAGCAGAAGCACCCTCGGAAGGTCGGACAACGGTGGCGAAGGTAGGAGTAGGGGCGGGAGCCTGAGTCTCGGAGCCAGCGTTGCCACCAGCGGGCTGGGTAGCAACAGGGGCCTCAGCAGCAGCGGAGGTAGCAGCGGGAGCCTCGGCGGCGGCGGAAGTGGCAGCAGGGGTCTCGGGAGCAGAGCCAGAGTCGGAACCAGAGCCAGAAGAGGTGCCCTCCCAGACAGCAGGGCCGGGGATGTCGTAGGTGGTGTAAGAACCGTAGAGGTTGAAGACAATGCCCTTGTCAGTGGAGGTGTAGCCCTTGTTGAAGTCGAACTTCTCATCAGGGACAGCGGTGCCGGAGCCAGTGACCTCAACCTGAGCGCAAGAGGGGTAGAACTGAGCACCACGGGCGGGGTTGGAGGCGTAGGCAACGTCGGACTCGTGGTGAGCAATGATCTCCTGGCGGACAATGTACTTGCCAGCCTTCAGAGCAGAGGGAAGAGTGAAGGTGGACTTGCCCTTGGCCTTGATGAGCTTGTCAACAGCCCACTCACTGCCATCGTAACCGTCCTCAGCAATCTTGGTCCAGATAGCACCAGTACCGTCGGTCTCGGTGTAGGGAGCAATGTAGGTGATGATGGGACCCTTGTGGGATCCGTCAATGATATCATCGCCACGGTTGTCGTGATACCACTCGAAGGTGAGCTCGTCACCGGAAGCAGCCTTGACGAACTTGGGAGCAGCCTTGGCACCGTTGACGTTGCAGACGAGGTCGGGGCTGGTGAGGTCCTTGACGGGAGAGTTGCTGGCGGGAGATCGGATGTAGACGTTGCGTCCATCACCCTGGTCCTTACCGTTGACCCAGAGGCCGTAGACCTGAGCGTGGGCAGAGACGGTGGTGGCCATGGCCAGAGCAGCAGCGGAAGCGGAGAAACGCATCTTGATAGATAGTTATATGTTTGAGTTGATGTTGGTAAAGGATTGGATGAAGCGAGAAGTCGCGGAAGTAAAAAGTTCGAGCTTCGGTGGTTTTGTTAGAAAGAATGAAGGTTTGGCACAGCCAAATTGAAAGAAAGTGAAGATAGAAAGAAGAAAGACTGATTTTGCTACGACGAGTGTGGAGAGAAAGAAAAGAAGGTATTGGGACGACGAAGGATGTCGACTTATATATCAAATCTCGACGCCTTGAGATTAGGCCCTGTATCCAACTATTCCTGTTCCTATCCTATTCCTCTCCAAGGCGGAAACTACGGTCAGTCCCACCACAAGGATCAGCTCACTTCAGTTCAGTTGACTTCATCTCGTCAAGAAGCCATGCCGTAACCTCAAACATGGTGTGCTGGGACCATCTCCAGCGAGTGACAGTTGAATCTAGATCAGATCAGGGAACAAATCTACTCTCAGGAGAAGGGTCCCTTGCAGTTCAGGCGTCTCGCCTTTGGTGCGTACCCCATAACGACATAGTCATTGATAGACGGAAAAATAAACTCACTTGCAGCAAACGCATAGCGGAAATTGAAACCCTTGGGCCTGGGCCTGGGCTGGCTTACACTACGCTAGGCCTGCTGTCAAAAAAACAAGGCGTTACGCTAAACCCCTGCCAAGTTCGGTTTGAGGCTCTATAGAACGCTCCTATGATTGGAAGAATGTCTAACGGTGAAACCTAGCCCCTTGGCACCTTTAATATCGGAGCACACCCCATTGGAGCGATCCCGCCTACGCCTACGCCACCGTTCCCGTCCACCGTTCAAGTCGAAAATATCCCATGGACCGGCGAGTCTATTCTTTTCGAGAAGTAGGCGCCGGTAAGCGATGGGAATTTCAATTCTCTTTCTCTCCTGTGGTCTTGGCAGATCCGCTTCTTCACCTGAAACCGTAGAACTGCCATCTCCGACTGGGGGAGAATTTTGTATGTGCGACCGAGGTATTTTGGTGTCTAGTTTCAAGGGGTTATCCAAAGATGATAGGTTTTCCTCGGGGAGTTGCGTTCTCTTGAAACGAGTCGTGTACGTTTTCACGATGCGAGGATGGCATCGGACGAGAAATATAAACGAGAGTGTTTCGAGAAGTTTGGTGTTTCTTGTCTGTCAGATCAAGACAAACAACGTGAAATCAATTCAAAACAATAAAACACTATGAAACGAAGAAAACAGAATCTATGTGAAGAATATCGCTTCGGTAGCGTTGCGAAAATCATTGTCTATGGTTACGACGGTTATACGTGGATGTGAATGGTCACAAATGACAGTCTGATTAAACTTCGAATTAACTATACTCAGCATTAAGTTTAAGCATAGAAATCGAAGCTTGAAGGTAAATACTAAGCTTGAATAAAGGATGAACCGACCTGACAAGGGTCTGTCAGAGCTTATCTCCCAGTGCAACGTAGTCCTTGTAACCTCTCTAACGCAAGCTGTTTGAGGTGCGGCGCTAAGAAAATGCTACCCTACAGATCGACAATACAACATCGGGAGCGTAACGCCATCTGCCATTGCTACTGTAACTACAGAAGGCTTGGAAGATCATTCCAGATAATATCAAAGAAATAGACAAATACTATAGAGAGATGCAATTAGTATGCTGCTTGTAAAGCACAGAATCACTCGTAGCAGGAGAAAGCAATGAAAAACAACGCTGGTCATGGTGCGTTACACATCGGTTCCGTGCATGGCTATGGAGTAGCATTGTTGGTTTGTGATGCACAAAGTTAATGCTATGCAAAACAAGGTACCACGGCCCGAAAAGTCCGTCTCGATAAACGTAATTCGGAATGACGAACCGCAGAGCCGCCCTCCTTAAGAACCAACCTGCCGGCTCTGTTGGTGACATCGACTCAATGCGATACACATCCCAGCATCCCTAAATTAAAGTGTCACCTTAGAACTCAAATTCCATATTTCGAGGATGAGTTCAACTACAAATACATGCATTCTACTGTGCATATAAGTTGACTAGAAGTGAACGACGAATGGTTGATAAAGTTTCCTGACTATATATCTAGTGAGTACTGTCGTTATGGGAACATGTTACTTGAGACTATATTAGACAGCAGCCTATTCCTTTTATGGAGCAACTCGCTCATTACACAAAGCTTCAACTGAGTATGCGCAGCATACAAACTTGAACTTCTTCTGCTCAGTAGTTTCCTTGGAACGTGGCTTGATGTTCCAACTTGGATACTCCGAGGCTAGCTTTCGATAGCTGCAACAACCACCAACCCAAAACCTCTTGAGCTTCAATGTCCGAATGCACTCTCGACTTATTATCACTGGTCGACCGATTCTACTGTCCTCTGACTGCAACTGGTCATATGCATCATCGGAATCGTAGTCCTGAATGAAGGCACACGTACTTCTGAGGCGCCTTCGGTCGCATGGGGATGAAAGCTCGCTCATACAATGTAACGAGCCTTGAGAGCACCCCATACATTGCCACCGTCAGTTCAAACGCACCACCCGATCCTTTCTGTAGTATGTTCCCCTGCGATCCTGATGTTTCTTTGCTTCCCATCGAAAATTTCATTCGACGAGACTCCTGCCGTTCCGGTGGTACTAAATGCCATTAGGGTAGTGCTCTAACCAGAGGGAGGGAGAATGAGACCCAGGAGAGATTTGTGAAGAAGCAGTGGCCCAAGGAACCGCACCGAGATGTGAACATGTTTGTCGCAGACGGAGAACTTCCCCTGACGCGTAAGGATCAAACAGTGCTCTCAGACGCCGATTGATCTTACTAGAAGCTCTAGCAAGTCCACCACTATCTCTTCCAGCAACCCATTCATGACGGTTGAAGTAATTCGATCGTGACGAAAACATCGTCTTGAAGCAATGCAAGCGCAACATATCCATGCAGTCTCCGACAGGGCCAACCGAGTTGTCCAGTAGAAATTGATACCTGGCCCTGATACTCTTTGTGTGGTAGTTGATATGTTCCCAGGCCAGCTCGTCTGGAGCTGCCAGATTGTCAGACCATTCTAGGTCGACTAAGCCTACATCTTCAACTAGCATCTTGGCAGCATACGTGGCGATATTCTTCTGGAAGTTGGGAAGTGTCTCCTTGAATTGCTTTCGCATATAGCCTGGTATGCTGTTATGAATTGGTAACTGATAGCCTCGATGCCCATGACTTCGTACCAGTTTGTCGTATACAATCGTGGGCACGCTTGGTAGTCTAGCCCAGAAAACAAGAAAGTATTCATAAAAGTAGGGCATCTGCGCTTGGTCCGTCATATGCTTCCTTAATGGATCTTCCAGTGTCTCCGCTGCTCGGCATTCTCAGAAGTTCTTTGCTTCTCTCGTTGACTGGCCAGACTGCACACCTTCAGTGGTAAACCGAATGGTGATTTTGGCATCTGAGTGCCACCCCTGTTTTTTTTCCGAAACACTGAGCTGCTGTAGATGTGGAAATAGACGTCGTCCATTTTTGCAAACATCATCATAAACGCGCCGACAAAGTGACCGCGTCTTGGAGCCCGTAGTATCACGACGATATCGTCAATATTACGCATCTTGGCAAGACGAAAAACCGTGGGGTCGCACATATCCTGGATGGCGCTCACAGCGTGGCGAATGTGACCGTTCTGCTTCCAGTAGTAGTCAAACTTTGAGCCAAATTCCATGGTCGTATGTCGAGTCTGCTATAATCTTGAGCTTCTGAAGCTTGTTGATGTTATCAGGGAGCTGGCAGTAAGGAGAGAACTCGTCTCTGGTCTGGTGACAACATCTCAATAGTCGGTTCGCATCTCCGGTTGAAGCTGAAAAGCCCCATATCATCTCCCCCAACTCGAAGGGAAGGGAAAGTAAGCAACTTATATGCATCACAGTACCCATTTTGTTGGCAGACTTGGTATTTTTGCAAGTTTCGAGGAGTGGAACAGAGTACAGAGTAACAAGAATCCCCTACTTATAGTATTATATTAACTTTTACTTCTTGTGGACGTGGATGACTCACTCTGTTAGAGGTTTGAACAAACAAAATTGCTCTAAAGCATTCGAACTCTCACTTAGACATAATTTTAGTAAAATTACTCTAAATTGTGATATTATTCCTCTAAAATTGCCTTAAGCTAGCCTTCAGCTGAGAGTCCTTTAGTTGGCATTCCTGACAGCTTTGCGCGATCAGATCACAACTCATAGCTCATCCCTTTAAAGCCCTCAGTTCTTCATAAGCAGGTATTCTCCAAGTCCCTCTATCCTCCGGCAGTAGGGCAAGGATCGCCTTATCAATCTTAAGCTTGGTGATAAGCCCAATAATCGAGTACTGTAACTTGATCCCAAAGTTCGTCTTTGGATATGCAATACCAGGGATGAACGACGGCAGTTTTTGAGACTTCTCAACATATGGTCTTAGAGTATCTTCATACGCCATAAGAGCTCTGGAAATATCATGGCCATGTCTCGCAATTTCTCCGCTGAGAACGCAGGCTCCTATCAAGGCGAGTGTAGTTCCCACACCCGTCAGTGGAGATGGAGCGTATCCTGCGTCGCCCAGCAGAACAACTCTTCCTTTAGACCACGTCTTGGTCTTGATCTGCACGACAGACTGCGCGTAAAAGTCCTCGGTCTCATGCATAGCCTTGACGAGTCTCGGAGCCTGCCATCCTGCATCCTTAAAGATCTCTGCAAAAAGCTTCTTCTGAGCATTGACGTCCTGACTCATGACCTCTTTCAGCTCTTCCACGTGGGACATTGTCATAAGGTATGCTTGACCTCTATCATTCGAATGCCAACGCGTTGAGATCACGCGGCGGCCTGGAGCGCTGTATACAGTGGCAATATTTTTATCTCCTGCTTCCCGTGGCAAATTATAGTAACATCCATTCAGATTGAGGTCGCGCACATGAACAGCTTCAGGATCATCAGCGAATAACTTTCGTCGGACTCTCGAGCCTTGACCGTCTGCGGCAATGACAAGATCGTAGCTCTCATCAGCTCCATCCGAAAATCTGACTTCAACCTTATCGCCGACATTCTCAAAGCTCTCAATCGATGTTCCGAAGCGATATTGGGCTCTTTGTCTCGTCGCCTCGTATATGATCTTGCACAAATCTCCTCTCATGACTTCGAACTCACTTGTGAATGACTGTCTCCCTTTCCCCGAATCATTTCTTTCCAGTAGAGCTTTCTGCTTCCCTTGCGAATCAACCCATTGCAGGCCATCTTCATCAACCGCTTTATTTCGGATTTCTTCAAGAATTCCCATGCGCTTCGCAGCTTCGATGCCTTGGCCGCGAATGTCAATCTGTTGACCTCCAGTGCGTAGTGAGGGGAATCTTTCTATGATGGTGCAGGAATGGCCGAGACGGGAGAGCCAGAAAGCGGCAGATGGGCCAGCGATGCCACCGCCTGAGATGAGAATTCGAAGTTTTGACATTTAGAAACACGCTGTGTCGAATAGCAAATGCTATACGTGGAAACGTAGTGCATGAATCCTCGCTAAGATATTCGCTGTCAACACGCTAATAAATTAATGAGTCGTGAAAGACCCTGGAAATTTACAACTAACGTAGAATGTGGTCAAGATAATCAGAGTCTCTGTTCATAAATGGCTGCTTCGTCAAAATTCCGGCAGGAAATGTAGGTGTCATTGACTTTAAGGATTGTATCCTGGACTAGTCTAGCAACCAGGAATTAAGATGGGACAGTGTCTGTGCTGAAACTAGAATAGTTACCACCTTCATAACAGATGAGTTCAAGCCTACTGTAGAGAAAGTTTGACGGTAGGATATCTGGTTATCACGTAACTCAAGGTCGGCAAGAACATCAGAACAGCGATGTGTTGTCTTAAGCACCTATTAAGTATCAAGGTCTATTGCAGGGGCGCTCCCTCAAAATTGTCTAACACAGTAGGCACACCAAAGCACTGTTCTCTATTCTTGTTAATTGATAGATCTACCTGAATTCCCTGTAAATCGCTCAATGTATCTGCCATGCCCACGTGGTTAGAGTCAACGTCCAATTCTAATCTAGCTTCCATCATTTCGACCCAGACGCATCCGCCTTCTTCGACTGCACAGCATCATCCACAGTGGGCGGAGCAGGAATATCGACACCTTCAACACGATATTCAAGACCCGGATAAGCATCGCTGACAACAAGGACGTCAAACTTGCGGGCCTGGCCTGCCTGAGCGGGAGGGAGCTTGATGGTTGTCTTCGCCGTGGGTCGACCACCAGCCTCGAGCTTGCGATTGGGGTTCGTGGTCCAACCCACACGCTTCACTGCAATGACTTCGTCGCGTGTTAAATCAGCCACGATAACGAACCACGATTCTGTTTGTGGTTTAGGGAACTTGGGTGCGTAGATGCGAGCCTCTCGCTCGACAAGCTGGTTGAGACGCTTAAGACCAATGGTCACTGAGAGTGCCGTGGCTGCAGCGATGGACACCTCGACGTTAGGTAGGATAGATACAGCACGAGCGAAACGGTTGTGCTGGCTCGCAGGTACACCAAGCTTCTTAGCAAGTTGCATCGCCTGAGGTCTAGTCAGCGCGCTGATCTTAGCAATTGGTGTATCGTTCTTGACGTCGGGTTCGACCGTAGGTAGGATGGACACTGGTGCATCAGTAGGCCAACGAGCCGACTTGATCGACTGTAGAAGGGCCATCATTTGCAGGCAACTGGACAGATAACCAAGCTCGGTCAGAACATCGATGGAAGCCTGTATGACACGGATAGCCTGATCGAGAACACTTGTCTGATCACCAACATAATCAGTGATTGGAAGGTCTATCTGAGACATATGTGCCTGGAGGAGTAGGAAAGCCTTCACGTGGGGATCCCACATAGGCAGCCCAAAGGCGTGGCCAGGGAATGGCAAGTTGTCCGAAAGAGTGTTGTTTATGAGGTCTTCATTATGGCGCACGGGGAGTTCGTCGTACTCGGTAGCGCGGGACATCCATGACAAGACGTCGAGGAATGAGGCTTGAGCTTTCGCGTGCTTGACAAGGTGACGGATCGTCTTGTGCGAGAGGTAGTAGTAACTCATGATCTTGCCAAGAGGTGTGGGATCAACGTCGCCATTGGGGAACACCTCAACACATTTAGAGTCAGCAAGCTCGTTGAGTGACTTGCTAACCATCTCAATCATGTATTCATTAGCAAGCTGCTGAGCAGCGATGCTATTGTGCTCCTCAGCAGAAATCTCGAGTCCGTAGTACGACGGATTCTTGTGTAGTCGTCTGAAGAAGAATGTCCATGTAAGATAGTCGAGCGCGTCCTGTTTGGTGACAATGGTCTCAGCCGAGACTTCGGCACAAAGATGGTTATCCAAAACAGTGTGAAGCGAGGACTCTACTGGGAAGCCAGTGTGAAGGAAGTGCTTGTAAAAGTCCTTCTTGGAATCCTGGGTAAAGATACGTGCAACTCCCGAGTTATCGAACTGAGGACGACCGGCACGGCCCAACATTTGCAGAACATCGGTCAAGTCCATGTCTTTGTATGCCTCAATTTTGGCATCGAAGAATTGTGTTCCTTTGACGACAACCAGATGAGCAGGCAAGTTGACACCCCAGGCGAGAGTACTAGTAGCGACCAGAATCTGGATCTTGTTGTTCAAGAACAACTCTTCAGCAAGCTGACGATCCGACTCAACTAGACCAGCGTGATGTAGACCAATTCCAAAGTTGATGGCCTCCTTCAACGCGTCATCCTTGACTCGAGCAAGGTTAAGCTGCAAATCATCTTCATCCATGTGAAGAAATCGCCGGGGGTTATCTTCCATACCACAAAAGTTGATGAGATCCTTTGCAGTCAGACGAGTCTGTCTTCGCGAGGGAACGAAAACAATTACAGGCTTGTCAGGACTGTGATTCTTAACAGCCAAGAAGGTGGGGCGATTCATAGACTGCATCAAAGGACAGAATCCCCTGACTTCTGGGAAGCCATCAATATATAATTCCAGAGGAACAGGACGGACTGAGTGCTTAAAGTTGAAAAGACCTTCTTTGACACCTAACCAGTTGCCCAGGTCTGTCGCATTGGCGCAAGCAGTTGACATGCCCAGGAGACGAACGGCATTCTTGGTCGAGGAAGCAATGTAGTTCATACGGGACACAATGATTTCAAGAATAGGACCACGGTCCCCAGCCAGAAGATGAATCTCGTCAATGATGACCAGGCTCACTTGTCGAACATATCCTCTTGTCTGCCAGGAACGAGATATACCGTCCCACTTCTCAGGCGTAGTGATGATGATATCAGCGTCCTGTATAGTTCTAGTATCAGGAGTATTGTCACCAGTCAACTCCACCAACTTCAAGCCCAGTGGTCGCGCCAATCTAACTCCCCAGTCTTTGACTCGCTCACGGACAAGTGCCTTCATTGGCGCAATGTAGACAACCTTGGACTTGGGTCTCTCACGGAAAGCCCACCACATGGCAAGCTCAGCAGCAACAGTCTTGCCGCTACCAGTGGGTGATCCAAGAAGCACGTTGGCAGGTGTATGGTAAAGCGTATGGAAGATTTGCGTTTGCATGGGGTTGAAAAACTCAAAGCGCTTGGCATAGAGTTCTTCAAGCGCAGGGTTCTTGAGGGCCGAGATGGGTAGTGGTTGAAGATTCAGGAGGTCAGTATAGACGCTTTCAGTGTCTGGGCGGATGAGATGCTGGAAAGAGACTGGAGTGACGGTCTCAGCTCCCAGCCATCTGTCTGAGACGGCTCGGACGTATATCTGGCTAGGCAAGGGGTCCGAAAGGGGAATCGTGAAGTTCAGCTCATGGTCATCATGTAACTTTCTTCTGTTGAGAATGAAAAATTCATGATGGTAGATCTCTGAAGTCTCGGAATTCTCGACCCAAATGTAGAATGACTCTGAGGTTCCGTGAATCTGGTCATGCCATCGGAAATCGGGAATAACAAAGAGCTTAATACGCAACACATCTCGGTTTAGAGGAGCGATTTCAGCCTCGACGTGAACAGTAGGAAAGTTGTTCAAAATCTTGGCAATGTTCTTGCCGGCACTCTGGTTGTGGATCAAACCTCCAATCTCTGCAGGCTCCATGTCTTTCATGGTCTCAATTGTCAAGTTCTCTTTCGCGTCGAGCTGGTTGAGGACCGACTTTGCAAGGTCAAACTGATGAAGAGGATGCTGGTAGGGCCAGATGCGCTTTTCAATCGACTTTGCCAGAGTTAGAAGCACGAGGCACTGGTGGCCCCATCGGCGATTGAGGGCAAGCATGAAGAGTGCTCGACAGATACGTCCAGACTGCTGAGCAACGTAGTTCATGTCGTTTGAAAGGGCAAAATCTTCCGGCTGCGCTTTCGAGATGTAAGACTGCAGCAAAATATTTGTTTTTGCCTGAGGGGTGTCGATACCTCCATCAACATCGCACGGAATGATCTCTCGACGTAGATGAGTCAACTCCTTCTCCTCACTATCTCTGGATTGGATGTTGTCAAACTCTCCACTCATACTGATCATCTTTAAAATATCGGCCTCTGTGGCCTGAGGTTGCATCATGGCGTTGAAAACCTGAATACTTGTGTGGAGGATATAGTATTGACTGGCAATTCTTCCGATGTCCTTGCTGCGCAGCTCATCTGTCCTTTCATTGTAGATAATCATCTGGCATTGCTGCAAGGTCTTGGCAGCCTGAATAGCAAGCTGACGACGTCTTTGAACCAGGTTTGGGTCGTCGCGAATTTCTGACCATTCTATGCCATAAGACATTGGGCTCCTTTGCATGCGCACGAAGAGGTACGAGTATCCGATCCACTGAACAGCATCCGGAATAGAAGTGACAGTTCCGAGTGCGATCTCAGCATTCAGATTGTCAACCAGCTTCGTCGAGAATTTAGATTCAATGGGCTGCTGTTCCGTCACAGCAGTCAGGTAATGGGTGAGCTTGTCGTGGGTTGTGCAAATCATGCCGATACCAGTATCTTCGAATTGAGGACGACCAGCGCGACCAAAGATCTGCAGTACATCAAGAATTCCCAGATCAACAAATTTACCATCCTGAGCGCTATAAACCTGAGTTCCCTTGATTACGACTGCTGCGGCAGGCAAGTTGACACCCCATGCTAGAGTGGCGGTACAGCAGAGAACCTTCAGGACACCCTCTCCAAATAGTCTTTCCATCAAGTTTCGGTCAGATCTTGCCATTCCAGCGTGGTGAACTCCAATGCCCTTGGAGAGGAGCTCACGGATCTCCTTGGACTTGGACTGCTTGATATCACGCGAAGCTTGTTCAAACCCAGGATGATAGCTCGGGTCAAGGAGATCTGCACACATGGCATCGATGGCCTTCTGGTGTAGCATTCGCGCTGTAAGCTGCGTATCTCTTCGTGAGTGAACGAACACCATGACTTGGTGATCACGCTCGAGCATCTCTTTGACTTTGTCGAAAGCGACCTGATCAAGATTCTCCTTCGATTGCTTTGTTCCAGCCTTTCCTTTGACGCCGATGAAATGTTGTTCCAAAGGAACAGGGCGGAAGGATGAGTCGAAGTAGAATAGGCCTGCATATTTGTTGACTTTGAGGAAATCGGCGACATCAACATAATTGGGCAATGTGGCACTGAGACCAACAATTCGAATGAGAGACTGCGTACTCTCAACCTGCCGTTCCGTTCGAGCCACAAGGGATTCTAGGACAGCACCTCTCTCATCATGAAGCATATGTACCTCATCGATGATGAGAAGACGGACCTTCTGAACAAGTTCCGTGTCTCCAGTGCCCTTGCGTGTGACGACATCCCATTTCTCAGGGGTCGTAACGATAATTTGAGTCTGGATGATTTCAGACTTGGTGAGCTGCATATCTCCAGTGTACTCTCGACATTTGATACCAAGCCAAGCCAGGCGCTTGCCTAGCTTCTCTGTAACTTCAGCAGCAAGCGCCTTCATGGGAGCAACATAGACGATTTTGAAGTCATCGGCGTTGACTGCAAATTCGGTGGCTGACGGGTCTTCGAAGGGGTTAGGCTCAACATTCTGGGCAATTGTTTGAAGAATGGTAAGCATAGCAGCATCCGTTTTACCCTGGTCATATTAGTAGCTGATGGTAAATGTTGGTACAAGTGGACTCACAGCACCAGTAGGAGCACAGATCAACATGTTCTCACTAGTCTTATGGGCAACAGGATAGACAAGACTCTGCATGCGGTTAAGCGTCTTGTAGCCCTTGAACGTATTTCGACACAACCCATTGAGTTCCTTGACGGGAATAAGCCGCTGTCCAGGGCCCAGTACACCCTTCTTGCCAGCGGGGATAAAGTACTCCTCGTACTTGTCAAACGATAGCCGCTCACTACCAACTGGCAGTCCGTACTTTTTGCCAGCGTAGCTCAGGGTGTTTCCAGCGCTGTATGCTTTATAGACGTGTGGATATTGGGGTTCCTTTGAATGTGCTGGTGCAAGAGTTGCAGATTTGTGTGCTTGATCTTGGCGACGCAGGTTTTCTTCTCTTTGAGCCTTGGTCAGGAGTCGGGGTCCACTGGAGCTCCCCTGACTCTGACTGTTGACAGCGGAAACGATCTCATTTCTGTGACCCAGCATCTCGATGATGAAGTCAAGATCATCAAAGCCTACCAAGTCAGTAAGCTGGATCTGAAGTTCATCATCAGAGCGATCAGAGTCGAGGACACTCATAATTTGGCTCTCAAACACATCAGCAGAGAGACCATTCTTGGCTGCGATGGCTGAACATCTAACTGCAAACCATTCGGCACCGTAATCTGCCACAGCTGGTCCATTTAGGGCTTCTCCATCAGCGAAGTCGCTGCTTAAGGCTTCTTGGTCGTCATCCGAGATAAAGTCCCAGACATCCTGGCCGCTGTTTCCACTAGAATAACCACCAAATTCGTCATCATCGAGATCATCTTCAACTGATCCATTCTCTTGGGGAATTTTGAGGTTGGCGATAGCTTCTTGCATAGCCGCAAATTGTTCGCGCCATCGTGCCTCTGCGGCACTAAGTTGCGAGGATGCCATGATGTAATCGATACTATCCAGCTGGTGGTTGTTACGTGTTGCCTAGTGGGGAAGTCTTCTGATGCTGTATGAACACAGGAGTGTGAGGTAAAAGAGTCGTTATTCTGCTGCCTGTAGTTGTGGCAGCCGACGTCCTTTTGAGGTTGTCCTTGATCGAAAAGGATTGGTTCATGACGGTGGATTGCTTGTTCTTCAAAGAGTCATACCGCTCTGGGCCGAACAAATACCCCACTAAACAAGCCCCCGCCTAGCCGCCAGCGAGCTTGTAATGCTTACAGCCACTAACTGCCCTTGGAAATTCAGCGGCCTAGTCGAAGAGCCCGTCTGCGTCGTGGGGAACATGTGACGCCCCTAAACTCAGTCCTTAGTTACGGTGACGGAGGGTTACAACATTCAACCAAACTTCAAATCCTCCCTCTCCTTCAACTCTCTCTCTCTAATCCTCCAATCCCCCCCTCCCGCTGTCGCCCTACTGCGCGCTCCGCCTTCGATTGATAACCGCCACTTCTCACAAACTTGATCCCGCAATCATGAAACTGCATTACATCGGCGTACGCTGTCCCTGTGCCCCTCACCGATCGATCGAGACCTCCGTCCAGTTGGGCTAACAAAGCTGCTGCGACCAGATCCTTCGCAACGAGAGCCAGCCGGCTCATGAGATCGTCGCTGAGAAGGAACTCAGCAGCTACTCGCGATTCACCCGCAACAAGTCAGTCCTACCTTATCATTGCGACCGCTATCTCCGTATCCGGACGGTCCATGGACTGACTCGCAAACTTGAAACAGCTATGGCGAATTCATGACCCTATTCGCAAAGACCGTCGCCGAGCGCACCCGCCCTGGACAGCGACAGGATGTTGAGGAGCAAGGTATACCTGATTCAGTTCCCTCGAGAAATCACAAGCTTACACGCGCATTCTACAGACTACACTTTCCACGCCTACGGCCGAACCGAGGGTGTCTGCGGCATCATCATCTCCGATCACCAGTATCCTGCCCTCGTGGCACATCAGCTTCTTAGCAAGGTCGTCGACGAGTTCCTCTCCAAGAACCCCCGCTCCAGCTGGGCCACCGGCACACCCACTCTCTCCATGCCCGAGCTGAAGGAGTACCTCACAAAGTACCAGGACCCCCAGCAGGCCGACAGCATCCTCAAGATTCAGAAGGAGCTTGACGAGACTAAGATTGTTCTCCACAAGACCATCGAGAGTGTGCTACAGCGTGGAGAGAAGATCGACGATCTAGTGGCTAAGAGTGACGGTCTTAGCGCCCAAAGCAAGATGTTTTACCGTATGCCACTGTTCATTCCAAATTTCCCTTCATCGGAAAACAACTGACCTATCCCACAGAGCAAGCCAAGAAGCAGAACTCGTGCTGTATTTTGATGTAATGGATCATTTCGTTTTTCCGGCGTTGGACCTGGCTTCATTTCAGCATATAAGAGATGTCGGTATTGAGATTGGTTATTCGTGTGGCGCAGATACTTCCAATCGTTTTGTCCATCATTCATTCGCAGGGCCATGTCTTTACAGCAGCTAGACTTGTCGAAGAGGCGGAGAAGAATCTTATCACAGGCAGTACGATCGAAGGCAGATGGGTGCCAAATGGGAATCATTCTTTTTGACATGTTAAAAAAAAAAGTCCATAAATTGGACAAGTGTGAAATGCTCACTTATCACCAAACCTAATCTGATCGAAAGATACACAAAGAAGAATAAAATCTGAGTCTTTTGACCCAGAGTGCTTAAGAAGAAATGATAACCCCTTTGCTTTTTGAAGAAGAAGAAACTCCAACGAGATGCTCTAGGGACGAGTCTGCTGTCCCGTGTCTTGCCCATTCATGCTTCTCTGGCGCCTTGCTGTAAGTCCGTAATCCATAATGTCCAAACATATCCGTCACTGAAAGCGTAGTATACAAAGGAGACAAACGTATAGGAGGGAAGGAAACCCTGTGGTATGTACAAGACGGCTCAAACCAGTTGAGTCCGCCATGGTGAGATGCTGCCAGAGCATCATGAAAAGGGTATTGTAGAAATCGTGACAAAGATATAAAATGAAACCGAAATGGCGATCTGGTTGTTCATCATGAAATGCGAGTTTTAAGATTCCTCAAGAATTACTCTCTCACTCTTGCGGTGCATTTGGTAAGCATCAGGAGAGTGAGTCAACTCCCTTGGGTGCACCAAGGTAGGGGTAGATGACTTGGTCTCAGCTAGACGCTCATCCTTCTCAATTGGGATGTAACCTGGTCCGCTCGGGCTGCCGTTACCTCGATGTCTCAAGCTGGGGTTGCTCTTTAGCGGGTGCAGCATCTTGCGTTGCTGGTGCGAGACGCTGATCTGGCGAGCGATGGAGATCTCAACAGCGTTACGTAAGGCCTCTTGAGCATCAGCCTCGGGAGCTTGCTTCTTGGGCGAAGCCAATGATGAAGATGGGGAGAATCGCCTCGAGGTTTCGGCGCCGGAGGACGTGATGGAAGCTGGGGGCGAGACCATGTGCCACGAGGGCTCCGAAGGAGAAGAGAGTCTTCCCTTAGCTACCTGAACATCTTTCTCGTCGTCTGTGTGTTCAGGAGATTCGGGAACTGTGCCTGGTGAGGGAGTAAATGGAGACGAATGTTTGGAGTGGGTGTTGGGCGAGATAATGGGCACAGGAGGTGAGGTCTGTTTTGCGGAAGTAACGCTAATCTTCTCCGTAGACGCAGCACTGGGACGTCTGTTGAACTTGGAGACAAGGGCGGGCTGATAATGTGTAGCTTGCGCTGCGAACTTGTTGTGCTGAGATTCTGACCGCGAAACTTGGGTGACTCTTGGTGTAACTGCCTCAGGGGACTCCTCTGAGTGATAATATGATGAGTCCAATAAGGCCGGGGATGTGTTGGCTCGGAACCGAGGTGAAGGCAGAGGCTTTGAGTTATCCTGGGAAACAAAAGCTGGTGAGGGCTGTGGCGACGTTGCCCTCCGTGGTCGAAGAGACTCGTCTCGATTCTCGGCGATTGCGTCCTTCACAGACTTCAGATGATCGAGAGTAGCCTGTCGTCGAGCAAGAAGTGAGGAGGCCGACCCTTGCGGTGGCTGTAAAACACTGTTAAACATGACACTATATCGATCCATTTTGATGCTAGGAATCTCAACATCTAACAGAGAGTGAGGAATAGCAGGCATCGGAGGCGGCGATGAGGGCGGCGGTGCGATTGCTTTTTCTGATCGCTTCTTGCTAGAGTCACCTCGAAGGCCTCTTAGCGACATTTTGCGGCCTATACCTCCTGAACCCGGGTCCTTCAGCTTCGCTTCCTTTGATGCCTTGCGCTGAAGAGCAGGCTTCTCCTTTGTTAGTTTTCCCGGCGATATAGGTTTCGCCTCCGCTGACGTTGGTACCGACCGAGGCACTTCAGCAATCGTCTGCGCGGGTTCTGATATAATTGGTTCAGTTTGAGATCGAATAACGATAGGTTTATGCTTTGGCATTTTTCGTGAACTCTGATCTGCTGGTGCTGAAGTCGGCATTCCAGAAGAACCTAATGATGTGGTAGAAGTATTGACACTCTCCGTCATAGATCGTTGGGGCTTCTCTGGCCGTGTGGCTCGCTTCGATTTTGATCGAAAAAGGCCCCATTTACGAGCCTTCTGCTGAGTGTCATCGACAGGCTCTGGCGCAGGCTCTGGTATCGGCTCCCGGATGTCGACGACTGCATTCATGGCTCTGTTCTGTGGATTCCAGGGCGCCGGCGCAAAGTCTCCCATTTGTGTTGGACTTCCAATTGCCATACCAACAGCAATAACACCAGTCTCACCAGAATCTATCATAGAATCTGGAGTTGAAGTTCGCACCCAAGTCGTTCTCGTCAGTGACGAGGTTCGCGGGCTGTGTTCGGGGGATGGAAGTCGGCCATGGATCGGTATATGAAACGCCGTCACGTTGCCCTTCTTTGAGCTCTTGAGAATGAGTGCAAGATCGTCTCTGGAAACCCGCTTGTCGAATGAATGTTTGGAAAGAGAATGACTGTCTGTCCAGTCGGCGGTGAAGCTTCCCCTACGACGTTGATATCCGGAGGCAGCCGATACAGTAGCAGCCCGTGACAGATTTGTAGCCATGGCTGAAATCTGTCGCGCGACCGCACGAGGGTGTCGTTTTGTAAAGCGTCTAGAATAGATTGACACACAAACAGTGGGTGAAGCAAAGCAAAGCCCAATGCAGCGCGGGGGCGAGATCTATGCTTGGATTTAGAGGATAAAAGGCCTTTGTTTTGACTGATTAGTTCCCTGCATCGACAGGGTCTGACACAGAAGACGGTTCACCAAGGACCGACTTTCTCAGGGACCAGGATCCTCTTTAACAAAACCTGCGATGATTTTTGGACAAGAACTGACCCTCGTCTCACAGGGACCACCCCGCCTTTCACGGAAGCCTATCGTATGAAGCCGTTGATGAGAATCGAGACGAATGCGGTTAAACGGCCGGCAACAAGCAGGGAACTGGGTCCAAGATGACGATGGAGTGCAAGGATGGAATGTAATAAGCGCAAGAGCAATTTCGATGTCCAAGAGCCGATCCCCGGATTGGTTGCCACGCCTCAGATGAAGCAAAATGAGATGTATGCAAACGGGCATGAGAGAGAAGAAACGTCAGCTTATCATCTGTCCAACGACAGAGATTTTGAAGAGACACCCCATTTTGACATTTACAGGGATCGGTCTTGGGAAACAAGCTAAGAGGCTTTGGTCAATGTTTGAGATTGATGGGACGACGGTTCCTGAATGCTGACTTTGAAATCTTTAACGCCCGATGGCATTGATTGCTTCAACTTTCTCTGCAACGGCTGCCACGGCCAAGGAACTACTTTGACTAGGGGGGCCCTGTCGAAAGCATATCAAGGAGTGGGCCCTTGGGGTTCTAAGAGACCCCAGTGTCGTGTGTCAGAGTCGTCAAACCTGGAGGTTCATTTAATGCTTTGAGAGAAATAATTATGCGGTTCGTTGGTTGTCTAGTTGAGGTTTCACTGCTTGTGGCACTTTTTAGAAGTAACCTTAGCCGCCGCAACGCAACGTACGAGAGTGGTGATAATAGAGGCACTAGCTATAATAATAGCAACGAGGCTCTATAAGCCTTGAGATGGGTACATGTACAGAAAATGTGTCTCCGTCGGCGAACGCGGCAATCTACGCGGTTGCTGGGATCTTCAACGTCAACGCTGATCCCGATGACACACACAACCCATTCACACGGACTTACGGCCAAGGCTGGTAACTTCTGTAACAACAAGACTCACAGACATAATGTGACAGCGATTCATGTGGACGATCCTGAGAACTGAATCGTAGTCACCTGTCAACGAGGGACGAAAAAGGATCCGATCCCTGTAAATGTTCGTTGTCAAGAAAGACAAACAGCTAGGCTGTATTAACACGACACTGTAACCTCCCTCTCAGCCAACGAGCACTGGAAGGGTCTCGTGTACGATACCTCATTTACTGCGCCGTATTGCTTTAACGGCACTTGCATGATGCTCGAGTATGGGGCATGTGCTGAGCTGGTTTTTAGATTAGAGGAACAAGACGCGGAGTATCCCAAACAATATCCACCCTGTCACAGCCCTCTATGAAACACAAGCTTTCGAAAACTACTGCAGGCAAACCTCCACTGCAAAGCATGCAACCACCCATCAGAAGACCGTTAATCATAGCAGTGAGCGAATAAGTGGCTGACCCGTCTTCTAGAATTTTCAGGTAGCGGCACGGAACTTGAACCTTAGTTGCGCGCGGCTCGTGGGCTGGCCATTGGCCTCACTCGGCGCGTCTGTCCAACGCTCTTCATCTCTCTTAGACAGCGGGAGGATTCAATTGCACCCGATCCATCCAATTTACAGTAGGGCTGGTTGTCGAGCTGAGTCTGGGCCGTGCTCAGTAACATCGGCTGGATGGATGTATGTGCCCAAAGGGGGAAATTGAGGATATAAGGCTTCCGTTGTGAGTGATTGGATCGTCACCGAACAATAAGCGATACAGCCGTAAGAAAGGTGGAATGAAATAAAATAATCCTCAGGGGTTTTTGCCCATTCAACTCGCCGTTTCATGTCACGGCTAGGGCCTCTACAGCTCGTCTCAGATTGCCAATTTCCAATTGTAGCACAACCAGCACGGGCCAAAGAGGAAACTAGGCTCACATACCCTAGAGAAGACAAAGTGTAGGTTTGTATCATCAGACTGTTTCCTAGAAGTCGTCTGAGCATGTCCAGAAGAGTTACATTCGAAGCTTCAGAGTGTCCTTGACGAAGGAGAACGGCGACGTCTGTTTCACTACGGGTGACTCCGGCTCCATGGAGTTATCGGCAATGCTACTGTTCTTAATACGTCTCTTAAGACATGAAACACCAAGGTTATTGGAGCTTGGATATCACCTAGGGGCTCTGTCGATGAGCTGCTGTTGAGTAAGTAAATAGTCTCTTGAACCAATATCCGGCCTGTGCTTCGCTTAGAGTTCGTCTCTCGTGGGCCTCATTTCAAAGTTTCCTGGCTTTACTAGAAGCGTTTGGATAACCGAGATACAAACTCTGAAGACTGACCTTCGGTTACAAAATACCTTTTTGATGATGAAAGCTGGCAGTTGTGACAAGACTTAGTGACTTGGAGCTTTCAAACGGCTCCTTACTCTCAGGAACATCTACGGACTCTATTTGCTGTTTTCTCCAATAGTCATGGTCGATCTAACAGATAAATCCGACCTCAACCTAATGAAGTCAGATAGCGTTAAGCTTAAGCTCATTGACTCAACAACCAACGTTCGAGAATCAGAACCTCCATGTTTGACGGCAGTTGACCTGATCAATCTCTAAACATTGCCAGCGCTACCGAAAGCTACCCTCGTCACACGACAACTAATGCGAATATGAAACATTCGATGAACTCTCAACTGCCAGCGGTTAAGTGGGCGTTAAGCGTAACCACAATTAGATACTCTTGCGATATTAGTTCTTGGTGTTGGCACTCGTCTACTAGGTAGTTCCTAGAAGCGAACATGGACCAAGGGCACATGAGTCTTGGCGGATATTGCCGTCTGCAGTAGCAACGGGCCGTCCAGAGTCGTTTCCCGTAGCTTCAACGCCAGTTCAAGCTCTATAGTGACGTCGAAAATCGAATAGCTTCCACTAGGTATAGGTTAGGTCCAACGATCTCGCATCTTTACTGCTGAGTCAACAGCCTCTGCGTGCCTGGATCGAACATCACACAGGCAAGTGATCTCGGAATGCAGAAAAATGCGTGACATGAAAGCATGCTGCTGCTGATCATGCCGACCGACATATTTGAGAACCGTTGGGTTTGCAAGTACACAGTACCAGTCTCATGACTGATGTGCTGTCACCGACAAAAGTATCCAATACTCATTGGACAGCATTGGAGCTTGATAACATTTTTTGGCGGGGACTCATGGCGGCCTGGAGGGGCAAAGCTCCAAAGAATCACCACATCAGAGCAGTCGACAACCTCCCCCGCCAAAACAAACCTTACCTCTAAACCTTCTTGCCCTCGCGTCGCAACTCTCATCTTTCTCGTCCTACTTGCAACCACTCAGTTCCTATAATTTCACACATCTCACATCACTATGTCGTGGCAAGGTCAGTTTCTCACTGTCTCTACTATCCTACACCGTCCCGCTATCGATTTCCCCCTCCCCCGCCATCGTCCTTGTTCCTCATCACCGCCTCCAAATACCTCTATCTCGAAACCCTAACTTGAAGTTGGACAAAAAAGCTGACATGGTGACTTTTACATCGATATAGCATACATTGACTCAAGGTATATACAACCGATCCCATAACTCTTGATCATAAGCTATTATCATGCTTTCCGGCACGGATACCGATTGAATGCTGACATTTTCCGTCTCGATAGCCTCGTCGGCTCCGGTCACATTGACAAGGGCGCCATCATCAGTGCTGCTGGCGACAGCGCCTGGGCTTCTTCTCCTGACCTCCAGGTACAGCAAACCCTCCTTCACCGACTCAACCTCTCGGATCGATAGGCTAGCCCTTCGTTAATGAACAAAACTGACCTTGTAACCCCACTATAGCTCAAGCCTGAGGAGATGAAGGCCATCTCTGCCATCGTCGGCGGTGACTCGGCTGCCAAGGACAAGGCTTTCGCTGAGGGTCTCTACATTGCCGGCGAGCGTTACGTTATGGCCCGAGCCGAGGACCGGAGTATCTACGCCCGATCGGTACGACGCCCAACTCACGAGTCCCATCTCCTTTGACTAACTTCTTTATCACAATAGGGCCGCCTCGGTGTTGCTGTTGCGAAGACTGGCCAGGCCATCGTCATCGGCCACCACGGTGAGGCCCAGGTCGCCGGCAACGCCACCTCTACCGTCGAAGGTCTTGCCGACTACCTCATCAAGTCAGGATACTAGACATTCAGTGTGTGAGGCAAGGGTCTGGACGGAATCATCTGTGAGAAGCGCCAGGGAAACGCTGTTTGTCCGTGGAGCGGACAGTCAACGCAGCTATAACGAGCTTATGCCGAGAAGAGCGCCTTTGTTTTAGAGCACTGGGCTATGAGCTCGAGTGTGTTACCTGGAGGAGGACATTTTCCTTATTTGACCAAAAATCGGTCGGACGACTTTGTTTCTACACGATTCTGCATATAGGCAATCCGAGTGCCCTCCAGAACCTGTCACCTGTATGCCAGATTTGAAATGATCATCAAATGTCAGCCAACTCGACTCTCCATTACAACTGCTTTTATCGTTTATTCTCCGTTCGTATCCGTGATGTACAGTACTTTTGTCCATCTTATTATAGGTACTCATGATAGTTCTTTATGTCATTAACGCCGATTCCAACCCAATATTTTTTCTTGAACTCCGCCATTCAACTCTTGCTAGACGTGTGTCGTCGAATGCCTTTTACACGTGATGAATCTTGTTCTCGTTCGGGTGATGCACAAAAGTGTCTGCTAGGCTCAGAGGAGCATCTAAACAGGAAGCTCGGCGTTTCGTCTTCCAAGGCCTATCCTATCGACGATCATTCCAATATATGGTCCTACGACAGGCAAGCCTCGCGCGAAGCCAGCAATTGTCCCCAGGAAATCTCCAAACAGGACCACTATGCCGTATGCTTCAACGATAAACCCAATGAAGGTCCACTTCATGAAAATAAGGATCAGGCCTAGGAAGAATGCCGCCGTGCCCTTTGCTTTCTGCTTGCGGGCGAAGAATAGAAGTGTCTTTTGAGGTCCGATGATGATTGTCAAGCCGATAAGGAAGAGGATCTGTTTTGTACGTCGGTCGTTAGCAATCGCTTGTTCGTTATGATAGAGGAAGGGAAGAGGTCGTCATACATTTCCCATAGCAAGCCTGCATAGAAGTCAGCAAACAAAACCACTAGATGATTGAATCTGTCAATACTTACATAGATCGGTCGAAGAATAGCATGACACCTCCTATCAGGAAGAAGCCTCCTAGAATAAACGTCAGCCTCCATATCTTAACCATGTGCAGGCGCAGGCGCAGGCGTAAACGCACCGCCGGAGCAGAAAACAACTCCAATTTCTATCGCAAACGGTCAGCTTTCGTCCATATCGAGTAATCTCCCGTCTAAGGGGTAGCGCATCGTTGCAGTGCTTATGATCGCAACTCGCGTGCCAGTGTAAGATAAGGCGTACTTTGAGTATCTGTCAACCACATCGACATCTTTGCGGTTCTGTGTATCGCTGATTTGATTGATAAATTCGATCGGTATTGATGGTTTCGATGGTAAAGCGCACAATGGAGCTTCGACTGGGAAAAGGGCGAGAATGAGAGCAGGGAGAAATAACTGAGGCCAAATTACTGAAATGTTTCCTTTTTTCGTCACCAGCTCTGCTTCCCTCGAGGACACGTTCCAGGGGTTTACATGCGATTGACAGGGCTGTTCCAAACGGGGTTTAGGTGGTGCCCGGAGCTGCTTCGTAGCTATTGGCTGTGCTGCGTGAAAGTGGGCGAGCGTGGATTGTCTTGAAATTTTGCTTAAGGACCGACCTCACAAGACTTGCAACTTTCTTCATTTTCCACTGAGAGTTGGAAATGACTCACGACTAAACGCTCTTGGCCTACGGCAATCCAATATGATTGCAGTGCAAATCACTGAAACCTTGTCAAATGGTTTTCAATCGTTTGCCAAAGAAAAAGAAGCTCGTTGAGAAACAACACGTTTGATTCATTCTATCGAACACCTCACTATACATTTCCTTCTGACAGATTTCCTGTCCCTGCCGCGACGGCCAGCGGCGCTCTTCGCCCTGGCAACTGAGATTCGTTTCTTCCCCATACGTTCTCGGTAGTCTGTCGACCTAGGCAGAGAACAAGCTCATGATCACGATTAAGCCGGAGCGTCAATTGCCATCCCTTGGCCGAAAGGCTAAGGGTGCATAGTTGGGGCTTGACTTTGTTGGTCGGACACTCCTATTTGTACTCTTAAAATGGTATCTTTGTATCACGTGCATATGTCTGGTGATCCCTCGCATGAAACCCGTAAGACAGGTTCCCGGGCCTCGTTGGTTTTTGAGGTTTTCGCAATTTCATTAAATGGGCATCCCAAACTTGAGCCATGCTCACTTAAGGACTGTATGAGCACCACGAGCCTCGAGGAACTGCTCTGCCACACCCTGAGGTAGCGTCCTAATGAGGCCAAACACTTCCTTATTGTGATAGCGAAGTCGCGTCTTGGGGTCGAGGTAGGGAGCCGGTAGTCCAGTCACGTCACAGTAGTGTTTGTTATGCGCGAGTGATGGTGCCGATTCGATGTTTGTGTAAGTGGCAGTTGGAGCCGACACACCGCCTGTCGGTTTGAGGCTCTTCTCGAGGACAAGCTTAGACAGGTTTCGCGATGCTTGTGCCAGATTTGGGGGCTCCTTGCCACTCTCGGTGGCTGGCGTGCTTGTACCGCTTGTTGAGAGTCCATCATCGGCTGGTGTAGCAATACCACTCGCGTCCATCGGCGTGCCAAGAGCTGAGGCTTCTCTTCGGGAAGCATCACCGACGATGGCCTTGAGGTTCTTGTTTCGACGCTGGTTGGGCTTCCAGGCCGGACTGCGGAAGTTCTTATGGGTGGAGTGAATGTCAAGCTTCTCTATAAGCTCTTGGTGGGCGATTTGCGCCTCGGTTGGGGCGGCCATTGTGTCTTGTTTCTGGATAGCTGGTATCGAAATTTTTATCGAAGTTGGCTCGAAAGGTGTCAACGGCTTTACAGACTTGTTTCGCAATCGGTGATGAATGCAGGAAAAAGTGCTTTGGTTTAAGGTCTCTTGGTTGCCGCAGTCATGAGCTTGTCGCGTTGGAGATTTTGCCGTGCTTCACCGTATTCCTAGCTTGGAGCTCTGACAAACAGCGAGGTACCCAAACATGGCATAAAGTAAACAGAGCATTCCACCAACTAGGAATACTGCCTCGAGCGTCTTTTTATCACATTAAAACCGATAGCCCGCTGAAATGGTAAGATTCATGAGGACTGCGACAATATATCGCTCTGAAGCCTTACCTGACTGATTTATAGGAATCCCCTCATGAGCACCAGCAGAACCTACTGCTTTCCCGTATCATTACCAATGTGGTATGTTCGGCGAAGCTGAACTCGTCAGAGATGGATACTAATGACATGCAGGAAAAACTCAACGAAGCTGTCGTTGTTATGAATAAGAGCCTTCAGGTCAGTAGAGTTGCATTTTACATCAATTGCATGACTAATACGTCGCTTCAGGACATCAATATTCAGAACATGAACGTTGAATTGGTTGCGCAAATGTTCAAGAACTACCAATCGAACGTTCTATTTCATCTGGAGGGTGAGTGTTTTTCGTATGATGATGTGTTTGCGACCGCTGATGATATTGGTTAGCCACGGACAACCTCAAGCCACCGAACTGAGTGTCAACATGGGTGGTTAAGCTGGAGTTTTTGCATTTATGATGGCGCACGACTGTACATGAAATAATGACTTACTGCCAACTCTTCCAAAAAAGAAAGGAAGGTTTGCAAGGAATTTGACAGGAAGCTTGCTTTACCAGAACCAAGCTTGCCTACCTTACCTTGACCTACTGTTTGCCTAAATTACCTTATGTATAAACCTGTCTAAAATGATGACAGGCCATGCTTGACAGTGTATCACCGAATATCTAATCGGGGCAAGCCAACTAAGGTATCTGACAGCCCTGCCTTGCATCTATGGAAAACATTACAATCTCTGCACGTGTTCGGCTCATTGGGAGGTCAATAGTGTGTCGTCTCTCACTGCATCACTTGCATTGTCGCGTAAGTGGATCCCGGGATTGAACGACACGGCCTAGATCAGCCTTGTAGCCTCACACCTTCTCAATTTCCAACAACGAAGCTCCGTATTTTGCGAGTCTGACAGACAATTGGCCACTAGAGTCAGACATCGACCAACCTAAACCTTTTTGTTCCTCCCGTCATGACTTCTGTCCCTTACTTGTAAACTCCATCCGACCATCCTATTCGCAATCATGGCTCCCTCAGCCATCGATGAGCCCGCCATCAAGGCGCCCGAACAAAAGACATATCCTCCCGCCAAGATCTTCCCCGTCAAGGAGACACGCTTCGAGAATTATATTGAACCTACAAAGGATGGCCGCGAACGCGCTTTGAAACAGCCTGATAGCGCTGCCATCGTCATTGATAATGGTGAGCTTCGAGTGCAAGAGGTTTGCGATGGCTGGCAATTGACATTTCATCTTTAGGATCGTCTGCCGTGCGCGCTGGCTGGTCTTTCGATTCGAAGCCAAGGTTCAGCATCCCTCCGATTATGGCCAAATACCGCGACCGAAAACTGGGCAAGACTTTTTCTTTTGCTGGCTCAGATTGCTATGCCGACACGACCGCGCGAGGTCACATTCGAGGCGCCTTTGAGGCTGGTACAGGAATTGTCAGTAACTGGGATGTGATGGAGCATGTGCTCGATTACATTTTCCTGAAACTCGGTATGAATGACGCAGACGGTGCCATTGAAGTGCCAATTGTTATGACAGAGGCTGTTGCCAATCTCCCTTACTCAAGAAAATGTACGTGGAACGTTTCATTCCCGCAAGTTTATACTGAAGTTCTTAGCCATGACTGAAATCATCTTCGAATGCTACGGCGCGCCTTCGCTAGCCTACGGAATCGATTCACTCTTTTCATACCGACACAACAAGGGCAAGACTGGTCTCGTGGTTTCATCATCATATACATCCACTCACGTAATTCCTGTATACAACTCGAAAGCCTTACTCGGACAGGCCACACGATTGAACTGGGGAGGCTATCACAACGCTGAATATCTCCTCAAACTCATTCGACTCAAATACCCGGCCTTCGCTGGGAAGCTTAACGTCTCACAGGCAGAACACATGCTACGGGACCATGGCTATGTATCTCGGGACTATGACAATGAGCTCGCCGATTATCTCGAATGGACAGGACTCGAGGATCGCGATATTGTCATGCAATATCCCTTCACAGAAGAAGTGATTGTGCAGAAGAGTGAAGAAGAGTTGGCCAGGATAGCAGAGCGCAAGAAAGAGAGTGGACGAAGACTTCAACAACAGGCGGCTAAGATGCGCCTGGAGAAATTGATGAAGAAAGAGCAAGATCTGGAATACTACAAGCAATTGCAAAGAAACATCACAGATCAGACCAAGAAGGAGATTCGGCGCCAACTTGACAGCAACGACATTAAAGATGAGAACCAATTGGAAAAGATCATCAGAGATTTAGAAAAGGCTATCAAGAAGGCCCGGACAAAGGACGTTGGTGGTGATCCAGAGGAGGAGCAAGAACAACCTAACTTCGATCTTCTTGACATACCCGACGACCAGCTTGATGAGGCCCAGATCAAGCAAAAGCGTCAACAGCGTCTCCTCAAATCCAACCACGAGGCTCGAGCACGTGCGAAGGCAGAGAAGGAAGCAGAGAAGGCTCGTGTCATCGAGGAAGAGCGTGCCGATACTGAACGACGAGAGAATGACCTCGAGAACTGGCTCGATGAGAAGCGTCAACGACGTGCTGAGACGCTGCAAAAAATGAAGGAACGGGAGCGACTAAAGCAGGACCTGGGCAACCGTAAATCCCTCGCCTCTCAGATTCGCATGAAGAGCATCGCCAATCTCGCATCGGACAATCCGACCAAGAAGCGAAGACGTGGCGGTGATGATGACAATTTTGGTGCTGACGATGATGACTGGGGTGTGTACCGCCAAATCGCCGTTGGTGACAACAGTGATGACGAGCATGAAGAGGAAGACCTCCATTCGACTCTCAAGTCACTAGAACAGGACCTTTTACGTTATGATCCTGACTTTGAGTACGAGCACACCCACGAAGCCCAGTCTGACTGGTCGAAGTCTCTCCTGCATGCCTTTGCCCGAGGTCCCCGACCTTTCGACCCCTCCTCACAAGCCGAGCTCAACCAAATTCATCTCAACGTTGAGCGAATCCGTGTTCCCGAGGTTGTCTTTCGCCCCTCCATTGCTGGTGTCGACCAGTCAGGCATTGTTGAGATAGCCGGTGATATTCTCAACCAGCGTCTCGGCAATGTTCCTAACCGCGATGACTTCCTTCGCGACGTCTTTTTGACAGGCGGTAACACTCTGTTCAAGAACTTTGATGATCGTGTTCGCGAGGGCCTTCGTTCTCTCCTCCCCGCTGATGCACCACTGACCGTCCGTCGTGCCGAAGACGCCCTATTAGATGCTTGGAAGGGAGCGGCTGGATGGGTGGGTACATCCGCTTGGAAGTCAGCAAAAATCTCGAAAGAAGAGTACCAAGAAAAGGGTCCAGAATATATCAAGGTTTGTCCAAATCCATTCCCCAGCGGCATGCTCTTACTAATATGTATAGGAACACGACATGGGTAACTCATATGCGTAAATTGTATAGTGATGGAAACCTGGAGTCAAAGGCGAGTTCTTTATTAGGAGCGGTTCGGGGTATGAGAATAATTTACATGTTGCGTTAATCAGGGATCTCTTGTCAAGAGTAAAAAAAAAAGCCAAAGGAGAAAACGATAGACACTTCCACACAAAACCGTCAGGCAGCTGCTGCACACTAAATGTGTTTCCCGGGACACTTATTTTTTTATTACAGGAGTAGACATCTGGACTAACAAAATATAACCGTCTTGGTGATATCATCCGTAAACGTGACAGCCCAGGTAAACAGTAGCAAGGCGGAAAGGACACCGCAAGACTCGCCAAGCGAAGCCCGCAAGATCGAGGAGCCTTTGTTTCACATAAACAGACCCGAACGCCCCTCTCTTTATAAATATTAAATCACGACAATCGGTTCCTTAACGCCATAATAACAGTTGCTGAGCCCCGCGCACATGGATATCATGCGGTTCTCTAGACCGCTGGTTGTTGTGCTTGGGGTTCCTCAGAGTGTTGTAATTGCTTGTTGATCTCGTCAGCAGTCCTTGTATCCTCAGCACTGGGCTCAACTTTGAAAGGCTCAGCCTTGAAATGCGGCGAGGGATACCTTTGACGCTCGATTTGTTCCTGAGCCGCAAGACCAGCCACGGCTTGCGCAACAGCTTCCAAAGGTGTTCCTGCAGCTGGATTGCTAGGCGCAGGCTCGACATGAGGAGCAGGAGCTGTTATAGCTGGGGCCGATGCTGGCTGAGGAGGAGCAAGATTCACGTTCGGTGGGGGCGGGGGGTAGTCGCCTGACGTCTCCAACAATCGCGTTTGCAAATGAACGACATACTCCCGAAGCGCGTAATGTTCCGCCTGCATTGCTTTGAAAGACTGTTCCATATCCGTGTAATCGCGTACCTGCTGCTCGAGCTTTTTTATGTAGCCTTCCTTTCGTTGTCGGAACGCTCTCTGTGAATGAATCGTTAGCCCGGGAGCTCAATTGCAAGGTGATCTGACGGCGCCAGTCAACAAGTAATCTTCGGTTGACTTACTTGTGCAGCTCGGTTCTGTGCCGCGCGCTTGGATTGGGATAGCTCCCGCTTTGCTTTGCGACCGTCTCCCATATGATCGTCTGCCGACAAAGGCGCTGGGGGCGCTGGAGCAAGTGCAGCGCTTGACGGGCCAGCAGATGCGCCTGGACTATGTCCAGACGGAGGAACAATGGGCATCATGTTTGCTGTCGGTGCGTGGTTGGCTCGCGCGCGAAGATCAGGATGAATGTGAGCGTCAACTTCGCCTTTCGTGGCTAGAACTCGATGTTGGTCTTGGGAACTGGACAGATGATCGAAGCCATTCGCCGGCCGCGCAGGAGCGGGCTGTAAAGGCCGAGATTCACGAGGTCCGGGGGGAGTAGGTGAGGATGAGCCTGTCGCGTCGTGGCTCTTCAGGAGCTCGAGCTGTGCGCGCAAATGCTGCTCTATTTGGAGGGGTCGGTGTTAGCCAATGCACCCAGCACCTACGTCAATAGTAATTGAACCAGACGCGAAGCCGAGGTGGTCGAAACGAATATCGGATCCAACTGTTAAGGATAATAACCTCTAAGTGTATTGTATATGGGATTGCGCAAACGACGCGACAAGGATGCCATTCAAATAGTAGACAGATGCAAGGAGCTCTATAGATGTCGCGATGGATCAAGGCCAAAGTGAGGCGTAGTATAGTGTAGATAATAGACAGAGCTGTAGGTCCAAATCAAGAACCAAGACGCGCTCAGGTAAGGAAATAGGCAAAGCAGAACAGGAAAGGAAAAGAGAGAAGAAGAGTTGTCTTGACTAACCTTGATTATTGGCGCCGCTGGCTGAGGAGTTCTGCATGCTTGAGCTCTGGGGGAGGAGAGTCTGACTCAGCATCCAAGTAGCAATGACCCAGGGCGGGCGATGATGATTACTACAACGAGGGGGGGACCTGACGCTGACTGACGGAGACGAGTGAGGAGAGAGTTCCGGCGGATGGATGACGGATTATGTAACCTGGATCCGGGACCTTTCAAGTGTGACTGTGAGTGGTGATCAAGTCGGAAAATGGCGTGGCTGGGCCGGGGAGGCTTCTTCTCTCCGCTTGCTGGACAAACTAGACGAGTCTAAACCTGGAGGAGCTAGAACGATTTGGTTATCGCTCGCTTGCTGATTGTTCACTTCTGCTTTTGGCTTGCTCTTCCCGCGAACTCTCTGATGGCGGGTGTTACTTACGGTACTGTACGTACGGACGGAGCTCGGAGCCGTTCCTCGTTCTGCTAGGATCAATTTATCTTGCTCCCTGAAGCAAGCGTAAGTGCTGACGACGATTTTTGCGGCTGGTGCGGAAAACGCCCCCCAAAAATGTACGCGGACCGCTGTTGTATCCTGTATTAGAAGTCAAGGAGCACGTTTCAACAGGTAATATTTACTGTGTTCTTAATTTGGAGGACAGAGAAAGACACGTAAACTGAATAAAGAAGCTGGTCTGGGTGAGGAGAATCCGGAGTCCGGGCAATAACCAGTCAAAAGTCCTGTTCGGTTTTCCTTCTTCTACTTCTTTTCCTTCTACCCCGGCACCGGTAGTTCTGATACTGGCCGCGATGGGAATAAACGACGGGTCTGAGTCAAAAGATTGGATGGATTTGCTGACTGATGGGGAGAGGGGAACGTTGTTGCAGTAGAGAAAATATTTGTCAGCGACCAACTTGAGCAGAACTGGAAGAGAAGCAAGGAGCTAGGACCACCTCAGGCATCCAATGCATGCACCCGCCCATGCCAGTCATGCACCTTCCTCGAGCTTGCGACCCCACTCGCGAGATAAATGTCCTATTCTGGAAAGTCCTGGATTTTCGAGACTTCGGGGTCCTTTCGATCTGACATTCATGGCGTATAACCACATAATACGACCTCGAATCTTGCGGTAAAATCATGCATAATCACGAATCGAGTTGAGCTACTTTTTTGCGGTGTAGGGTTGTTTTCCAAGCCGTCAATTGGTGAAAAATGACAGAACTTTATTCATGTTATAAAACCCAATAAAACATCACACTACACTGCTTATTCCATTCGCTCAATGACTCCTGTTTGGTCTCACTACTCTCATCTCAAACGCAGGTCTCTTATGATTTCCTGGGGCTACCAGTCTTCAAAAGGGCGAAACGTGTATCTGTTTGACAATTCCGGACCATGTCAGAATATGCTACTTAAGCCTGCTGGGTAGGGACACATTGTTGCCTGCCTGGGCCCCATGAGATACTTCAAACATCAGATCGATCTCCTCATGCTGCTAAACAGCCAAGACGCTTGAATTTATCCATCTCTAGAGCCATATCCAATTATATCGGCGCCACTTCCGACTCTTCCGGCCAGTGACCAGAAGAAAGGATCGAATACACGACTTGTCCAGCTTGGTCGAGCTCTAAAGCTCATGGATCGTCCTGCTGTGATATAAAAAGAGCCGGCGGATGCAATTACCAATGCTCCTTTAACCGTTATAGGTGCTTGTTAATATCCAGTGAGGGTGTGCAGCGTTTGCACTAGCTCGGGCTTCATTTCCTGGTCATTGTCATGGCCATGTATCAGATACTGGAGAATTTTTGCGTCTAGGCTGATGAGGCTTGCCTGTCCTAACCTCTTAGTTGGCCGAGACTAAGTCTCTTCAGGTCGAATACGCAGAATGGCACATTAGTGGACATTGATAGTCCCTGTAGGTTGTAAGACTGTTGAACCAAAGCTCGGGGACCATCTGTGTATGACAGAACACGGGTAGCTAAGCACTTAGAATCGAATGATCAATCAATCGATAGTGGTCTCGAAAATATACTTTTCATTCCCAGCTTCAGATGGCAGTCAAGAAGACATGATCCTACATGTTTGGAGTTGTTCGGTGTTAGTCGACTTTGGTATATGGTGTGTTAGTGGATACTTATGCCGCAGCCAGTCCCACTCTATGTCAGAAGTACTCATAATCTGCACCTTCCGCCACCCATCGATCAATCCTTTCAGCCTCATCCTCCAACCCACCTTCACTTACAACCTCATCTCTTGGTCGCCCTACAATGCGCCCTTCTCATATCTCACATCGTCTTCCATCTCTTTCCCGCCTAGCTTCGATGATGGCTCAACCGCAATTCTCTGCTGGCACTGATGCTGCGAGCGTTACGCCTGCGCTTAAAGCACTCACTTCCGAGGGTGGACGATGGACACTTACCAAGGATGGTGCTGCTTTGGAGAGACAGTTCAAGTTTAAGACATTCTCAAAGACATGGGTAAGCGATTGAGGGGGGGATACTGCGATTTATTCAAAATAGTTGAACCACCATGAAGTACGAATATCGAGGAGTACCATCAGAGTTAACTCATCTCAGGATTTCATGACAGGAGTATCTCTACAATGCAAAATCAAGAACCACCATCCCGAATGGTCCAATGTAAACCCTTCTTCAGCTTACACCTCAATTATCATGCAGCTAACCACATCAAAGGTTTATAACACAACCTTCGTCCGCTGGACAACGCATAACCCAGCGGGACTCTCGGACAAGGACATAAGCATGGCTGCCGAATGCGATGCTCTCGCTGCACAATTAGGTGAGCTGCCTCCGGAGCCGATCGCCCCAGTTGCGGCCGAAACGGAAGACCAGAGCTGTGCTATCCGTGGGTTGGCGGACCGCGCAGCTGGGGCGGCAGGAGACTGCTGTACCCCCAAGAGGAAATAGAGAGGGTACGGCTGATCTGAAACGATGTGAATTGAATTCCTGCGAGGCAGAATTCGGTCAGTTCTTCCAACTGCGCATCCAGCTTGTAAGAAACGTATCAGTAAGCCTTTGTGGCTGCGTGTATCATTATGATACACTCTAACAACTACGGCACTACGTCACTGCGATCATGACGAGATGTCATGATACACATACAGATGGTTACTGGTGATGGTATGGTTAAAGGTCAACGAACGATGCTGATGATTAAATATGTCTAAAGCCTCTCCAGGGCAAGTTTTTATATACAAGCGTAAAAAGTCGTTCTTAGTTAACATCCCCAACGCCATGCGAATGCTCGAGCCGCGAGTTTAGCGACGGAGACAATGTATGCCCGGTTTGCGAACAGTCTAAGTCTTCATGATCAACACCCTCTTCATTTTATTTCCGGTCGTGAAATCCCTGAGTCGAACTCGATTCACCGCAATCGATTAACTGTCGTCGTGCCAGGTTTTCTTTGCACCACTCTATTGCGCCTTCTTGGCCTTGATCTGGGCAAGCTTCTTCTCGCGACGGCGCTTGTGAGCCTCGGCGCCAGCCTCGGTGTCCAGGCAGTAGTCCCACCAGCGGAAGCTGGAGGCGTAGTTGCCGATGAACTTCTCGTGGTGAAGATCGTGGTGGGCAGCACCGGCCCAGACGGGAAGGAAGTGGCGCAGACTCCAGGGGAAGTCGTAGCCACTGTGAGAGTCGATGGCCTGGAAAAGACGGAGGACGATCCAGGTGTACATGGTGAAGAGGTGGAGCTCGCCAGTAATGGCAAGGAGGACAACGGGGCATCCGACGACGCCAATTCCGAGGAGAGCTGTTTCGATGGGCGAAGCGTACTCAGCGGCGAGACCGAAAGGAGCAGAGTAGGTGTGGTGCATCTTGTGGATGGCTTTGTAGAGAGGACCGTAGTGCAGAGCACGGTGGAACCAGTAGTGCCAAGCATCCTCCATGACGAAGCAGATAGCGATCTGGAGAGCCATCTTCCAGACGGGAGGGAAGGGCACACCGTAATCCATACCGAGGTAGGTAGCGACGGGGTGGAAGAACCAGATCTGAGGAAGTTCGGCGGTGAAATGGCTGATTAGAACGATGGCGGCGCAATCCCATTGCTCCTTGAGAGTAGGAACCTTCTGCTTCTGAATTCTAAATTGTTGGAAATAGGGGATGTAGTCCATCATCATATAGGGAATACAGCGGCCGAAGTAGACGAGCTCGTGAAGAACGAAACTCATGATGCCGGTCGCGAGGGTATCGTTCTGCATCCAGAGGTACCAAGCCTGAGTTGATTGTTAGTATTGTTGTATTTTCGCGACGTTGGATCGGGTTGGACATACGGCCCAGAGCTTTTCAACAATGTTGAGCTGGACATTGTACTTGGAGACCTCCTCGAGGACAACAAAGTAGTCCTTGGTCTGGTTAAAGGACGCGAAGGTGGTCGCGTTTCTGCAAAAATCGATGTTAGAAGGGGCTGTTCAAAACATTGGCGTGTTCGAATGGCAATATCAGGGAGGCTACTCACAGCGCATCCATGGTGAAGTTAGTAAACTTATGGCAAAGTAGACTGAATAGGGACCCTCTAGGTAAAGAAGACACCAGCAAACACCGGGTCCAGTCAAGAGTCGTCGGAGAGGCGGCTCTTGTTGTAAAAGAGGAGTCTTGACAATGGTGATGGCGGTGGTGAAAAGGGGAACAGACGGCGGCTGTTGGGGAGGTTTTATCATTTCCTCGATTGCCCGGCCCAGAGAATCTCTAAGGGGGGTCCCATCCAAAATGGTGGGCAGCGGGCCTTGGCCTGGCCACACGCCCACTACAGGCATTCAATTCACTAACTTTACGGATATTTACAGCCAGAGAAGCAAACGGACCACCTGCTCTTGCACCGTCTCGGTACGTACCGTTGCGAAAATTGCACCAGGAACGACGCCTCAACAGAGTATTCACACCTCTTGTAAGCCAAAGGTGGTAATGTGAATCTCCCAAGCCCTGTGACAGCCAGCCATTCACAACACAGGACCCCTGGGCTTTCGTTGGTCTGTGCGCGATACCAGATGGAAGAAAGAAATGGTTCCAGAATGAGACCACTATCAAATTGTCCTCCCGGCTTCCGGGCCCATCTACATGCCTCAGCACCAGTCAAAGCGAATACATATCGCTTTAGCATTGTCACCGCCTGAAAAGAATCGTATGTGTGTTTATCGACTTTACGGGGATCTCACGGGAATTTGAGGAATCTTCTCAGATCATTTCGAGGTCCCTGGTATTGTCCTTTTTCTTCCCTTGTCAAGGGTCCAGCACTTTGAGGGGGACAGCCCGTCTCTTTTACACACTGCCATTGAAAGCGGTGAAGATGGAAATCAGACCCAATTCGGCCATTGCCACGACTTGTGATTGGCCTACGAGCGACGTCTTTTACGCATATTGAATTGATCTAGATTTGGTACCTGTAACGCAAAATAACACAGCACAGAGTGTTCATGTTTCAGTCTCTGGAGCACCCTTGTTGCTGGCATGTCCCTATCCTAATCACAACAGGTGATTTTTACATTGAACGCGTCCTGTATGGATCAAGTGGCAACATTCAACACAGGGATTTTCAGTCTAGGATCTCATCAAACAAAGCATTGCCGTGAAAGCTCCATCGGATGGCGCTCTCCCGGACGCGAGAGATTTGGAGAAAGTGGTGTGTTCTAAGCAGCGGGTTCAGAAGCGGCCTTTGCGGCCAAATTTTTGAGGTTAGATGGTTACTCATCGATAGAGTGCAGATCGCGCCAGGGGCAAAGTATTAGATTATCAACCGATCTACTGGGTCAGAATCAGCCGCCCCTTGCACCAATCGCCCAGTTCCGATGATCTCATGAGGCGTGTCTCTTTTTCGTTTTCGGCTCTCGATTTCAGAAGTTCAACGCCTCTCCCGCTCGTTCTCGCTAATATTATGAAGTTGTTTCAATTCCAGCAATTCTTGATTGTCTCTTCACATGTATTCCGTTACATCCAATCGGGCACCTTGCAATTGAAATCTTTGTTTTCTTACAAAAGATGGTATGACTTGGTTTTCACTGTTCTGTTATGTTCATTTGCTTTTAGATGAAGTACACATGCATTCCAGCTTGGGTTTAGCGTCTCCGTACTCGGTATTTTGAGTACGACCCGAATACGACGAGAACCTAACAGCAGCGCCGTCTAAAACGGTCTACATTTTAGGGTCTAGGTTAGCCTGCGATTTTATTATCAGTTTGTATGCCCGTGAACGCTTAGTCTTGTATATATGGCTCTTTCTTGGAACTGTTGCAAGCTAGGTCTATCGGTTTGGATTCCAAGATATCGTTGAGATAAGTTGTCTGTTATAGTTGGCCTATCAGTGTTTCACTTCACTCTGTAGCTCAGAAAGATTTGCTATCAATATGCAAAGCAAAGCAATCACTAAAGCAGCATGGTGGGTTCCATTTTCTCCTATAGAGAATTATCTGAAACTCGAATATCGTAACATTGGAAACATATGCCCAAAGAACACATTCATAGCCACAGTTGAGCATGGCATTCTCTACCACGCATTTGGACAGCGGCAAAATCTAAGTGAACTGCTGCCGAATACGAATAAGTCTCTAATCAGCAACCACACCTTCTTTTCAAGCTTGTGAAACGTCATATTGTGGTTAGATCATTATGCAATGCATTGTGCAAGGAAAGCTGTGTAATTGATGATTACAACGGGTGTCAGCCTTGCAACCATTCAATCCCAGTTTAACTCTGCATCTCGCAACATTTTTTGGTTGTTTTCTCATGTACGGAGCCGGGCTGAGCTGATCCGTGTGGCATGATGCAATAAACGTTCCCCACATTTGCTCATCTCCCGCCCGCATTCGTGTTTCGTGTTTGGAGCTTGAGGTACAAGCTCAAGCATACACTCACACTTCTCACCCTCGTCTCGCTTCCATCCGCACGCGATTCGACGCCCGGCGCCAGTTGCGCAGCCCTGCCCCGAATTCTCCGCCGAGCCCCCGTGACTCGGCGCTCATCATCCGGCCGAGAAGCTGCTGGCACCGCCGTTGTCGTTGTTGTCGCCCCCGGGTCCTTCGCCGAGCTCTCCACCGATTTTTCGGAGCTACCGTCCCGTCTCATTCCGCGTTATCCCCGGTCTATAGTTGCTCCCTGCAACTTCAGCTGCTGCTGACAGATGCCGTGCTTCACACATCAGCCTTGTCGTTACCAGATCTAAGCAAGCTCATCCTTGGTCCTACCATGACGCTTGTCTCCGAGTTCGTCAACCTCAACACCTGGGCCCTGCTACTATTGCCCCTCACCTTACATAATCCGTCGAGTTACTGACCCTGCTCATAGCCAAGTACGGCGGCTTGATGCCTATCTTGACCGTCTTCCAGTTTTATCCGAAGTTGCTTCAGAGGATGATCAGTCAGAGACCGAAGAGCATGGGTTTGCTGTAGCTACTGCCTTCTCATCCCCGCGTCTTGATCACTTGCTCCGTACCATTCAGTCATTGAGTACTACATCATCCTCGCAACCTCTTCTGCCGGCATGGCGCATCAGGGATCTTCTCATATCATCTGATATCCCTACATCTGCCCACCTCTCAGTGAGAGAGGCACAACCAGGTGATGAGGCTAGAAGCCCTTATGAGAATGAGCTGGAGTGGCTGCTTGTGAGCAAGGCCACCATTCAACTCCATGGCGTTGTTCTCAACACACTCCTGGATCAAATTGTCCCTCTCAATGATGACATCTGGTACTGGGATGATGTTTTGGGCTCGTATTCCTACAGCAGCCTCTATGCTGTCCAGAGTTCGCCTTTGCGTGTCTGGGCATGGTCCCAAGAAGTCTACACTGCAACCAAGTTACGCGTTCAAGCTGGTTCTCTTCATCATGCCCCGGGTGAACTTGTGGATTCCACGACATCAAGTCTGTCGCAGCAGTGGACGCAGTTTTATGGTATCGTGCATGATAGTATCCGGGAACGATCAATTGCCAATATTCAACGGAGAGTTTTGTCGCCTGTTGCGTTATCTCGATCCGAAGCACGACGCAAACAGGCACAGCTCAAGAAACTTCGTGAGATAACGGCAAGCGGACTTGGTGTACTGATGGATGAAGGCCTGCAATTCGGCCTCGACGACGATAAGGCTGAGCTTCAGGACCACCACGATCTCAAGGGCGTCGTCGAACGTAGTGTTGCGCTTATCGATATGGTTCTCAAGGAAGTTTCTACCCTGGACGTCAATATTAGCGATTTTGAGGACAAGGTGTTTGCTGGTGTCGAGGAAGACCCTGAGCTTTCTGTTCACATCGAGGATAGCAACATCGCTGATCGTCCAGCCATTCTAGCCCGACGACTGCTCACCATTATCGACAAGTCCCTCCCTGAACATCTCACTGCAATGCACGCCCTGGCTAAGGAAAATGGTCGACCTTCGACTCTGATTCGATACTGGCTCCCTGCGATTGTTGGTCTTCTCTCTTCGACAACTGTCTTGCGTATTCTGGTCAACCGGAAGGCCGATATCATCGAGTGGTTCGTTGGATTTGGTGAAACTGTTCGTGATTTCTGGTTTAACTGGGTTATTGAACCGACGTCAAAGATTATCTCAACCATTCGGCACGACAAAACCAGCGAGATCGCAATCATGAGTAGGGATAGTCTTAAGGCGGACCGTGAGAGTCTCGAGCGTATGGTTGTTGACTTTGCCCTCGACAAGCCTCACTTTGCCAATGAAACTGGTAGCACCTTGACTGAGACTCAAGTTGCTGATATCCGACACAAGGTTGCCGAGGGTGATGTCACTCCAGTGCTCCGAGCGTTCGAGAAGGATTTGCGAAGCCCTTTCATGGGCACTATTCGTGGAGATCTTGTTCGATCACTCCTCATTCAGGTTCAGAAGACAAAGGTTGACCTTGAGGTCGCCATGACTGGCATCGACTCCCTTCTCAAGAGCCAGGAACTTGTCTTTGGTTTCGTTGGTCTTACTCCCGGTGTCCTCGTCTCTTATAGCATGTTCCAGTATCTGCGCGGTGTTTTTGGCGGCCGCTCTGGCCAACGTCAAACCCACAAAGCTGGCAAGGCCATCCGTGTCCTCCGCAACGTAGACCGCATTCTCTCCGAGGCCCGACCTACAGAGACCAATCTTCTCTCTTATAAGGACCACGGTCTCTTGCTTTCTGAAGTTCATATTCTGAGAGACCTCGTTGATAAGCTCATGCCCCGTGAAATCGCGAGGGAGTTCCTTGAGGATCTCGATGATTTGTCAAACATGAAGGGTATTCAGTTGCAGACCAGGGCACTGGAGCGTATTCGTTGGGCTTATGCGAGATGGCTTCACTAGGCCATCCATGAAAGGTGTTCGTCACAGGTCCAACGACAGCATGTATACTAGCCCTTGCTGGGCAGGTAAAATAGCACCAATGTACTTATACACATAGGTAGATTGCATAAACGAGTCATGATTAGATGGATAAACCCCTTTGATTGGCGCTGGACCTTCTGGAGCTGTAGTGGTATGCTTGCCAAATGTCCTAGTATCAGGGACGACTCTGTGTCGCCATCAGTACACAAAAGCTTGATGCCAACATGCTGGCATCGCTACAGGAGGCTCCACAGGTTGGTTATAACTTCTTATTATAAAGGCTACACTTATTGACACTCCATTTCTCGCATCTCCGATGCTGGGTATACGTGTCCCTTTCCGCACCCTATATATACTCTGTAAGTCTGGGTATTTCACAACCAGTAACTCCCTACCAAACCAACGCCTATGCTATTAGACACACCCCTAGCTAAGTAGCTTGGAAATGTCTGCTGCGCGTGAATTCTCACGCTTTTTGTTTCCCTTCTCTCTGAATGCTTTTGTCACGAGCTCTCGCTTCTCTCCCTGCACATCTAGCACGCGCTCCTCAACCGAACCTTCCATGACGAGTCGGAAGATAGTGGTCTCGCGGGTTTGTCCCAGACGATGGACACGGTCAATAGCCTGGTCCTCGATGGCGGGTGCCCACCCTAAATGTATTAGTATGCTCTAGAAATGTGGTAAATTGGACTTACAGCTGTCAGAGAGGATGACGGTGTCAGCTGCAACGAGGTTAAGACCGACGCTACAAACAGAAAGACTGGCGAGCATCACTCGTGTCTTGGGATCGCTGTCGAGAACCTCTATGGCCTTGTCGCGCTTATCAGCTTTCATGCTGCCGTCAATACGCGTGTAGCCTATGTTTTCTTTCTTGAGCTGCGCCTCAACAATATTGAGAAACGCAGTCCACTGAGAAAACACAACCACCTTTGATCCCTCCTTATTCATCGTCGCCTTCAAAATTTGCAGCATCGCTTCTGTTTTGGAACTCTGCGAGTCGGCGTCAAAATCACGTGTATCATCGCCTGCGCCTTCGGGCGCTGGTTCAAGAAGACTGTTCTCGTCCAGCTTGTTGCGACACATTGGGCATTTGTGCTGTATTTGGATAGCGCGCAGGATGCAGTTTTTGCAGAAGACGTGTTTGCAGGTCGTGATGACAGGGTCGTTCGGGTTGTCATAGCAGATGGCACATTCTTCCTGGCTTTCGATGTATAGGCGGAGAGCTTCTTGGAGAAGACCGCGGTTCTTGGCGTTAAGGGGAACAACCTCATGCTCGTCGAGGAGTTTGAGGATATCACTAACACGTTCTCTACAGAGAGTCCAGTGATTGCAGCTAGGCATCTTTAGTAGAGTCCTACGATGGTGGGATCTGAACTTACATTTGTCGAAGACGAAGAAGCCGTTCAAGGACGTTCTGGAACCGTCCCTTCTGTCCTGATTGTGAGCCTGCCTGCCACTGCTCGAGTTCACCTCTCGCCTCATCCCTATAATTGTCAGCGCCCATTTCAGAGACACAAGACTTCGTGAACCTACAGCAAAGCATCGTACTTGCGCTTCTCATCCTTGCGGAATGGAATTCTGTGAACATACTCCTTCTTGGCCGGCAATTTGAGATCTATAAACTTCATGTCCTTCCTACGGCGCAGACAAAGGTCATGCATGAGGGCTTGAAGAAGTACTTCGGCATGGCTTTCACCATTGGCCAGTTTACGAGTGATTTGGGCATTAAAGATTTCGGATTCCTCGATACCGCCAGTGATGTGGAGGAACTTGACCAGGGAGTGAAGGTCCCTGACTGAGTTTACGCTATATAGGATTAGCCGCTGTTTCATGTCATCAAAAAGGAGGACTTACATAGGTGTTCCTGTCAGAACCCAGCGAGACTCTGCGTTAATCTCACAAGCTGCTATGGCTACCTTTGTCCTAGAATTTCGGATGGTATGACCCTCATCAAGAACAACTCGCCGCCACTTAATTTTCGGAGAACTTATGGCTCTGGGAACGCTCGAGTCTCGCTCTCTGGCAAGTCTTCCATAGCTGGTGATCACAACATCATATTTCTGAAGTTGCAATGGATGTAACTTATCACCTCCGTGGTAGACGAAGATGCTAGGTTGCTGGTCTCCTTTGACATGGCGCCTGATCTGCTGACTCCAGTTGCTCATGACACTGACGGGCGCAACGATAAGAGTTGGACCCTTGCCACCAGTGAGGATTAAGCTGATGATCTGAAGGGTCTTTCCGAGGCCCATATCATCTGCAAGAATACCGCCTGAAAGGAGTTTTGGAGCTGTGCTTGTGACAAACCCGGATGCGATATTGTGGAAACGGTTATTGGATTCATGAAGCCAGAGCTGCACTGGCTCTTTGGAGCCTTTGGCAGGGAGCTGAGGGTTTTCTTTGGAGGTCATCCACGCAAGGCCCTGCGATAAGCCAGTCAGTAAAATGCGCTTCTCGCTGAGGAAGAGACAAACCTGTAATTGGTATGGCAGAAGCTGTGCCTTGAGCTGTTCAGGCTGCTCAGCCATTGGCATCTTCGCAAGCTCATCCTCGCCAATAGCAAGTGACTTGATCGCGTCTCCGCCTTTGCGCATCTCAACCGCCTCGCTCTTCTGGAGAACATTGTCCATCGTGATCTCAGGCTTCTGTGGAACAGTAAGGTCTTGGCCAAGACCATGAGTCGAGCTGCCATTCACAAGACCCATCGCTGCCTTCCTACGGGCTTCAGCTTCCTTTCTAGTGTTCTTGAGCTCCGTAGCCTTGACAAGCCTGTCCCTCTTGAGTGATTCTCCGATTCTGGAGCGCTCCTCCGGGTCGCTAGGTCCATAGAAGAAGAGCTTAACTGGACAGTCGTAGTAGCCTTTCTCTCCTGTGAGCTGGGCTTCGAGGACAACGTCGCCACGATCCTGATTTCGCGTTAGACATGGAAATGATGAACGGCGCAACGTTTCGTCTTACCACATATGGGGCGATCTTCTCAACAACCTTTCGAGGAAGATGGCCGATTTGATCACCGACAACGTTGTCAACCCGAATGGCATTGGAGTCGTACTGAGATGTCAGAAGTCAATTTCCAGGCCATGTCGCAGGAGAGACAGAGAATGAGACCACTTGGAGTAGCACGAACCTGGTTGTTAGGCTCTCGCCTGCAAAGAACGTTTTCTGTAAACTTGTGAGCCTTTGTCGTGTAACCTGAAGCACGAAAACGTACCACCCGCTGAAGCATATCCTCTGTAGTACCTCACACCAACAATCTTCCCATCTGTTCATGTTAGTGACATGAATGAAGCGTGATGAAAGTGTCATACCAAAGGTTCCGTAAAGTTCAAGAGGGGGCCCATCATCATCTTGCGTCAAGTCAAGGTAATCCGGTTCAGCGGTAGATGAGGGCGCAGCTTGCGATGAAGAACTCCCATAGACGCTTGTTCCACCTTGTCCAGGGGAATGTTGCTGTTGGTTGTGGTGACCGTTAGGGGCGGGCCGTTTCTGACGCGTCTCAGACTCATCGTCACCCGTAAGGTCGACGAGGTCGTGCGCGCGTTTGGCAGGTCTTCGTGGCATTTTGACGATGCAAAATTTGTGACACGATGAGAAGCGAAAGAAGTAAGAGAGGCTCTTCTCCTTTTTGACGAATTCTTAAAAGTGAAACGTTTCCCCTCACGATTGCGTTTCCTTCGCCTTGGATGTGATCTCGCATCACAGAATTAATTGCTTCTTGGAGATGGTGCGGTTCAATCGGATAACCCGGGATGTTAAACACTAAATAGAAGCGCATGGAAATGTCCATGTAACGAACAATGTAGCCAATATAAAATCGGAGGAAGGCTTCATCCGGGTTTATTTATTTATTTCCTTTTTTGGATTGCATTGTTCTACTGTGATGTGCATGACAAGTGAATGGCAGACACTTCGAGGTACGCGGGCGACTACCACGACAGACACCTTACGTCACTGCCTTGCGGTTGAGACCATTCCAACTCATTGGATCATTAATAACTGCACAATACGCCTCCTCGGTGAAATAGAAAACAAGCGCCACTGTTAACTGGAAGTATCTTTTCATCAGATATTGTAAATTCTTCATTGAGTGCCGATCTGCTTGTTATGAATAACAAGTTGTGATGTAATTGTTGGGATCTCTCTCTTACAGGAGTTGGACTCAAGACAACAAACAATCCAATTGTAGCCCAGACCGCAATTATCTCGAATTTTATTATGGGAAAAAGTAGGGACGTGGCACAGCCAGTGGCAATACCACAATAGATCTGACTTTCGCGGAGAATTATTCACTGCAGTCCTGATTCCCACTCAATCAACGTTGGGAAAATTGGACGGGAGGGCCCGATGCAACCCTTTTCTGGTGGCCCGCTATCCTGGCCCTGGAAACGTGTCAGGTACGAGAGCCATTATGGGCAGACAAAGGCTTGGCTTTACATGGGCACGATGTTGAGAGTTTTTACTTACCTCTGTTAAAACAGTCCAATTAATACTACTTATCAAAGCGTCTAACTGATCTGAGTCGCCTTAGCATTCTTGGAGATATACAACCATGTAAGGCTGGTGCCAAGTTTGGGCCACCACTGTTAGTGCGCACGATAGAGAGAAATGCAGCAGCAAAGAGTTTTCATTATCCAAGCTACATAAGTTTTATATGCTAGTCCAGAAAAAAGGAAATCCCATCCGTTTTTGACAGCCCGTCAATTGTTGGGCATTGCTCGGGCGTTCACCATTCTCGTTATATCATCACATGGCCACCAGCCGTATCCTGCGACCAACCGCCAAGTACAGTCTCAGTGTTGGAACCCACACTTGTCTAGTAAAGACCGACGACGATGTCACCCTTGACGCGGGCAGTCAGGTGAACCTCGGCCTCAAGGTCGAGCTTGATACCCACGAGGAGGGCAGCGGACTTCTGAGCACCGTTCTCGTCTGTGGCACCCTTGAGGAGTTGACCTAAGACTGTGTGAGTAGGGGAAGGATGAAGGCAGGTGAGTAAGTTACATACCAGCAGGCTGGGAGAGACCAGTGGAGGTGGGCAGAGGAACAACGAATTGCTGCTTCTGGCTGCGGCGACCACCTCGAGCCTGACCATCGGAGTCAGAGTCGGAGGCGTAGGCGGGCTTGGACAGACTATTAATGACAAAGAATGTTAGCTATTGCTTGAGAACTGAACGATGAGTTGCTTACGCGGTAGAGTTGCGAACAGGAGCAGGAGAAGAGGGAAGATTGGCAAAGGGAAGCTCAGAAGTGGGAGGGGGAGAAGTGGTGCTAAGTTAGTCAGTGTGAGGACTCCATTGGTGTTGAGACTGA